AAATAAAATGACAAGTGGAATCAACAAGGCATTATACCAGGAATTTATGAACCGTATGACGTGAACGAGCTACTACTATTTATTTCATATAACACACATATCGTAGACATACAAGTAAAAAGGAGAGCTTACTTGGGTCGCGGAGATAGGAGAACTCATTAAGTCCTTGATTTGAAACTGGCTGATCATACACATGACATGCCAAGTGAACAGTCTCATATTCGTCATCACGTAAATGAGGTTTTGACAGGTATTCATTTTCGTGAACTGATTGATTTTGACCCCATAAAAGTTGTTTAGCTTTCAGTGCAGTTACAGTGATCATAAGACTATGACGCAGTCTAATACCTCCACGAGAACGTTTAGCTTGATCAAGTTTTTGTAATGAGGTAAATAAAATATACTGTGCTGTAACAGGATTCATATCGTAATCCAACAAACCACCAATATGGCTAGACATGGCATGAGACACGAGTGAAATGAATAAAGATTGTTTCTTACTTTAATCATACACACATACGACTGACCTTGACTGACTAATAAACAGTTGACCTATCGATGAGCCAGAAAGCCTTCATTTGTCACGCCATTTGCATTTAGCCCATTGGTTAAACTCTGACCAAACAGAAATACATTATACTAGACATGTGTGTGATATGATGCGCTCGACACTTAAGCCATATCAGCTGATCATGTATGACTCATAATTACAAATGACGTCTGTTGACCTTTGTCAAGGGTTGGATGAATGGAATATTGCCTGACCATCAGACTGAAGTATTATAATGATCTGGTCAGACATAAAATAAGATAAAAATTAATCTTTCGATCAAGGGCACTTAAAAGTTGCCAAATATGGTAACCAAAAAAATGAATAAATGGTAGTGTGGCATAGAAAATCAGAGAAAATTGTGTATAACACAAAGTTTAGCATTTATTGTGTCATTAACTTTTATAATACAGAAAAATGAGTGTAAACATTGAAAAATTCGACATCTTATCTTTTAGGTTACTTTAAAGCAACCCAATACATACCACTTCCACTATAACCTGATACTGATAAAACGAATGTGTCAGATACCGAAATGAACCTAAAACAATTATTTATCCAAGTTAGTCAAATGAAATAAAGTCAACGTGAGGCTTGATAGAATTCTTGGTAAGATTCTTCAGTAAATTCAATGTCACTGGTGCTCATTCAGAGGTTCATGAATGTGCCAACTAATAAATGTTATTCAGACACTAATTAGTAACTACTATGCCACGACTAGTGTTCGTATTATCGATAGTGTCTGGTAGTTGAGTACAGAACGTATGTTTCGTTTTATAGTTGATCTTATCTCACAAAATTGCTTGGATGTTTGGAACATAAGTACACTTTTTGTAGCAGGATTCAAGTTAACACCATTTAGCCTGGAAATTTACTACTTGAAAAACATAACTCGAGTTGAGATGATGTTTCACTCGGACTTCAGTCACAGAACATTATTTTACATTGTATTTCATCAGATTAACTAATTTCCAATATCACTTTATGTTAAGACGGAGTAAACTCCTATAAATTGTATGGATCTACATTCTAAGTTCGTCTGAATGGATACGTGAAAATTGTGGCTGGTCATTAAACCGAATTATTCATGGGGATGTCTGTAAAGCTGGAAAACAAGTTTGATTCACCAGTGATCATAAAAAAGTCGTCTTATTACAATAGGGTAAGTGGACACCTAACCGTTATCATTGGAAAGAAAATAGCGTCACAGTGACTCATTGGGTATCAACCCACACCATCATGAGTGAAAAACTTTCCATACCCTCCCCCTACATACTCTTGAAACTTGTTATTCAACAATATTATTAATCTAAAACACTATTAATGGTTATTATCGTTTTAAGATGAATATAAAGACAATCGTTTCTGGGATAATTACCTTTATCGTAAAAATAAGTTATAATAATCTAGCTGACACGAGTTTAGATTCATTTCTGAATGAGGTTATAAATACGAAGAAACTATTCTTGTGTATGTTATTAAAGTGACATTTCCCTCAATCGGAGTTAAAAAAAACACACTCAGAAAACGTATTATCGTTTCACTGTTCGTAATTTCTATTTCCATCGAGATCAGAAACCGTACTTCAAATTTATATGCTGAAAAAATGGTCAGATAGTAGCAAGAATAAACGGGAATCGGCCTTAGCGAATATAATTCGAAGAATTTTAGAGGATCATTTCTGCAAGTCTTCAGTAAGATGTACTTGTCCAGGATTCATTTTCGACGAAAGAATACTGGATTGCCATTTGCAGGAACTTGCACAATAATCAATGCAATTCCTTAGCTTACGAAAACAACAAATGGGTGGGAAAATGAGCTGATGCAGACGTTGTAACGTTCCAAGCCCCTATTGGTTTCAGACACTAAAAAATTTAATGTAGAAGATACTGTTCAACCCTGATTTTGTAAACAAAACCGTATTTTTTCAGCCAAATCACCTAGGTAAATAATGTGTTCATTTAAATGGATGAATACCGGCGAACCATGATAAACTGGGAATTCAAATAATTCCACTTAGAGGATTATATGAATATCAGCTACATAACCTGAAGTGCCTTCTACTAGCACCTGTAGATTAAAATAATTTGAAGAATAGTTTACTATATGTTGTTTGTTTCGATCTTACAAAAAAATGAGTTAGTTTTTGTGCCAATTTATGGGACTCGATTTGAATCTAATGATAATACCAACGTATCATGCCTTTATCGGTTCACGATGATACCATAATATCTGTCGTTCTTAAGACAACTAATGGTCAGTTGCTATATGTCATAAAAACATAAAATACAAATTTTGGCTACAATAGAGTTCTAATAATACCTTAACTCTTATTCACTGATCTAAAGTAACTTGAAGAACTTTTTTATCCTAAACTATTGAAACGACCTAGACCATTTTCGAATCAAATAATTTTCAAATAAAAAAAATATGAAAATTTGACATACAATCAAAACTAAATGGCCTCCACTGAACTCAACTGATCAGATGGTAGCTAAAAATGGTTTATAACCAATAGAAGAATTTATTTCAGAGGACAAAAAGTGTGCATCTGGACAATTTGAACACTTATTAATAAAGGATTTAAACAAATCACTATCTTTCAATGTTTATGTACTTAAAACCGGTCGATAGAGGCAAAAAAATAAACCACCCTGTGTTTACTGTTTAACAGTCATTCTGTTCCATTTAGCCTGATCCCTAGTTATCAAAGCATAGTGATTCCCAACAATCACCATTATCTTATCTGAAATAATGCATAAATAGATGATGATTATTAACGAAAGTATTTTTAAAACAATTAGTCCTTTTGATAAATTTCGATAATACAATCAGAAGACAAAGGTTATTATGTGATATATTTGCGCTATATAAACATAATCGGGAGACCTTATTAATAGATGTGGAAAATAAACATTCGGTTCCCCATAGACAATTAGAACATGTACTAAAATACTAGTTGCATACGGATTTCCATGAGGGTACGCTTTCATTTGGCAGCTTAAAGAATTCAGCAAGGTTGTGTACTTTAGATCGACAACTTTATTGGTTTTATTTTATCTGGAGATATAACGATATTAGGACAATGAAACTGCTAGACACAATGATTTTTATTAGCATAGATAATTGGTGGATTTTCCAAGCTTAAATCAAGAACTGATATTAGCTAAACCACTATTAAAAACCTGAAAGCACTGGATTAAACAGTGGTATAGAACTCCTCAGCAGAGCACATTCGCGACTGCACGCTAGAACCACATCCAGGATCTACTGCCTCGCGCGCGAGCACCTAACATCTAGGTCACTGAGTCTGGATCCGAAAGTGTAAGTGCCTAGTTTCAACTAACTCAAATTTTTTTGTACAATCCTTATCTATTGCTTGTGGTGGATAACTGTCTGACATCCGACACAGATTGAATTCCACTGTTAAGTGCGACAAACTGAAATAAACGATAAATCATTGAAGAGTAATAAGCATGAAATGATGGCATAATTCTAATTTTAAACTACTTATTAATATACAACTCCAACTAAAACACAATACTGGTATCTAATGCTTAGTATTTTAAAATTTGATCCAATTTATAACCTAAAGGAGCTATTCTGCAGCATTGTTGGAAAATGTCGATTTTCATTTCGAGATAGTAGTGTTCAATACATCATTATTACCACAAGACTGAGTAGTAAATTCTTGTCAACAACATTCGAATCAAGCTATGAAACTGGAATACATAGAATTTTCAAGAATGGAACATCAAAGAAATCCATCTAAAATATTTCTGTTCACTCATGATGATCAGTTATTTTTAAGATCACACATATAAATACTACACATAAAAATAAATTTCATAAACTAATCACTTTCTCTCAGTAAATCGTTTTTATTAACAACAAAGAAACATTAACATATATCCAGTAAGTCATATTGACAGATAGTTAAATACATATTCAATAATGACCGGTCGAAAAAAAACACATGACAATCCATTGAAGCCAAACAAAATGAATTGAAAGAAAACACACACGAGCAGTACAGAAGTATTCGTGAAAAATAACCACATTGACAACAACGATAACAGTAAACAAAAATGATAATGATAACAAAAATATGGTCAATTAAGTGCTGATATCATAAAGTGCATTATTATTTGTAGTATTAGTATGAATATGAAAATAATAAAGTTCAATTTTGACATTTTGCATTCTGATCCAATCCCAATCATACGTACTCTCACATGTCGATCACGAAGTAAGTAGGTATCAAAATACAAACACACACTAGTATATCAATACAATATTATTATTATTACTATTATTGTAACTATTACTACATTAAATATGATGAAATTAAAGTTATAAACATGGAAAAAAAATAAATGTGTAATAAATGTTGAGATTCAGTTTGTTTGTTGTTTAAAAAAAAACCGGACAGCACAGCCATAAATTTGATCTATGATGAATTGTCAGATACTTGTTTTTTAATTATTGTATATAACTGATGAAATATAGAGAAATTTTCAGCATTAATTTTTATATTATTGTTGAAAAATGGCTTATTATTGTTACTAATACTACTGCTACTACTACTGATGTCGTTTGTTGCACCGGTAGTAGTTGGATTAGTAACATTGGAATTATTATTAGTAGTACATAGTGTATCACAATGATCTTTGATCAAAGCAAGAAAATGCTCACGTTCAGCTTGACGTTTATTATACAGTATCTCTGATTCCGATTTCAAAATAGGTTTTAATAAACCATCCGTAACAAAATGATAAGCAGCTAAGCATAAAAGGTCATTTAACCATAGATCTATACTGGATGTGATGACAACTGACGAAGAAGAAGAAGGTGAATTATTATTATTAGTATTATTATTATTATTAGTATTATTATTATTATTAGTGTTGGTAGTAGTAGCAGTATCAGTGCCTACATCGAATGAATTATTTGGCTCAGTGTTGGATAATTTATGAGTATAACATAAAAATAGCCTGATTGAACAGTATAGTTAAGTGAAGAAATTATATATATTATTATTATCATTAAGGAAAATAGGGCAAGTAAATAGATCATATTTATATCAATGATCCACTTAAATAGTCTTACACTTACTTATTCTTAATCAATCTCTCTTTGCTTTCTTTTAAGGCGGAATAAAATAAAGAGCTATGCTATTTCATCTTTACACCTTACGATATAATAATATTCAGTTTAATAAATATGATAAACAACTGTATAAGTTTGTATTTCAGTTGTTGTAAATAGTGGAAGTTCTTTTTGTTTAATTACGCAATGTTGAATAAAAATATACCACTATGCAATTAACCTTGAAGATGTAATACAATATGAGTGATAATATTGTAGTTTGTTTTATCTCGTTTTGTTTTTGTTACTGATAAGATAGAGAAGATTTATAGAGTAATAATACTAATAATATCTATCATTAATTATTCTTAGTTGATATCGTTCAATATTATTCAATCCGTGTTCAATCATATTAGATGTGTGCAAAATTATTAGCTTGTCTAAGCAACCACAATTTTACGTTTCATTTTTACATTTGTTTTTGATTATCTGCACAAATTCTATATGAATTGTAATCATGAAACTGTTACAACAAATACAGTCATTAATCGTTAATTAGATGACATTAACGATTTGATTCAGAAGACAGAAAGCGATGTTCATAAATGTAGATGATGGTCGGTGTCAATGTGAAAAAGACAGCTGAAATGATTGTTGACCAATATATCAAGTTGAATGATGCACCATTCATAACACAACAAAACTTGTACAATATTGAACATTTATCATTCTCATTTTGAGTGACGAAATGACTGTTTTGAATAAATAGACTCCGGAGACAATGGATTTGTACCAGTGATAGTATGTCTTGTAGTTTACCTTATAATTGAATAAATTCTGTTATAAGTTATTTGACACACTCCATCTATAGAGATGACAGTATAAATCAATAAATTTTCGATCTGATTCTCATATGACGGGTCAAAAAATGTCTGAAACTTGTTACTTTGAAACAAGATTCAACGTGGATATTATTTATTTCATCTTTGTAGCATAAAAATTAGCTAACAAACATGAGTACTAATTAGAGATAATTTTTATCAAAATAGTCTGAGTTGATGAAAAGAATTTGCTTGATTCAACATAAATGATTTCTACTTTACGAGCTAAAAAGCTGATATTTCTCAGTTATCTTAACAAAAATCAGTATCAATCAGTTAGAGATGGCGGAAAAAGGTAACTTAACCGATGAGGTTGTAAAGCTACATAAACTGAGATGAATAGAATATATGTGAACCCGGTAGACACATAAAGTTGGATAAGGCAGCTACGATCAACCTGAAATAAGATATATTACTAACCCAAAATATAACGAACATTTAATTATATATATAAAAAAAGGATACGCTGTACGTAGTTTTGGTTCTGTAGCCGCAGCTAACAGACATACAGTACAAGCCCATATTGCCAAATAAGAGGGTTGACGACTTAATAGTGTAGGAAATGAAAGAAGTACCCACTGTCGGACTAAATTTTGACCATTTTCGTTTTGCATAAAACTTTCAAATAACTAAAGGAGATAAAAGGCAAAAGATATATGAGGGAAAAATGACAATATAGCAACTAGTGTAAATGAGCATCATTATATTTGGTTATTTAAAACGGAGAATTTGAAAATATAATTAGTCATATATGTGTCTGCCAAATAAGTCGTTTAGTCAAAGTTTATAGGATGATTATTTACTGATAAAATAACATCACGCCAGTGAATAATAGATGAGTTGACCTACTGTGGTGTGAGCTACTTATATTCATATAAGTAGTATATAACGTGCGTTAAAAGAACGTAATGTCCGGCAGCAGAAGATGGCGAAGATCAAGAAAGGAAGAGCAAGAGCACAATGGAATTGTAAGAAAACGCATGTACAATGGAATGGGAGACAATGGATTAGTGTTTGCAACGGGAACAGTACAGTTTCATATGATGGAATGATATTTTGCAAATTGACGATTGACTTTATGGTATTCACATTTTATTGAGACAGTCTGTAATTTTTGTGCTAAATACAGTCGATTGTCCCCACCCGTGTTCTTGTTCACCACACTACTAATGCACATCAGCATCACATGAGACTACTCCTACCTTTTCTGATAACTATGTCACGCCCACAATCTTACCTCTTTCCTCACATCATCATAATGCTGTTGCACTATTTTATGTAGTGCATTACTTAATATCCACATTGTACCAGGTTTGTGCTTAAATTGGAGTGAAAATAACTTGGTTTGTATGAGATCAAGTGTTTGGGATATATGATAAATTTCTTAAAGAAAATTGCTTAAAACTTTTACCTGAGCTAAATTTGAAGCTGCTAAATTAGGAAATGAATGATCAGCACGAGCGAATTCACCTAAGGCTTTATTTAAAACAGAATTCGGTAGAGAATCACAACCAAGTATTGACGATGAAAGGATTGACTGTTTATTCATTGATTCTGGAGTGCTTATTAGACCCATAAAAGTTTGAGTCACATCACTGCTGATAAATGGTAACAATCTTGTAATCAAACGAGCTTCAGTAACACTTGTCCAAGCAATGTGTAATCCATGAGTAGGTTGAACGGGGGAGTTAATAAGCGATATTCCACCACGAATTCTTTCCCATAGACAATTGATAGATTCTTGAGTAATAGCCACAATATTCTCAGAATCTTGTAGAATTGACGAAGGAAGCGATTCGAGAGGGCTATGGTCAGGGACTTTTGGTTCAGGTTTCGTTGAGCACTGACCAGGTGTATCTGAAGTGCGTATTCAAATTACGAGGGTAAAGAAAGGAACATTGTATGATTAACAATTGTGCAATCATATTTCGCGATATTAAATAAACCTCTCTCAGTTTGATGAAATTTTGTAACTGAATATTCAGTTTAACATATCACCTAGTATTATCGAAAGAACAGTGTCAACATTTGAGGTTCAGATATTCAGTCTTTTTTATTGGCTAAATGTGATAGCGTTCATGATGATATTAATCGTCTTTCAGTAATGTCTAAAAACAATGATATCTTTAATATAATTTATTATTATCATTAATTTCTTCAACAGGTCTGTCAACGTGTAAAAAATTATGAAACAGTTATAGGGTCGTTAGCATCAACCTTGAGAAAATTTTATTGTTTAAGGAGTATACTATTGCTGTTTCGTAGCTTAAAGATTTATGTCGTGTTGAATGATTAAGGTCAAGGCCTATAAAGTTCTGAATGTCTGTCAGCACAAGAAAAGTACCCAGAATCGACTAGCTTAAAAGAGTCAGTCGTTAACTTAATTCCTTAAAACTAATATTAATACATACAATATTCAAAGACACAGGCAATAATAATACAGAAAGTAAAGTTTCTTTGAGGTTCCAGGCATATTTTGCGACTGGCCACTAAAAAGCCAATGGTCACCTTAGAGGTTTATCGAATATCTCTAAACACTAAGGTAAAAAATTACCTATGCTTTTCATAGTACTGAAGAAGCGACTGGGCAGTTGTAGTTCTAAACATCAATCGGAAGATTCAAATAATTAGTACATATGAATTAAAATTCACTCCATTACACAAGCTAATGGCAATCTGAGTTCAGTAACTCAGTAGAAAACCGATGGCGTCTGAAGCGAGCGGTAGTGGGTTCGAATCCCAGAGGGAACATCAACTCCGGGATGCAGGTACATCCGGATGATGAGTCCCGAATAGGACGAAACGTGCATCCTGGATTTAACTGTTAGCCACCGCCCATCTCTGCTTAAAAATGCTTGTGACTTAATGGCAATATCGAAGCAGTCCACACAAGATGTACATATACCAAAAAAAAAACTGATCAATGAGGCGATTCGAATAACCAATTCATACGGAGTATTCAAGTGCGTTTTAATTTAACTGTAGTAACTTGAAACACAATCAGAATCTAATGATTGGTCAATTACTTACATTAGCAGTAGATTTTACATACCCACCTTGGTGGTTGGAGGTAGTCAATAGGAAACCCTGAACCTAGGTTTTATGCTAATTGGCAAACATGACACTAGTCATTACTCAATGATCGATTAATTGGATCCACTTAGTAGATGTCAACATATTTTGAGTTATAGGAGGACTTTTTGTATATAGGGAACCGAAATGTTTCTAGATTCAAATAGCACCATATAGTAATTCAAATGGTAAAATCCGATAGTTGAAATATATCATTTAAAATATCATGCTGATTGAGAATATGTTTTGGATTATGTTAAATACTGGTTTATCTTTACCTATCAATACTTTATCATTTGTCCTATAAAGAGTGTAAAAACAAACAAAAGTCACTTTGTCAAACGGTACGCTTGTAACAAAGTTCGATCCCCAATAATGCTTTCATGGTCAATTTTGTTTTGAACATGTTTGGTCAACAAATAAATAAGTTACATAAATTTAATGAATGTTTAGCGTACAAATTTTAGTCTAAATTTCAACTTTAATAGTATTATGTAATCAATCAGGATTATGCCCGTTATCCATCATTACCAAACAAGAAGTGCGGATAAAACTTACCTTCATTTGACATAGCAACTTGGTTAATTTTATTATTGATATTTATTTCACAATTAGTGCTGGTACTGTCTGATTGTTGAGTATGATGAATACGTCTATAATGTTGAATGCGATCGTTCAACCGTCCTAAGCTTGTGTACATACAAGTTAGTAGTAAACGAATAGCAAGAAAACTAATATGAGGCGAGCGACAGGTTCGTATTCGACTGATACACATTTTCTGTAGGCTCTATGAATCACAAACAAATATATCAAAACGAAACAGAATTATAGGAACGGATTGGTTTCTTGACAAACATGAAAATCAGTGCTATACTCAGTTTCGATATAAGATGGTAACTGTTCAATTTCTGATCTTAACAAAGAGTATCAGTGACGTAAACTACATTCAAATCTAATAAAAAAGGAAGACCCTATCTCAGATTTTACGGACAGACTAATAAAAATCCGAGCTTGAGAGCCTTTAACAGTACAATTTCCAGGTATCTCAGAGACACAGAAATTCAATTAGATAACATAAAGTCTCAGTATTTAATAAATAAACAACCTCTAGTCCCCCGAAATTCACTGAAGCTATTGCTACCTAATTCTTGAAACCTGATTTAATCACCTAAAATGTAAAAACTAATTGTCCTTCTTTGCTTTGGTATTCTCAATTGCCCTGGTACGGCCAAATGCCCAGCTACCACCAGGGAAGTCCTATTCACTGCCTTCTCGAATACGGGATGCTGCCCACGAAACTGAGAGGAAGAAAGGTGAATGTTCGGCGCCTAACTCGAGTTGGTGGGTATGGAAATTCCATCTTGGAGAGCTGGAAAACCTTGATTCCAAACCAATGGTGCACGTGGACCCCAAGATCCTGAGGGAACAAATGGTGCGCGAACCCTTTTGTGATCACCAACTACCATGGGACCGCATTTCTTAACGTTGCGTTATTGCCTTATGGACTAGACCTCTAGGTCAAAAGTTCGAGGAGTGACCCTCTGCCTTGTTTTGGGCACCCGGACAATCTCCCAGGCCACACACAAATTTAATGATGACTACTTCTGTGGCACATACGTAATTCGGTGCCCCCTTATTACCAATGTGTTCAAATAAATAAAATAGATAAATTTTATAAGTTGGAATAGGAGGTGAGTTCAAGTTTTCTTTAATTTGATGTAACATTTTATGAAACTAGTTTTATTCCTAATGTGACATTTTGATATTGGTTTTATTCTCAGTGTAACATTTTAATCAGTCTGACATCGGTTTTAGATTTACGAGATCAATGTGTTTGTATCAACTTAGTACAAATGTCGTTCAGTATAACAGGTGTGAATTTCCACTCAATGTGACAATTATATTATTTGTATTATGTATGTGAACTTCATATGTGTTTTATTTATATGATATTTAACTATTCATCACGTGCGTGTAAAATCAGTAAATGAGTGTATTTGGTTTGGTGATGTGATTTTCAATGGTTTTTTTGGAGAGGCAGTAAATCTCCAGTTGTACCACTCGTTGTGGTTTCAACTCGCATAGTGAGAATTAAAGTGGTCCCCATTTCCGAGCATGAGCAGTAGGATTGTGGATACAACAGACCCGACACGTACGTAACAGAAGCAACTCTAAGCACAACATAATTTTAAAGTCATTACGTCATTATCCGAAATTTCTTTTATTGTGTTACGTTATCATACCATCGTTCAGTTAGTAGTTTTATTTCTAAATGACTTGGCTTAAGTCATACAATTCTCCAGTGTAGTTAGCTTGTGTCCCACTGTCTTATTGAGTAATCGTTTAGGTTTGACAGTGATCGATGTTCGAGAACCTTCCTCTGGGTTTTATAATTATTTGTGACATTCTAATCAACATTATCAAGTAAATTTGGATGGTGATTAGCAGTAGAATTTAGGATATGAGTTTCGTCGTAAACAGGATTCATCAGAAGAATATACCAGAGTTGGTGTTCTCCAATTATGACTCGAACCCAATGTCTTTTACTTCAAACGGCCATCGCCTTATCCACTGAGCTACCGAGTTAAGACAGCCACTGGATTGTATAAATAAATAACACAACTCTATTTAGTGTTTTTAAGTTTATTTGTTTGCCAAGTCATGCTGATATGGTTTCGTACTGAATTAGAACCAAATTCACTTTTATGCTGTATGTTAGGCTTTCACTGGAAATTTGGTTTGGCTCTCTTCAGGTTCATAATGCGAACCACGAGTATGAAGATGAAAAAATAATGAATTTTATCTGTTACAATCGATTTCAAATTAAGTTACATTAAGGGTTACAATCAATGATTTGTAAAGTTTTCAAGAATGAAAACCTGAAATTTTCTACATAACAAACAGTACGTAGACTTATTGACTAATGTGTGTTTTATTTAGTCATTCATATTTTCCGACTTACTGTTTATAGTAGACAAAAAATATATACAGAGTAGTAGGAAAGTAAAATTATTTATCAATTATATTAATCAAATGAATAGGTTTCATAAAATTTGTGCAGTTAACCAGTAAAGATCAATATGAAATTCAAAACGGAAAACATACACCAATAGCGCCTTTACCAAGGCGTCCGGTATGAATGAGACGTTCAATACCTTGACACCATGCCAAATGGACTGGAAAGGAATAACTCAAATCTACTGTAGTCCCTGTACTCAATGCTGAACATTTCTACAAAATAAAGGAAAATTATAGGGAAGGAGAAAAATATGATTTTGAGAATTAAAGAATTATCAAAGGAACATAGTACGGAATGCAATAGTCTTATTATAATACTGGACAAAATAAGCTATAGTCAAATATTTATATACAGTGATGAAGATACTCTCAATCGGTTGTTACTAAAAACTGAAATGATAGGAGGAAAATGTATCACTTCGTTTTACTAGTTGATGAGTAAAAAGGCCTTTGAAACATACTCAAGTAGATTATTTTGTCTGTTCGACCACTGACAATTACTTTATTAGAAGGAAGTAGTTTATACACACAGATGATGTGAGTTTATCGCATTAGATCTCGAATTATTATTATTGATGAACGTTTCATTGCATTTTGTACTGAAGAATTTTATTACTGATTTGATCGATATTCTACAACCCTTTTTTCTGTTGTGTCTATTATTTAGTCCCATTAATGTAATTGATCACTTTAACTGTGTTATATCCTAGCGGAGATTAAATTATGAGTAAATTCTGAGAGTGATTAATTACTTGCTTAATACTTACTTACGCCTGTTACCCCTTGTGGAGGAGCATAGGCGCCCACCAGCATTCTTCATCCAACCCTGTCCTAGACAATTCCTTTCCAGTTCTTTCCAATTGCTACTCATCCGTTTCATTTCTGCTTCTAATTCCCGACACAGTGTGTTCTTTGACCTTCCTTTTTTCCGTTTCCCTTCAGGATTCCAAGTTGGGGCTTGCCTCGTGATTTCCGTAATGTATGTCCTGTCCACTTCCAACGTCTTTTTAATTTCCTCCTCAGCTGTAAGGCGGTTTGTCCTCCCCCATAGTAGGCTGTTGCTGAGATCGACTAAAGGACTAATATTATATATTTCTTATTGTATAACTATTCAGTAACCGGATTATGTATATTTATATTCCTATTATTATAAGCTTTATTGTAAAATATGGACTATTATGATACGATTTACTATTCTTAAGTTATACCCAGTTTATTAATTACAACCTCCCACAATCACAGTCATTATTTGGCTTATTCTTGTACAAATGTTATTTCCTATTTTATGGTATGATGTGGCCTGTTTGGTTTGTACATAAACCAGGTATGTTTAAAATAAATGATTCGTATAGTGGATGCTAATATTGGTGTTCTGAACCCAACAGGTAGGGCTAGGTAGGATAACGGACCAATAAGGACGCTAGGCTGTTCATACCGGTCAATACGTCATCGGTTTGTATAAGTCGTATTCTGACTGGCGAGTAAATCACGTGATATTTAACCGGGCTAGAAGTCACAACAAACTATATTCAAATCTTTGCTGTACTATACAGATATATGGTTACATTAATTATTGACCATCATTTCTATCAATATATTAAGCTCCATCTGGATATTCAACATCTAAATATATCTAGATTGAAAGGAACCGACGAAGATCTAACGAAACAAACGTTATTCAACTTAAACAATTCATTTTTGCGTTTATATACATATTCATTAGAAAAGAAATGTAAAAATTATCAATAATGACTACTTACAGCGTTATTTGTATATTTTGACTGATTCATTATAGGCACATCACTAAGCATACATGATGCTAATCGAAACAATATAGCTGTTAGACCAGATAACATTTCTGTAATACCATTGCCTGGATCTGTTACAATGGGATAAACTGGTGGACCAGAAAAATGTTCGGTTAAGAAAAACGCTGTTGAAAGTATCATTAATTGATGTTGTTCTATATGATCTGTCAAATCAATATTTGATAAATGAATTATAGAAGCTAAAAATGAAATTTAAACGATTATTATTAATGATTGTCGTCATCAATAAGTAAGGAAAAATTTTTAAAATTGAAAGAAAAGTTATCTTAAGCTGACAAGATTCTGCATCACAATATAATGTCTATATCAATTGCTGGGGAAACCCATAAAATTCCACGGAAAATGCCCAACGGGGCCCTGAAAACGCTAGGAAACATTTTATCCAATCAGCATCTAATAGAATTTTCTCAGAAACTTCTAGAAGCTGAAGAGCCACATGTCACATTTTTGGTTGAATGATTACCTATCCTGCTACTTTGTTTAAAAGGGCTCCAGAACTTTCCAGGAGCACAAGGCCATCTGAAATGCTATAAATACTCTAGATTTTCTATACATAAACTACTTTGGGAATAAAGTGTTCTTTCCATATTCCGAGTCTTTTCTCTCTCATGTTCAAGTCGCCGTGTACATTCAGCCTGGGGGTTATTAGAGGAGCTTAGAAAACCGATTCAAGAGTTCAACTAGAAGATTTGTCATTACTACTTATAACAGTGTCAGTATGAAATCAGCAAACTGCGTCACAAGGCAAGCGCAAACTTGGGATCCTGAAGGGAAAAGGAACAGAGGGAAACCAAGGAACACATGAAGCCGGGAACTGGAAACAGATATTAAAAAGATGAATAGCAACTGGAAAAAACTCGAAAGAATTTCCCAGGACAGAGTTGGGTGGAGAATGCTGGTGGGCGGCCTATACTTTTCCACAAGGCCTCAGTCAGTCAGTCAGTATCAACGTAGAACTTCGTACGTACGTACATCAGTTCGAGTTGCCACACCACATTAGCACAGAGATGCAGTTGTCCATTCAAATCCCATAGTGGTAGAGGTAGCAAGAGTATAAGCAGTAATCGGGAAGATTAGGGTTTGGAGATGTTATTTATAGAGTATAATCCAGTGAAATAAATTTGGAAAGAGGAAAAAAGGGACATGAAGAATTCAGAAGATTAGAATTTGAGAGAACACAGAGAGTGGATGCACCTGCGCCATTGCAAACGATTTTGAGCCATGTCATTCAGGGTCTCTAACCATCGGTTGCTATCATCTCGCGGTCCCCAACCAGGTAGTCTACACCTACCAACATGACTCAGTTCACTTGTCAGTGACTTCATGGACTTGTGCCATGTTTTGGTTTGGCCGCCCCTAGCTTTCTTCCAACCTACTCCTATACCACTGAACATAGCACGTCGAGGCAGTCGGTCGTTGGGCATACGTAACACGTGTCCCAGCCATCTCAACTGATGAAGTTTCACTACGTCATCAATTGATTTGCCATCCTTACCTAGTACCCGTTTCCTAACAACTGTGTTACTTACTCGATGGTCCCATGATATACGAGCAATGTTTCGAAGACACCTATGATCAAATACTAGTAGCCTACGGATATCCTCTACTCTTACCGGCCATGTTTCACTGCCATAAAGTAGGACGGAACGAACTGCTGCACAGTAAACACGTCCTTTGGTTGATAGACGGATATCTCGCCTACGCCATAAATGACGCAAGTTGGCAAAAGCTAGTCGAGCCTTCTGTATCCGTGCTGAGATTTCGTCACACACCAGACCACAAGGGCTGATCAGACTTCCAAGATAAGTGAAGCGGTCGACACACTCAACTACTTCACTCCCTATCACTAGTTCGGGTGTCGATGTAACCCAATCCTGAAGCAACATTTTGCATTTCGAGGGAGAGAATCTCATCCCGAACATGCTTGCATTGTTGCTTAGAGTGGTCAGAAGACTCTGCATTTTGTCAGCGTCTTCACCAAATAAAACTATGTCATCAGCATATTCTAAGTCAACAAGTGAACCTCCCGGTAGAAGTTCAACCCCTGGAAATCTAGATGAGGAAAGTGTTATCTCTAGAAGTATGTCCACGACAAAGTTGAACAAGAATGGGGAGAGTGGACAGCCCTGACGAACACCACTTGAGGTAATCAATTCTGATGACAGTTCGCCATAAGCTCTCACTCTACCAGTTGTGTTCGAGTAGAGAGCCTTTATAAGGTTAATGTACTTCTTTGGTACTCCTTTCAGTGACAAACACTGCCATAGAACCTCACGATCAACAGAGTCGAATGCCGCCTTAAGGTCGAGAAATACTACCATTGTGGGGCGTCTGAACGTGTGTCTGTGTTCTAGAACCTGACGTAGTGTGAATATCTGATCTATACAACCACGTCCAGGTCGAAAACCAGCCTGATTTTCTCTAGTCTGCTCTTCACGAGCTTTGATTAGGCGTCGAAGTATTATTGAAGCTAATATTTTAGACACTATATTAGTCAAACTGATTCCTCTGTGATTGTCACAAGAGGACTTTTGTCCTTTCTTATAGACTGGCACAATCAGTGATTGAGACCAGTCAGATGGGATTACGTCCAGTTCCCAAATTCTACTTAAGACCTCGGTTAATCTCATTGCTAATACTGGACCACCATCCTTAAAAATCTCAGGAGTAAACCTGTCAGGGCCTGCTGCTTTCCCTCGTTTCAGATTTCCTATGGCTTTTTCAACTTCGTAAAAAGTCGGAGGACCTACATTAACTTGCCATTCAGGTTGACTAGAGATCGTGGGAAACCGAAGTGTGGCTGAAGGCCAGTTGAACTGATCCCTAAAGTGTTCTGCCCATCGATCCAATCTCCTGGATTGAGAATGAATAATATGTCCATCTTTCTCTGAGATTGTTTCGCTAACGGTCGGGTTCCTAATTCCGGTTTCCTTAACGAGTCTGAACAATTGTCTGCTATTACCTATTGCCGCTGCCTTTTCCATCTCTCTTGCTTTCGCTACCCACCACTGTTCGCGATCGTTGCGTAGGCTTCTGGTCAGCTTGCGCTTAAGCTGACTCCGCTCTTCATTATGTTCAGAGCCAGGTGGAATGAGTTTCCGAGCATCTATCAGTGCGATAGATGCTGCTGAGATCCAGTGTTGCTCCCTAACTTTACGGTTTACCTTACTAGCAGATATCACTGCTGTTTCCACAGCTTTTCGGATATCGTTCCATGCTGCCTCGGGGTGGGCATCACATACATGGCTGCCTAACTGTTTTCCTAGTTGTTCCTGAAATATACTCTTAGCTTGACTATCATTAAGTAGGCCCCTAAGAGGTTTTCTTGCAGTGTCTTTCCTACGTCCAGTTAGACGCAAGCAAATACGCGCTCGCACTAGAGCATGATCTGAATCTAGGCATGTGCTCCAGAATGAGCGACAGTCTTCTATCGAGCCCCTCCATCGGTGGCTGATAGCGATGTGATCTATTTGGGTCCAACGTTGGGACGAATTAGGGGGTCGCCATGTTAAAAGATGTTTTTCCTTATGCTTAAAGTTAGTATTTGCAAGGAACAGGCGGTTATCTGAGCATAGCTGCAACAGACGGTCGCCATTATCTGTTCTTTGAGCCACGACACCGTAAGATCCACCCAGGTGTCTCTCCCTATCGCTTAGTTTACCTACTTGAGCATTAAAGTCGCCGGCCACAATTACTACATCCGAGCGCTTAGCTTTTCGGAGAAGGTCCGAAAGCTTTCTGTAAAACTCATCTTTTACATCATCTGAGCTGCAGTCAGTGGGAGAATAGGCAGAGACGACGAAGAGGCAACGACGAGTGTCCCTATCTTTCCGGATTCTTACTGTTCCGTTCAGTCGGACAGCGCACAAACGACTGTCTACTGGGATCCACTCTAAGAGAGCTAGTTCTGCCCTAGGACTCAATGCTATACCTACGCCGGCAAGGCCGCGGGAAGCAGAATCAGGGCTCCCAGATACACGAAGCGTAAATCGAGTTGGTTCTTTATTTTGGCATGGTGAGGTCAAATGAATGACGCTACTTGGATCCTGTATGCGCGTTTCGGAGACGCAGCACACATCGATGGCGCGAGATTCTAAAGTCCTAGCTAATGAAGCCTGCTGTCCTATTTGGCAAAGTGTTCGTACGTTAAAAGCTCCTACGTGTAGTTTAGAGCGTGGTTTCAGGAGACCAGGAATAGCGTTCCACGTACTCGAATCGTTTGCCCTAGCGGTGCGAGGTGATAAAGAGACGTGGGGAGGGTTAGTCGGGGAGATAAGAGAGGTATTAGAAGGTGTAGGAAAGATTTGAATGTGACCACCTTGGTCTCTTGTGCTGTTACGGGTATGAGGGCTGATATCACTTCCCGGCTGCCCACACCGTGGAAGGGTATTTCTTGAGGAACCTGAAAAGGAAATTGGATTAGTGTTGGTCTTGACGACCTGGGAGCGTGACCGCAGAGCCCAAGGGACAACTGCTTGAGGCCGGTCGCGCATGGCCTTTTTGTGGAAGATTTTTGACGTGTTAGCTCCGTTCTTCAAAGGGCCTTACCGCCGGAGACGGAAATCCGTGAGGTAAGGTGAGGTGTGACATTTTTAGGGTCGACCTTTTCTAACCCCACCCCTCCTTGTGGGAAGGCAGCATCGCTGTCATGCTGGATGTCCGAGGGAAACACCTTACTGCTGTCACACCCCTCTACAGTCAGCAGTACGACTTCGCCCTCAGACCTTGAGTTGCTGCTTTTAGTCTTACCGTTCACCAATCGACCTGCCTGGCATGGTAGAACCTGCAGGAACATATGTTCCAGCCAATATAGCTCGGTTGGGTCATCACGATAGGCAAGCCCGACCACCGCGTCAAGGTAGCAGCTTCGATCGGGTCCACAAGGCCTAACAAGCGTAAGTAAACATGAAACGGCAGAAGAATAAGAGGAATAATTTATCCAGTGCGTGTATGTATGTAGAAGGTATTTACATTCAATTAAAATGTTTTTTTTTCAATTTGAAATACTTAGTGTATAGTAGTGTAGATGGATTTTAAATGTTATAGTGTGATGTGTGCTACTTATTCGGGCAGATATAAGTAGTATGTGTCAGGGACTGGAAGTAGGATTCTTACTGAGAGAAAAGAAAAGTAGAAGCAGTCAAAGTAGAAACAGGAATGAAAGAACAATAGGGTTCGTAAGCGACAATTCAAGTAAGATGTGAAAATGGTGTACTCAATATATTGTTTCCATATTTTACAAATGCAGTGTGTGATTTTGCACATAACAATAGATCGATCTTTACAATAGGTAGGATTTAGTTATTTAAGAACTGTAAATACCACCCAGGAATATTATGCTTTCAAAATATTCTAACATAATTAACTACTATAACTATTCAGTGTAAATAGTCTTCTATCAGTAATGCTTGGCATCAAATGTCTGTTTAGTGTTGAATAGTTCTCCTAATTCATTTGTAGATCAAAACAAGATACAGTTTTTTACAAATTAAAACATAATTATTTGCTGTTTATTTTCAATCATACAGTCTAATTCACACAGCATTAATTCATATAAACTGTTAGAGAAAACAAAATGACAAAATAAACTCACACTCTCGTTCCACACTAGAAGTATTAGTAATTTTGCTAGCCGTACCTGGATGAAGTACAGCTTGCATGAATCGTTTCATACCGGATGATCCATTAGGAGAAACTGATAAATTCTGGTTAATTAATGTTTCGGTGCCCAGTAAATTTGTTATTATTGAATTACAGAATATAGTGTTAATCTTCTTTTCCAAATAACTGTATAACTAGAGCGTAAAAAATCGATACAAAGTGAAATATATAGAAATGTAATTATTTTGAGAAAAATAATATTATTCCAACTTTGTAGAAACCGGTATTGGGTCGGAGTTTAACTTGAGACAGTAATTTTTTGACGTACAGACAAGTGGATAAAATGAATCTTTAACAGAATCAAACACATGTCATGGAATTTGACTTTTACGGAGATTTATTTACTTTGGTGTTACTAGCTAAGCAGCACTGATCTTACTGTTGAATTCAAAGGTCTGACATTTAAACTCGTATGCCCTGTGTAGAAGTGTACTGTTGAGAAATCTTAAACTAGGATTCAACGGTTATCTAATGACATCTGGTTCGTAATAAAAACCATATTTTAATAGACCTCTTATTATCTGCATACTTTTAGATTAAAAGAAAGATGTTCCTGAAATAAAAATTGATATTTTTCACTCAATCGGATTATCTCTTCAGGATATATAGGGGTTGAGATGTCCTTTTCGAAATTTAAAAATTCCCATGTTCATATATAATGGGAAAACTTAATCGAGAAGTTATAGATTATTAAATTAATCTTTCAAAGAATAGAAGCGTACATTCACTAATACATCATTGAAGGACTGTTATGGTATATCATGAACTGACTGAATTTTGAGACTCTACACTTATAGTTTTGGAGCTTAACAATACCGTAAGAGACTTGACAGCTATGAACACAGTAGCCATATGAACTAGCAAGTGTGCTAGGTCAAGAGAATTAACATAGTTACTAGCCAATATCTTTGATTCCTTGTATTTCTTTAAGCGAAATGATTTAATGAAAGCCATCTTTAATAATCATAATCTTAACACTAAATAAAATAAAGCTAATGAACTAATTAACCAATCAGAAACTTACAAATGTATAAAGTTCATTTAACAACGATGAACCAGTTGGTGGACTATGTTGTTGTAATTGTTGTTGATATGGTTGTCTTCTAATTAATAATGCTGCATGTAATAAATACATTGCACTATGTAAACCAGCATTTTGTACTGTTAATAAACTAGAATTAATAGCATTCATTGTTTGTTTTACAGCTGGTTCAAGTGAATAAGGTTGAAGTACATGCGAATTAGTTGGTGAACTGTTAACTAATTCTAATACAGCAGTACATTTTGAAATCCCTAATGCTAACCATAAATGTATTGGTGATTGAAATTCATCCCATGTTGGTAATTGTTTTAATGCTATTTAAAAAAAAGATAAAATTCATTCATTTTTAATATAAATTCAAATGATTGAGTTAATAGAGATATCAGCAGAAAAGTAAAGTTTAACATTACAGACCGACTTTGAGTAGACAACAATTGAAAGCTAGTAGGTGATGGACGGGTATTTCGTCCTAGTATGCGAATGTTCAGCACTGTGTATTCACAGTCTCATTAAGGATTCAATTACGGTCTTTTAGGCCCTGTGACAAGTGCTTCGTCTTCAGACTATTGAAATGGCATTTAATGATTTAAATTTTCAACTTTATACAGTTCGCGATATCGTCCATTGTCACTGGCGATACTTATCTCATGCCCAACATAGTTGAACTCTACTGAAGACTAGATATGCTATTACATTCAGAATTGTTCTCTTTTTGTGGGACAGGTTGACACTAAGTATCAAGTTTTACTTATGAAATATGTACTCTCTTTTGAAAGTGCTTAAAATAACTGTTATATACATCAATGAGGAAGTTATACAATAAGAATTGTTTTGTACATTAGATATTATCAAACAGATAGCTTGATTTCTAGAGGTTCTGTTATGTTTCGTTATTGCTTGAATGCGATTACTGATGCGTCTTACTCGAACGAAACGAAGGATCAATGATTCAGCGACTCGATAGACTATTCTGGTCCGTTGTCCCCAACTCTGCTAACTCGATCAAGAAGTCTGGGTAAGGTGTAGAAAGTGTATTCTACAGACAAACAGCAGATAACAAGTCAGGCAGGCAGATCAGATCAAGCATACAAGTCAGGCGTATTTATACAATTATTTACAATCGATAGAAAATTTTTAAACATTAATCACTGAGTTCATTAATTGACCTATTTGCGCATTTAATCGATAGTTCATCAATTGACCCCAATAAAAATATCTAACATTTAATCGATAAGATGATCGGTAAGATAAAATTTAAAATATGAGTTTGGGGATCTATCGTCCCCAACACTCCTCCCCTTTTTAATAGCGGGCTTTCCTGGGGTCAACCTGCATCCTGACTGTTGCTCGCCGTTCTCGGATAGGCCACCGTCTGTGACGTGTTTCAGCTTGTTGTTGAGGTTTTTCTTTTGGTGGGGTTGCCGGTAAGTTGAATGTGTCTAGCAGGATGTCAAGAGGAATATTTGATTCTGTTGATGGGCGGTCTGGGGCTAACCGTTTGCGTAACTGATTCCGATGGCGTTGCCACCTGTCACTGCCTACCTCAACTTCGTACATGACTCGGCCCACTCTTCTGACCACTCGCGCTTCTGTCCATGGACTATGGGTCGGTCTGTAATCACGGGCAAACACCGGACATCCCACTTCGTACGTGGATCGCTTTTCAAACTTTGTCCGTACTGGTGTGGTTGCATTACTTGGATGCATCAGTCTGTGGATCGTCTTCAGTCTTCTTCCCATTAGGATCTCTGCTGGGGACTTTCGCTCAGGCAACGTCTCATTTGGTGTTGTTCGATACACGTATAAGAAATTTTGCAACGCGTCTGCTGGCGTCCCCTCCCCTTTTGACTTAGCCAAGGCTCTTTTAAACGTATCCACAAACCTTTCTGCTTGCCCATTCGACTGCGGGTGGTATGGTGGCGAGCGTAAGTGCTTTATGGCTAGTCGTTGACAGAATGACTGGAATTGGCTTGAGGTGAACTGTGAACTGTTGTCAGATACAATGGCATCTGATATACCATTTCGGGAGAAAATTTCTGTGAGGATCTGTATTGTTTTAGTTGTCGTTGGCGGTATGATAGGGTTGATTTCAGGCCATTTCGAAAGGGCGTCGACTACAACTAGATACATGGTTCCGTTAATCGGGCCTGCAAAGTCGACGTGTATTCTGGACCAAGGATGATCAGGTTGTGGCCATGAAACTGGTGGAACTTTGGCGTTCATTTTTGCCGCTTGCTGACACCGCATACATTTCCCAACCAATTCTGTTATATGTTGATCCATTAGCGGCCAATACGCATGACTCCTGGCTATGGATTTCATTCGTCTAACCCCCGGATGACCAAGGTGGAACTGTTTCAGCACTTTTGCACGAAGGGATTCTGGCACAACCACTCTCTCTCCGAACATCAAGCAGTCGTTCACAATGCATAGAGAATCCCGCCGCTGATACAGCTGTTTTATATCACCATCAAACTTCTTAGTCGGCCAACCGTTGGTGACATAGTTCATAGTTCTCTTGATGATGGGGTCGCTCTTAGAAGCATTTTGTATGTCCGTTGCAGATACCGGCAAAGTTCGTATTGCGGTCGTCAGATAACATTCGGCGTGGTCTTCCGCTAGCAGAGATGCAATTACCGTGTTTTCCTCAGCCGCCAACTGGTCACTAATGAGTCGTGATAAGGCATCCGCCTGACCGAATTGTTGAGTGCGTCGGTACTGGATCTCGAAATCATACCCCAAGAGTGCTAAAGCCCATCTCTGAAGGCGATTTGCTGAATGAGCTGGAATGCCAGATTTCGACCCGAATATTGCGAGTAAAGGCTTGTGATCTGTGAGAAGCGTGAATCTCCGACCGTACAGGAACTTGTGGAAACGGCGCACAGCAAACACAAGTGCAAGCGCTTCTTTTTCTATCTGGCTGTATTTTTTTTCTGCTGGGGTTAGTGTACGGGCTGCATGCATAATGGCTTTTTCCGACGCATCCGGAAACTGATGGGAGATAACAGCGCCTAGGCCATTCGCTGAAGCGTCTGCAGCTACGATGATCGGCATGGCTGGATCGTAGTGTGTCAACAGCAATTCAGAACTAATAATGGACTTCAGTTTACAAAAGGCAGTGTCACACTGTTTTGTCCAGTTCCAAGAGCTGTTCTTCTGCAGTAAGCTATTGAGTGGAGCGCGAATATCATGCATCGATGGAACGAACGCTGAGTAATAGCTGACAAGTCCCAGGAAGGAACGTAGTGCCGAGACATTAGTGGGAGTGGGCATCAGTTTGATAGCTCGGATATTCTCAGGATCCGGCCTGCGGCCGTCGGCATCGAAAATGAACCCCAAGTATTTTACCGACTGCAAATAAAACTGGCATTTCTCTGGGCGTAACCGGAACCCGTTGTCACTGATGCGTTGCAGTACCAATGTCGTGCGTTCTCGTAGTTGTTCTAATGTCATTGCTACAATTAAAATGTCATCCAAATAAGCCGTGACTCCCGAGATACCTGATAGGATGGTATCCATTAATTGTTGGAAAATAGATGGTGCAGTTTTGACTCCGAAAGGTAGACGGTTATACTGGAACAAACCACGATGAGTATTGATAGTTAACAGCTCTCTTGATGCTTCGTCTACTTCCACTTGCAAATAAGCATCAGCTAGATCCAGCTTAGCGAAAAATCTTCCCCCATTCAGCATGGTAAATAGGTCTGCGGGAACAGGCAAGGGATAATGATGTTGTTCCAGAGCTACATTGAGACCTGTTGAAAAGTCAGCACATATACGTATCGTGCCGTTGGCCTTCTTAATAACCACGATAGGTGCTGCCCATACAGAGTAGGAAACGGGAGTGATAACTCCTTGTTGTTGAAGGCGGTTCAATTCTTCATCTACTGTTTGTAATGTTGCATAAGGGACAGGTCTCTTTGGGCGAAAAACAGGCTTAGCCCCAGTTTTCAATCGAAGTGTTGCTTTCATGACAGAGCAGCGACCCAATCCAGGTTGGAAAATAGTTGAAAACTGCGTCATTAGGGTCCTCGTATATGATTCGAAGTCATGTGGTTGTTGTCGCAGTTGGGGTTGTGATACCAGGTTGCATATGGTATTCAACGGGACATCAGCTAAATTTAAGTGATCAAACCAATCTAACCCGAGCAAATTTAGATCAGCTGGGGTTATGTAGCATACCCCAACAAATGCCAAATCACGGAAGGTAACTGTACATTCCATTTTTCCTAGCAGGTGAAGGTAATTACCACACGCAGTACGAGGCTTTTGCGTTGTATGCTGCAAGTTTGGGCTGCCCATTTTGATCCAAGTCTTACGAGAGAGGATAGTGACATCTGATGCTGTATCTATTTGCAATTTAGATGAATGCCCATTAATGTTAACAGTAATAAATTTTCTCTGACTTGGTGATGAGCTTTGACACGAAGATACTAAGCTCAATGAACTGGTGTGGGATCTAGGACGGGTCTTTTTGGTATTTCTGGATTGACGTGGAGTCTTCTTCCTCAGACAAAACCCATCCTTATGACCGATAACCTTACACTTCTTGCATCGATGTTGTTTAAATGGGCAGTTTCGAACGTAGTGCCATGCACCACATTGCCAGCAAGGAGCAGGAGGAGTTGCTTTAGTCTGTCGTCTAGAGCTGGAGTGAGATGGACTGGATGAAGCGGGGACGTGTTTGTTTTTGTGAGATGTCTGCTGCACCGCTCGTACTTCAAATCGGCTAGAACCACCACTCTGGACCATAGAAGTGTCTCGTTGAAGATTAATGAGACGTTGATATTCATTAGCTATATCACTCAGGGTGAGTTTCGGTTCTTGATCCAAACGACTTAGTAGCCTTGTTCGTAAGTCACTGAACTTTTGGTGCTGTAGGCTGCAAATAAGGATCAGGGCTTTAAACTGATCTTCAGTCAAGGACTTTAACCGGAAGCGTTCGCATTCACGGTTGACGACGCCCACATGCGTAAGAAAATCATCATCTTCGTTCATAGTCAGCTTCAAGCAACGATAACGAGTATTAAACAGTGACGAGTTATCGCCAAAATGCTGGATTAATGTTTGAACTGTGTCTGCAAATGATCGATCACGTGGGTTCAACGGCAAGATCAGATTGCAATACTTGTCCAGCTCATTTGCACCCAGTTTACGAAGTAGCAGCCGCACTTTCCAAGCATCATCTTGATTGGCGAAATCATATTTAAATAGATCTGAACCACATTTCAAAAGTAACATTAGAATCAGGATCGTAATGAAATTCAGCTATGCTATTTGCGATGCCATCTACTGATGGTGCCGTGGTTGAACTAGACGTGCTTGGCTGTAAGGGAGGCGTAACCTTGGTCTCCATTAACATTTGCATCAATTTTAGCTGCTGCTCAAGTAACAGTTCAAGTTTTGCAGGGTCCATAATCGAAAAACCACCGTCGCCAATTTGTTATGGCTCAAAGTGAGACAGCCGATTATATGGAGTGACTTATCGATCGGATCAAGGATTCAGAATCTCGATAGACTATTCTGGTTCGTTGTCCCCGACTCAGCTAACTCGATCAAGAAGTCTGGGTAAGGTGTAGAAAGTGTATTCTACAGACAAACAGCAAATAACAAGTCAGGCAGGCAGATCAGATCAAGCATACAAGTCAAGCGTATTTATACAATTATTTACAATCGATAGAAAATTTTTAAACATTAATCACTGAGTTCATTAATTGACCTATTTGCGCATTTAATCGATAGTTCATCAATTGACCTATTTGCGCATTTAATCGATAGTTCATCAATTGACCCCAATAAAAATATCTAACATTTAATCGATAAGATGATCGGTAAGATAAAATTTAAAATATGAGTTTGGGGATCTATCGTCCCCAACAGGTTCATATAACTGAAGTCTTTATACTGACAAATCACTGTGCAGTAACCAGTGTCACGTTTCAGAGTAGTTAGCGCTGATCGAGCTCTAGTGACTATTAGCTCTAAGTAACTTGACAATCAAGATTTGGTGTTAGGTGCTCGGAGGCAAGCAACCGGGGGTATTTGATCAGAGTTGAGCATTAGACTACTACTAAGTGGACAATTAGTATGTGGTCTAAGAAAAATTTAGGTTTGAAATTTACTCTCCCTAGAGTAATGTCCTGGTCTTATATTTCAAAGAAACACCTGAATTAATGATGCCTAAATGAGTGTAAAGTGAAATGAGCTGAAAAGAAATCAACATAAATCATCCCTACTCAAATATTTAGTCAGTAATGGTTCGGTAGATCTTATATCGTGTGATTCAAAATGGTAATAGATTGGTGTACTATTTACACTATTGTATTTATTAAACATTTTTAACGTTTTGGACGTATTTGATCTCACCCATCTTAAATAATTTCTGTATAATCACTTTATTATTATTATTTTCCAGTGCCATGTTCCAAAATACAACATCTATAAACGATTAAGATTTGTGTAGCAGGCCCGTACATGTAATGAGATACTATCAGTTAAGTCTGGATTATAATTATGAGGGTTTATTGATTATCACAATGCGTACTTATAAGCAGTAGTAGACGAATGCATAACTATCTTACCATCTTGTAAATGATCATTTAACCAAATAAATTGTTCTTGTGTTGTAAATAAATCGGATAAAATGATAGCTGACTGGAGAATTGATTGCCAAACATCAAAAGCTGGTCCTTTCACCGTTGAAGTTTGCTGTTTTATTTGTTTAAAAGTAGAATTTTTATTTAACAGAGAAGAGGAAATAGTTGAATTAGATGTGAATAAATCAACAAGCTTTGAAGTTCCCAACAGTAAAGTATTCATATCTTCATTATCAGATCGTATAGTAAAAGGTTCTGGTTTAAGACATGAATGGTAAAATAACTGTAATGACTGAAGACATGAAAATAAAGGATCTTCATAATTTTGTAATGTAAGAACACTAGTTGGACGATGATTAGACTTTGGAACTAGAAAGAAGTGATGGAGAATTAATGTAAATGATAAATATGAGTATACATTTCATGGTTAAACACAAATGCATATTGAATCTAAACTGGTTATTATAAATCTTTGTAAAATACCGCTCTCAGTCAGTCAGTCAGTAACAACATAGAACTTCGTACGTACGTACATCAGCCATACCACATTAGCGCAGAGATGCAGTGGTCGATTTAAATCTCGTAGTGGTAGAGGTAGTAAAAGTATAAACAGTAATCAGAAACACTAGGGTTTGAAGATGTTATTCAAGGAGTATAATCCAGTGAAATAAATTTGGAAAGAGAAAAAAGAGACAAGGAGAAATCAGGAGATTAAAATTTGGGAGAACACAAAGAGTGGATGCACCTGCGCCATTGCAAACGATTTTGAACCATGTCATTCAGGGTCTCTAACCATTGGTTGCTATCATCTCGCGGTCCCCAACCAGGTACTCTACACATACCAACATGACTCAGTCCACTCGTCAGTGACTTCATGGACTTGTGCCATGTTTTGGTCTGGCCGCCTCTAGCTTTCTCCCAACCTACTCCCATACCACTGAACATAGCACGTCGAAGCAGTCGATGGCTGGGCATACGTAACACGTGTCCCAGCCATCTCAACTGATGAAGTTTCACTACTTCACCAATCGATTTGCCATCCTTACCTAGTACCCGTTTCTTAACAACTGCATTACTTACTCGATGGTCCCAGGATATACGAGCAATATTTCGAAGGCACCTATGATCAAATACTAGTAACCTACGAATATCCTCTACTCTTACCGGCCATGTTTCATTGCCATAAAGTAGGACGGAACGAACTGCTGCGCAGTAAACACGTTTTTTGGTTGATAGACGGATATCTCGCCTACGCCATAAATGACGCAAGTTGGCAAAAGCTAGTCGAGCCTTCTGTATCCGTGCTGAGATTTCGTCACACACCAGACCACAAGGGCTAATGAGACTTCCAAGATAAGTGAAGCGGTCGACACGCTCATCTACTTCACTCCCTATCATTAGTTCGGGTGTCGATGCATTTCGAAGGGGAGAATCGCATGCCGAACATGCTTGCATTGTTGATTAGAGTGGTCAGAAGACTCTGCATTTTGTCAGCGTCTTCACCAAATAGAACTATATCATCGGCATATTCCAAGTCAACAAGTGAATCTCCCGGTAGAAGTTCAACCCCTGTAAATTCAGATGAGGAAAGTGTTATCTCTTAAAGTACGTCGACGACAAAGTTGAACAAGAATGGAGAGAGTGGACAGCCCTGACGAACACCACTTGAGGTAATCAATTCTGATGACAGTTCACCATAAGCTCTCATTCGACCAGTTGTGTTCGAGTGGAGAGCCTTTATAAAGTTAATGTACTTCTTTGGTACTCCTTTCAGTGACAAACAATGCCACAGAACCTCACAATCAACAGAGTCGAATGCGATTGTGGGGCGTCTGAATGTGTGTCTATTTTCTAGGACCTGACGTAGTGTGAATATGTGGTCTATACAACCACGTCCAGGTCGAAAACCAGCCTGATTTTCTCTAGTCTGTTCTTCACGAGCTTTGGTTAGGCGTCGAAGTATTATTGAAGCTAATATTGTAGACACTATATTAGTCAAACTGATTCCTCAGTGATTGTCACAAGAGGACTTTTGTCCTTTCTTATAGACTGACACAATCAGTGATTGAGACCAGTCAGACGGGATTACATCCAGTTCCTAAATTCTACCTAACACCTCAGTTAGTCTCACTGCTAATACTGGACTACCATCCTTAAAAATTTCAGGGGTAAACCTGTCAGGGCCTAGTGCTCTCCCACGCTTCAGATTTCCTATAGCTTTTTCAACTTCGTAAAGAGTTGGAGGACTTACATTGACTTGCCATTCAGGTAGACTAGAGATCGTGGGAAACCGAAGTGTGGCTGAAGGCCAGTTGAAGTGATCCCTAAAGTGTTCTGCCCATCCATCCAATCTCCTGGATTGAGAATGAATAATATGTCCATCTTTTTCTGAGATATTTTCGCCAACAGTTGGGTTCCTAATGCCAGTTTCCTTAACAAGTCTGAACAGTTTTCTGCTATAACCTATTCCCGCTACCTTTTCCGTCTCTCTTGCTTTCGCTACCCACCACTGTTCACGATCGTTGCGTAGACTTCTTGTCAGCTTGCGCTTAAGCTAACTCCGCTCTTCGTTATGTTCAGAGCCAGGTGGAATGAGTTTCCGAGCATCTATCAGTGCGATAGATGCTGCTGAGATCCAGTGTTGCTCCCTAACTTTACGGTTTACCTTACTAGCAGATATCACTGCTGTTTCCACAGCTTTTCGGATATCGTTCCATGCTGCCTCGGGGTGGGCATCACATACATGGCTGCCTAACTGTTTTCCTAGTTGTTCCTGAAATATACTCTTAGTTTGAAAATCATTAAACAGGACCCTAAGAAGTTTCCTTGCAGCGTCTTTCTTACGTCCAGTAAGACGCAGGCAAATACGCGCTTGTACTAGAGCATGATCTGAATTTAAGCATGTGCTCCAGAATGAGCGACAGTCTTCTATCGAGCCCCTCCATCGGTGGCTGATAGCGATGTGATCTATTTGGGTCCAATGTTGGGACGAATAAGGGGGTCGCCATGTTAAAAGATGTTTTTCCTTATGCTTAAAGTTAGTATTTGCAAGGAACAGGCGGTTATCTGAGCATAGCTGCAACAGACGGTCGCCATTATCTGTTCTTTGAGCCACGACACCATAAGATTCACCTAGGTGTCTTTCCCTTTCGCTTAGTTTACCTACTTGAGCATTAAAGTCACCAGCCACTATTACTACATCAGAGCGCCTAGCTTTTCGGAGAAGGTCGGAGAGCTTTCTGTAAAACTCATCTTTTACATCATCTGTGCTGCAGTCAGTGGGAGAATAGGCAGAGACGACGAAGAGGCAACGACGAGTGTCCCTATCTTTTCGGACCCTTACTGTTCAGTTCAGTCGGACAGCGCACAAACGACTGTCTACTGGGATCCACTCTAAGAGAGCTAGTTCTGCCTTAGGACTCAATGCTATACCTACGCCGGCGAGGCCACGGGAAGCAGAATCAGGGCTTCCAGATACACGAAGTGTGAATCGAGTTGGTTCTTTATTTTGACATGGTGATGTCAAATGAATGACGCCACTCGGATCCTGTATGCGCGTTTCGGAGACGCAGCACACATCAATGGCGCGAGATTCTAAAGTCCTAGCTAAGGAAGCCTGCTGTCCTATTTGGCAAAGTGTTTGTACGTTAAAAGCTCCTACGTGTAGTTTAAAGCGTGGTTTCAGGAGACCAGGAATAGCGTTCCACGTACACAAATCGTTTGCCCTAGCGGTGCGAGGTGATAAAGAGACGTGAGGAGGGTCAGTCATGGAGATAAGAGAGGTATTAGGAGGTGTAGGAAGGATTTGAATGTGACCAACTTGGTCTCGTGTGCTGTTACGGGTATGAGGGTTGATATCACTTTCCGGCTGCCCACACCGTGGAAGGGTATTTCTTGAGGAACCTGAAAAGGAAGATGGATTAATGTCGGCCTTAACGGCCTGACAGCGCGACCGCAGAGCCCAGGAGACAACTGTTTGAGGCCGGTCGTGCACGGCCTTTTTGTGGGAGGTTTTTAATGTGTTAGCTCCGTTCTTCAAAGAGCCTTACCGCCGGAGACGGAAATCCGTGAGGTAAGGTGAGGTGTGACATTTTCAGGGTCGACCTTTTCTAACCCCTTCCTTCCTTGTGAGAAGGCAGCATCGCTGTAGATGCTAGTTGTCCGAGGGAAACACCTTACTGCTGTCACATCCCTCTACAGTCAGCAGTACGACTTCGCCCTCAGACCTTGAGTTGCTGCTTTTAGTCTTACCGTTCTCCAATCGACCTGCCTGGCATGGTAGAACCTACAGGAACATATGTTCCAGCCAATATAGCTCGGTTGGGTCATCACAATAGGCAAGCCCGACTACCGCGCCAAGGTAGCAGCCACGGTCGGGAAAATACCGCTCTGGTGAAAGCTTTTTCGATGTCTTGCAGTTAGATTATAAGATTCGAATCCTTATTCACTCATCACAAACTTTAGAAACCAGATATTATAGTCATCATGCAATTCAAATTCTATGTATGGACTGGGACTTAGTGGCTGAAAGGCGAACACCTTAACCACTAAGCTACCGCTCCAGTGGCCTTTTAGTATGGTTTTGTAATCTTTACAGAATAGGATTAATATCATTTATTTCGTAATAACCATTCACTAATTACATATTTCTCAACATGAAACAGTTGGGAACGTTATAAACACGGAACTAAATAGCAGAACACTGTACGATTATGATAAGTATATGTATAGTTCCGGAAATAAAAAAGGAATAAAAAAAATGGTCTGTTAGGATCAATTAAATACTTAATATCAAATAATATGGATAATAATAGACTTTTGTAGCCTAAAATACTCTGTTTATGTGATCATACATTTGACCATGGGATTTCAAAAAATTATTGATATGCAGGAATAAAATCTACATTATTCCTGAATTCTGAGCGATGATCATCAGAATATGTAGGGAAACCAAATACTTGATCTCACAAAATAACTGTCACTGATACAAGGCGAATCAGTATCTGGTTGCCGCTGATTGCCTTTAGAAGTTAAACTATTCTTACCAATGAGTTTATAAATATTATTGTTCAGTATTAAAGGGAAATATGGGATGCTTTGTAAATACGATCTATTAGTAGTATAATTGTGCATAGTTGACGAAATTCTAGATTTCATAGTTATTTTTTATTTCTCCAAAGGAATAGATTGATGAAAACCGGTTAGAATTAAGGTTAGGTAGAATGTGTGTCCACTAAATTTAGTAACAGACACCCGTTCGTGTATCGTAGACAAACTTACCGACGTTATAGCAACGGTTGTGAACGAGGATTTATCAGTATCTGATAATGAAGGTGTTATATCCCGGTGAGAATTATGAATGGTTACTTTTGAGAACCATTTATAGACAAATATTATACGTATATTCTTAATATATAACTATTCAGTAGCTAGACTGTGTATATCTATACTCTTCTTATTCAAACCCTTATTTTGATCTGCAAACTGTTATTATGCGATTTACCGTTCTGGAGTTAGGCCCAGTCTATTAATTACAATCTCCCACATTCACAGCCACTTTTGGCTATATCTTGTACAAATGTTATTTTCTATTTTATGGTATGATGTGGTCTGGTTGTTTTGTATATAAACTAGGTATATTTAAAATAAATGAATCATATCACAGAAGCTGAGATTGGTGCTCTGGACTGAACAGGCAAGGCTAAGCAGGAAGAAGGACCGATAAAGACTTTAGACTGCTCGTACGGGTTTTATGTGCCATTGGTCCGGTCGATAAATCGATGTTCTCTAATTGGCGGCATCATTACGTTATATATCAATAGGACACAAGATATAACAGAAGGGAATGTTGGTTAAGTATCAAATCTTTGTTGAAGTCTTTCAGCTACTCGAAAAATACGGTGATTCATTTGCTAGAGAACAGACCAACGGTAGTCGTCAGTTATCATGTTTTTTTTATCTCAGCCAAACTTCACAGTAAATTTTAGTCTCAATAGTTCTATTGAAGAAACTAACTTTTAAAGAGTCTATCCTCTTTAGATGAAATAAATACAGACTCGAAAAATGTAAGATCCAGTCGTCGACTGGAGAGTATACTGAAATCTTCAAGATGTCCTTGGCGAAAAACTGTTCTTTACGTTAGCTTCTAAGTGCACAATAGAATTTTCAAATTTGTATGCATTTGTTTCTATTTTAACATTTGTAGACTTAAGAGATTAATTGTTTCGGCTTCATCCAATCAACTAGGAGAGTCAATACTATATTTTCATTTAAATCACATATGACATTTGGGACTTATTCCACAACTAAAATCAATTACATGGTTAATAAAGCTCGAGTGTATTTTAAGCGTCAGCTGTTTTCTATTATTTCACTCAAAGTAATGTAAGGTTCGATTGTTACTTCTTAGAAGATAGAAAAAAAGGGCGTTCGGATCAAATAACAGCTTTATAACGATTTAAATTACAAAGATTTAACTGTTTGAACGAAAAAAAACGTGAAGACAATAATATACTAACTCTGGTTTTACAGGGACGACTAATAGCTGACAAAATGAATTACCGTGACAATAGCTTATTTGCTCATTGTATGGTTTATATGTAATTCGAAATAAACTCGATTTGATCTATTGATAAGGGATTAATTTGAATAAAATTTTGAGATAGACGTTTCCCTGAAAAGTTAACCAAGTTACTGAACTAGATAGTAATGACGTTGTTACATTGTAGGATGCTACTCTGATTAAATAAAATTGACTGTTTGCTTCTTGTCCCATTTTAATAAACAAATGTTCGAAATACACACATACAGGCACAATTACAAGAAAGAGAAATTCCCACAAAAAACAATCGTTTAAAATGCAACGAAGAGAAAACAAAATTAGTCATTCAGATGTATATGTTTATCCTTTCTGTGTGTGCAGTAAACAAAGACAAGTCTATTTTTCTTCACTAACAAAAAGTGAGAAATCTAGAAGCGAGGAATATGGTTTGATTTTTTCTCAACTGAAAAAAACGAAATGTATCTCAAGGTCAGTTGTAAACGATGTTGTAGTTCATATAAGTATGGCTATTTGTTTATTTTTAATCAAAATGTTTTTCTTAAGAACAAAGTAATAATGTCCCAGTAATTGGAGACTAGATAGTGAAAACAAAATAACCGAAACTATCAGAAGAACAAATACTAATAGCAGACTATAGGGTAAGGCTACGACTGTTACGAGAATGCAATAGTAAGTGATTGGTTCGAATCAAAGTAGAGAGAGTTATTTGGTTGATTTAATTGCTTGAATAACGAATAAGATTTCAAAAGATTATATAAATGCTCGGTGTTTAAATTTTTAAACTATCGAATTTCAGAAATTAATTCTTTTATGGTCTATACTAAACAATAATGACTAACATATTCATGATTGAAAACTATGTTATCATATTATATCCATAAACAAATGCTTTCGAAATTAACCAATTTATTCATTATACAAGACTGAATCGGTCAGCAGATCTTTGAGTACCATTTGAGAAAACTGAGCAACTAGTATCTTAAGACCTCATACTTACGCATCATGATCCTTTATTGACCATTGTGGTCGTTTCAGGCGCTTCGAATAACGGTATAGGAGCAGTTGTCCCACACATCCTTCCCGATGGATATGTAATTAGTTCGTTTACAACAATAAAACGTAGTTATAGCTAGGTCGAGAAAGAAGCACTCTCAGTTATCATTGTTGTAAATATTTTCCGTAAGACGATATTTAGACGTCGATTCACGCTGTTAACTGATCATAAACTATTAGTGTGTTTGGGTCAAAAAAAGGGATTCCAGTCAACACAGTTAATCGATAAGAATTATGTGTGTTGCAGTAGAACTAATTAACAATTTTACATCTTGTCAAGTATTAAGAGGTTAAGATTTCACTGAGCTAGTGATCAGTATAGACTTGGTATAAAGTAAAGAAATTGTCTGAACACTTATTACGTAATTTTTAATGAATGTTATGTTAGTGTCTGCTTTTCCGAGTATTTGACCTACTTCCTATTATAATGTATTGACTCAAGCTCTTATTAATCTTATTACAACTAGTATACCTGTCATCACACTATCAATTTGTACCTCTTCTTTATTTTATTCATTTATGCAATCATTAAGCATAAACTGTCTTGATTAGTTTGGTATTTTCATGTGTGCTTAGAAATATCACTGTATATAACCCTGAGGAGGATCTAACTGGAAGCAATATAGTTCGCTTATATGTGTTGGCCTAAAACTACAGGAGACAAAGTAACATAGATTGTTGAATATCGGTTCTACAGTTAGTGAAATTGTATCACTCGAACGAGTAGAACAGAGTAAGGTGTTGAGAGTGTCCCACAATATTCCTCATCAAAGTGTTTATATTCCCAGGAACACCAGGAAACGTTTTAACCAATCAGTTGGATAGAAGCATCATAGAAACATCTAGAAAATACAGAATCACGCTCCACGGTATTGATTGGATATTTACCTACACTGCTACTACTATATTTAATGATTTTAGAAGTTTCCAGAGACTCAAGGTTATGTGTAACCACAAATATCCCCATTTTTCTGTATATGGACTAAACTCGTAATTCGCGCCCTCCTTCTAGTATTCTAGTTAACTGATAGAAATAGTCGAGGTTAACAGGAATTGGATGGGAAGACCGTTAAAGCGTATCGGTAGCGAGACTTATCAGAGTAGATGAAAAGAAAGACAGTGTGAGAAGAGTGACAACCTTGATTATTTGTATTGATTTTATCCAATCAAAATTACATCAACACCACTTCAACATTCACTTGTTTGCGGAGTCGTTGAGTTATCTATGACTCGGAAAATAAGAAATAATCAGTAAGTAATCAGAAGGGATACAATTCTTTAAACTATTCAAACTCACTTGGTAAAGGGTTAATAGATTGTGACGTAGTTAACTGCAGTTTTTCACCTTCACTGGGATGATCAATAACGGATGACCATACGGTTGGATTAGGATTTTCTCTCATACGTAAACGTCGAATTAATCGATCTACAGCAAACTGACTAGGACCATCTAAAAACCAATTTGTTAGACGCTCTAAATTAATTAATTCTAAATCTCCAGTTTCATTTAGTCGATTCATATATTCCGAATGTGTTGTACATATTAGAGAGTATTCGTTAGAATTATTTATATAATCCTGTTCCCGTTCAATCATAGTTAGTAATGAAATCAATTTTCGACCAAGTCTTTGTTTTTTCAACGCAGGAAAGATTTAACAGAAATAAAGAAAAAAAAGGATGAAAATCGGTATCCAAATCACAAATAAACCATCTATAGGTTTTGAACCAATGTTCCATATAGTTGTTATTGACCGAATTAATTTTATTGAACAGGTTAAACGTAATATTTCTAAAAAGTATCCCTTAGTAGTAAAAAAAATTAAAATTTTAAACGGTACATTTCTAAATACACCGTTTGTTAACAATGAATATTGGATAGCATAAAACTTGAGTCCTTAAAACTCTACCAATCATGTTGAAACATTCCAAATTAATAAATTCAAATCATAGTCAATAAATGGCATGAATTTACTTGATAATGACTTTGGATCGTTTCAAGATACATTCTTATTAAATAAGGTACACAGTGATGTATTACCGCTAATTAAATGGTGCATCTAACCCAATATGTTATCCATAATTTTAGAAACTTCAGATTCAGTTGTCTAAAGTCCTGGTACTTTGCGATTTTCATTCGTAGTAACAGTGGAAATTCCCAGATATTTGGAGAAAATATTGATTTATGTTCCATGCTTTAAGTGATCTTTGAGGAGGAAAGATTTAAGAATTATTCCTTACTGTATGCTGAGATATTAGTGTATTGGTGAAAACAGATAAGATTTATTATAGATTATTAATCTCATTTATATGCTCCATTCAGGAAGTTTTCTATATTTTCATACGCTGATTGATCTGAATCAACTACTAACTACTGATAATACCATACTACTGTGTTACATCATATAACACTTCACCACTGTTTAACGTAAATAACTACAAATCTGGATCAGAAACAGAAATCATAGAGGATTCGTTTAAGAATTGCTTTGAATACTCAATCAGGGAGCAACAGATATAAGTTTTAATTTTAATCAAAGCCTCTTTAGTAGTGGAGATAATTAATGACATGTGAGTTGCAGTGCATGATCTTATGCTAGACTGTATGACTGATTGGTAAAATTCTACTTAAGTCACAAGATAATCAACATCCAATTTGTTCGGGGTCATCAAGGCAATAATGTTACAGACATTTACAAAGTTAATACTATTATAATTTAGGTTTAATATAACTATAAAAATAAATCAAGTGCTGCTGGTAGTAAAAAACAAGAGAGCAAGAGAGAATTTACAAACCCATAGAGATTGTCCAGAATTTACTAGAGAGATAAATCTAACTTTTACCAAATTAATCTATTCTATATAGAACTGATGAGAGGTGACTAGCAGTGGGGTAAAGGACACGCGTTTCATCCTGTTTGGGACTCGTCAGCTGGATGGGTCTAGATTACAGAGCTGATATCCACTCTGGGGTTCAAACCAGATAATTTTTGCTTCAAACGTTGTGAAGTTAAGTTTTGAGGGTAGATAAGCACTCACTCATACAACAGGGTGAAGGTTGACTCTAAGATGTAGGTATATCCAGCTGACGGGTCCTAACCAGGATAAAACGTGTATCCTGAATTTCACTGTTTGTCAAAATCCATCTATTCTAAATAACTCACGTCATAACGGCTACATTGAGGCAATCTGCACAGGATTCACATATATTAAATAACACTGATCAAATTTCAATCAGAATATCAACCACGACATAATGCAAACCACTACAAATTAAATTTTTGTAATCAATCTTTGGAATATTTTCCCTACACTTTTTATTTAAAAAATAAGATGATTTATCTGCTTACTTAGTATGAGAGAAATGTGGTGTTCCAAGGCGAGAGTGATGATGTAATCGGGAGTATAATGTATCACCAGGTTGAGGTTTCAATGACGTATCCATAAGCAATCGTGTTAAACCACGTAGACCAATTACAATAGACTGATTGCATTCAATTGATTCCTACAGATTAAAAAGTGTTTACTAACAAATTCTGATCACAAAGAAATCTGTGCGTATAATGTACATATATTAAAGAGAAAATATCTAAGTGAAATATTCCAAATTTACAACAGAATGTTTACTGCTCACGACAACAGAGGAAGGGTAGAAATGAATAATCATTGGTTATTTTGCGACTTTTCTATTTGTCCTTGGTTGTCCATTCGTTACCTCATAGGTATAGCTTATTATTTGAATATTTTTGTCAAAACCATAGCTTTAATATCCTTATATATATAATGGTAGTTGGGTAACGGTTTTATTTTCGAAAATCTATTTGTTTGGAATCGGTAAATCATCCATTTGACCATCATAGTAAGCTTTCAATATTTATCAACTCGACATACATAGCATTATATTGTTTTTGTTCACATCTTAAGACGGATCACTGTATGTATCATGAAATGTAATGTGAGGATTTAATGATATTGAGATAAAATTCAAATTATCCGGAGAAGTTATGAAACTAAAATTTCAGCTTACTGGGACTCAGGAACTTTAAGGGGATTTACAATCATTTCATTTTTAGCTATAATTTGCTGCCATAGTCTGAACGATTGTAAGCTCATTTGGTATTGTATGAGAGTCTGATAAATAATTGATAAACAAGGAAGCAGACATCTTGAATATTGACGGTTCTCTAAGGATTATCTCAAAAGTGTCAAGTTAAATGAGTAAATTAGAAACATGTGTGTTGTTTTGATTAGAGTAAACTCGGTATAAAAGTGACTATTCATCAACATACCTCTGAACTTGTTAGTTGTCCGTTATCAGATTCTATTTTAATTGAGTAGATATTTTGCTGAGCATCTGATGCAGAGGATAATAATTCTAAGTAATTTGTCCAAATTCTTTCAAATTCTCTACGATCTAACCAACCCATAGCGTTAAGACGGGTAATGTTCACTATTAAATGATCTAAATCCAGGTTTACAAATGAATTAATGCAATCTGACGTTTTCACATCATTAGATTCATGAAATGACATATTAATTGAACTGTAACTGTATGAACTAGATACATTCAAAGTATGTAGGAGACGAGAAATTCCTGGAAGAAAAAGAAACAGAATATGATGCGTCTTAGAGGTGAAGTAAATTCACTAACTGAAAATGGATAAGCTCTATATATGATGCGGTGTTTAAAAAACAAGGGTTCAATAATAATCATCAAATAGATTTACCGAAAATTTAGTTATCAGAACAATTTGTGAGATTTAACACAAAATTGTTCAATTAACCGACAAAATTGTAGTTCCTCAACAAATGAGGTGGAAACCGCGTAGTTTTGTACAACTTAACTTATACAATAAAATTATACAATTGTTTGTTCCAACATTTATTCATTGTATTTTCTGTCAGATAGTATAAACGCTACTACTTACTCATGAAATACAATGTTTTCCCATTCTGTAACTCATTTCTTGTCGTTGATAATTCACGAAGTGTACAGATTACTCGCCGCATGATTGCAGGATACGTCTTCCAGCTCAATTATATTCCTTTCGGATATTACTTACATTATGAGATTCCAAGGACTGACAATAACAATTTACGTTCACCGTTGGTGAGTCTGCTAATGTCAGTTTGTAGATTCAGTCGTTTAGATACAAACACATTCTCGAAGATCCTACCATTATTCAGTGTTGCATGTAAAGTAGAAACTAAATATCGGAATCGTTGTCAGAATAATTCACGATCGAAAGCTAGTAATAGTCTAATGGAAATATGAGGGTGATATTCATCAACACTTTTTCCCCATAGGTAAATTTCAATTCTCAATTTCTATCAGCTGATAAAAAATTATACAACCCAAACATTTTACTTTTGTTTTGGAATTTCTAAATACTACTCATAAAATCACTCTCAAAAACTGGCATCACAGGAAAGTAAACTTATCAGGACAACAAAAACATCTGGTTTTGATTATAAGAAGCTATTTTCAAAGTAGTTTTAGCAATCCAATTTGATAATTTAGTTATTGAAGCAACTTAATATATCTGTACTGTAACTAACCAAAGAAAAATATAGTTTTATGAATTTTAATAAGTATTAGATTAATATCGATTAATGATATGAAAAATACAAACAAATAATATACAACTCTAATATAATAAAATAGTTACCTAAGGTGCAAATGTTTAATTGACCAACTATATCTAATCCCGTTGACTGAATAAAGTTAGAACGTAACAGTCTACACTTGCCAATCAGTTGACATGGTTGAATAAATCCACCTTCTATATTTCCAAATCTTGTCTGATTCGTATTGGAATTTAATATGGAAAACGATGCAACTGAGGCAGTTGCGGCACAAAAGTAAGAAAGAGTCGATGCACAAATCGAATCAGGCCACCATAAACCCATAATAGGTGGATGTAAAGGAGTGAGTAAATTATTTAATAAGATTGTTGTAGATAATTGTGCAGGTAATAATGACGATGGCTTTGTTATCGATTGCTGTGTATATTCATCTAGGATTCTTTGAACAGCAATTATCATATGCTGGTTGGTTGATTTAGACCAAATTGTTGTATACTCAGAAAGACATGCTAAATATATGGAAAAAGAATACAAGCAATTTATGCAGTAGACACGAATACAGTATTTTTAATGACGAACATTGAGTTTGGTAAAAAGTTTACTTTAGCGAAATAACCCTTTCTGGAAACTTCATATATATCTAACAAATTATAAGTCTATGAAATGTAGTAATGGAAAATACAAATTGTTAAAAATCGAAATTCCATATTTTAGAATATCATAAGCGGTAATCTGAAATGTCAGTATATAATTTGAAATTGAAAGTTACCGTAAAGGGAGGACTTATGAAACCAGAGAAATACGATAACTATCTTTGTAAATAGAGCAAATGTGAGTATCATTAGCCTAATGGTTTAAATGAGGATTTAATATGAATGATCAACAAGACTTTGGGGTAGAAACAACATTTATAATAATAGTAATAATGACGAAATAAAAGAAACATTTCAGTGAACATTGGAGAAAAAGTGAAAAGGCTAGGTTCATGGCAAAGAAGGGAATCCAATACATGGTTTTTATATACACAGTAGTAACTGTGTAGATACTGAAAGCTACTGCAATGTACTTTACGTGTATGCCATTTGGAATATGTGACCGGATCTTGTAAATAGTATCAAAGGATAGGTCTGAAACTAAAAGCATTAAATATTGCAGGATGAAAGATGTAATTAATTTGCATTATCTCATCAGATCATGGCTTTTTATATCTTAATAAAGATAAGATTTTTCCAATATCTATAATTTGTTACAGACAGGGTTAAATTCGTCTAATTAGCCGTATTATGACTCTACAACTAATTGAATATTAAAAAAATCGAGCTGTGAAATCAATCACAGTGAACATACTGTAGCGACATAAACTTTAATATACTTCAGCGAATTAATGAAAATATTCAAAAGGGAGCATAGAAATGACGCTAAGTATATAAATCCTAGTAGTATCTCATATAGATTTGCTAGAAAGCTACATATACAATAAATAAATCTAAGTAATTTTAAATGAGTGTATCACTTTTGGACTACTTTCGTTAGAATATGAAGATTGACACCATTTAGTTTTAATTATCACAATTCGCATACCTAAAACTTCATATTGGACCAAGAATTTTTTTCATATAAGTGATTGCACGACATTACAAATTTTAATCTTTAAAATTGAAGACAATTACCAAGTAGTGACTGGTCGAAAACAATCAGAGTATTGTAGCTGAACAGGGAGGTAAATATTTTAAAACGCCTAGGATGTAAGACTAGTCACACTACATAACATCTTTAAAATTCATTTGTATTGGTTATTTGAATCTTGCCATTGATTTTTAGGACTGCAATTGATCTGGCTGGCGAGTCCCGAACAGAGAAAACCGCGCGGGTTGAATTCCACTGCTGGCCACCTCTGCTTAATCTTAGCTTCAAAAGTTCACTTGGATTTACCAATGTGACAAATAGCTTGAACAAAATTGAGCGGAAAATATAATCTCGCGAGGCGGGATCGTGGATGCACACTGCTGAGAAGTCCCACAATAGGACGAAACAGCCATTCAATGCTTCCAGATTTTTCATGGTGGTCTAGCTTCAATTGACTCACGATCTCAACCATCAAAAAATATAACTTCAATGTAACATCTAACCAATAAGATGAATAAGTAAATAAATGCTAAGAACAGTTTACTCATAGATGTTTATGTTAATGAATTATTTCCTTCATGAATATAAATTAGGATCTATTTGTTAAATTTTATAAATCAGCAGAACTCATTTGAAGTCTAACATGACATATCACACAAACAAAATGAATTTCACATAGTCAAATGAGAACGGTAAAACTAATCCGTTGACTCCATCACTATAAAGCAATCAGTAAAATGTGTACATCAGGAATGTTAGTAAACTAAAACTGATTTCTATAATTTTGACCGAGGTGGTAAACCCTTTAGTACTCTCTTTCAATAAAATTTTACTGTGTGGATTATTTAAGTGCATAAAACTAAAAAGAATCAAAGAAAACAGTTCACATATCATTAAACTTGGTCGAATTTTACTGGTTCCGTTTGTAAAGTGATTGCATTTGAGCTAGATGACTCAAGATTAGTATGCACTTTATTTAATATTGGATAGTTCGTAAATGTCATATACAAGAGAAAGGTTAATTGTTTATCGGTCGTCAGTGAAAATGTGTTTTTGTATAATAAATTATAAATCATCATGATTTGTGGACATATCATTATATAAATTAAAGGAATTTGTTAACTAGGATTCACGTTTGAGAATTATTTTACTTATGAAAATTAAAAATGTAAAGGTAAGAGACTGTCCATCATTTTGTCCAATTTTTGCACGTAAATTTGAGAAAATCTTGATTCCGAAAAATTTTATGATAATCCTTAAGTGTTGTATTCTGAAAACAAAGAGAGAAAACGACAACAATCGGAAAGAACAACATACTTAGTCGTAGGTAGAGGTAGACAAACGTGAGACTGTTAACCTGTCTTATAGAGTAGAGTTTTATGCGGGATATGTTAGAACATGGTATGGATACTTTGCCGAACACTTTCAAAGCTACTTATTTTGGGGTGTTATTGATAGCTACAAAATTTATAAGAAATGTAGATTAACTAGATATTCCCAAGACTTCAATTGAAAAATGTTTGACTTTTGACGCAATTTATCACTGATACATGAAATCTAGAAACACATAAATTTATACTAATTAAGTTTTATGATTGTAGTTACAATCCTAATCATTCATATTGTTTTCACTTCGAGGGAACATGACACTATGAATGAGTTTCGATTAAAAACATTTCAGTGAAAGAAAATTGATATCATTTTTAACTCGATTTGAAACAAAAAAAGGTGGTTTGAAAGTAAAGCATATCTTTAAAATTAAATTCGTTCAATCAAAAAGAAACTAAACATTATTTACCTGATTTATCAATCATCCATATGAAGACAAGAAAGATAGATAAAATCTTTTTACCATCACCACCGAACAAATCCACTCCTTTGGCAGAACGATTTAGTGCTGTTTGTAAAATATAATTTAATAATCGAAGACTAGTTTGTATCATTGTTACAGATACGATATAATATCGTGGAGGTTTATTATTATTATCATCATCCTTGTTCATAATTTGTGACTGATTTAATACATGATCAGTATTGGAATAATTATTGCCTGAACAAACACTAGCTATTTTAGAATATGGATAACCCATTGAATGAAAAGAGAACTGAAATAATAATAAAATCAAGAAAAATAAGAGAACAAATTAATTGAGATTGTTTGGGAAAGAATTCTAAATAAATGTTAAATCATAAAAGAAGTTCGTCAATAAAATATTAAAAAAAATGAGGCTCTGAAAAAAAGTTCATTTATAATGTTGGATTGAGGATAGGGAATTTTAATATTTGTTACAAAATCACATAAAATTTCTGTTCTGATAGTTTTTAGATAACCATTTGAACCATTAAGTTAATAACAGTTAAATAAGACTTGTAGATTCAAGAATTTACTACGTGGAGCGGTGGATTATTGAGTAAAGGATTCGGCTTTCAACTGTTGTCTCACAGGTTCAAACCCCAATCTACTTCAGTTAGGGCAATCAGGTAATACAATCAACAATCAAACAGACAATGAAGTCAAAATCCCAGTAAATAAAACTACGATTGGTGAATTGTATGATATAACATGGTTGATTTTTTTGTTTACTAACCTAACGGTTCAGTTTTCTTTGGACATGTGAAATATAGAGAACATTCCATGTCAAAAACGGAAGAACGTTTCTTTTAGGAATATTCTTAATTTTTACAATGAAGAGCCAAAACATTAACGGTTTTTCACAACTAAATGTGCGATTTCCGGAAACAAATGGCAGAAAAAATCAATGAAAAAGTGAAAAATCTGAAAATCCATTTCCAGTTTGGCAGTAAGATGTAACGTTGACAATTAAAAAATCAATCAGATCTATTATAATTCTAAATGAATGGAAAAAGCAGTCGGAGAGATACCAAATAATGATAAATGAAAGTTGCTCAATGTTTATTTTATGCATCAATACGTAAAATTGATGTAAACTCATTACCACAATAGTGTTAGATCTATGCAAACTAAATTTTTTAACCACTGCTGATCCAAACAACCGGCTAGTTAATTCCTTCACAAACACTGTATTAAACATAAATTATATGAAATATGAAAGGGGAATCAGACGTTTTCTATCCATATCATGACATTTTATGTCGATGATTATTGTTGATTTCTCCAAGTTTTTATCAATCATTCCAACCACATTTAGGGTGTTTTTATTCGTGTTCGAATCCAAATAGACAATGCTAAAAAGCTTAGAAACTACAACAAAATATTCGTTGAGTGATTAATTGTGTTATTCAGTTCACAAAATGATGTGTCAGTTTACGATGTAAAAAGAAAATTTTGCAGCGGTATATGAAATATTCAGAACGATATTTAATAAAGGATAAACGTTTTTATGTGACAGTTTAAGAATAAGTTCAATTCTAAACATACTTCGATAAGAATGAGTAGAAAACTCAATGCATCTGTTTCCTTTTCAATTGGTACTAAATCCCCCAGTGGTAAATGAGGTAAAACTCGAAGAAACTCTAATAAAGCGAATGATAGACCGGTTAAATATGTTTGTACAGAATCAGCCAAATTCGGATCTAGAAATTTTTGCGTTAAAGAAGATAAGTTTATGATGTTAGAATCAAGTAAATATAAATATTACAGAACCTTAAGATAAAAATAATAGTGTGTAAAAGAGAGATGATACATTCAACCCCATTATTACCTTGTTCAACAGTACGGTCGTCGCGTTCTGATAACTTTCGACAGTAAACATGAGGGAAGTGATACCACACGCCGCCGATTGCAGCAGTACACTCCGTAGTACGAGTACAACCTTAAACCCTAAATTTGTTATTTTTTTGTGTTCCAAGAGGTCAGCCTAGCATGATAAGGTATCATGGGAAACATTTTCCACTCAATGTCATCATACCATCTCGGTTGGTATTTGAGGATTGCTTCTATTGGTGAACAATCTATTTAACTACCATGGCGCTCGAGTGATTTTACTAAATCATATTTTATCTACTAACTACAAATTGACATTAGTCTGTGACACCTGCTCACGCTACCGTCCAAGTGAACATGTGCACATCATAAGTAAATCATCGTCGTCCCTCTCGTAGCAGTAGTTAGCCTACATCACATGTGAATATTTATCTTATAGACCAATTTAACAAATATTTAGTGATTCAAATGTAATTTATAGGAATCCAACACCAATTAAAATAATGATATTCCATTAATCAAATGAACAGAAAAAAAAGATTACCTTCGATTTCTGTGAACAATTCACTGGGATTTGTGACAATATTCTGTATATTTTGAAACAGAATTTTCTGACTGAAATGAATAATTGATTGAAGAATGAAAGTTACAGCTAGATATTTTCAAAAGATAAATTACTTATTTAATTTATCCTGATTGCTTTCACAACTCGATAGATAGAAAGTGATCAACATCAAGGACTAAATGATATGGCAATAGTTACTACTCAATAATAAACTAGGGTAATTAGACTGAACTAAAAATGGGGAATAGATATGACGATATTACAAAAATGTATTCATAATGATATTTTACATCACATAAAAGTGAGTCTTCAAATATATTCCACGAGCGGCAAATTAGTTCGTTCTGATGGGTTTGTTTGTTACTAGTTGTTTCCTTAATCTTCGTTTTACTTTTCATTGATCTAAGTAAGATGCTGATAGACGTTTTCCCTATCACACTTAAATTTGTTATTGTCTGGGTGTACTGACTCCAATGATGACAGACCGTAGTATCCTACCACTAGTTTATTTTCGTGAATGAATGGGTAAAAAATTCGTCCGCCTTGTGCAATGTAGTATTTCTTGCAACAGGTATAATTCACTTTTTCGATGACACTAAATTTGCTTTTTTTTTCCCCGCTGTTTTGTCTTTCAGTCTGTATATAGTAGAATGAAGTGATTGTGTCGGTTTGTGAGCAATATAGATTCCAAAACTTTTCGAAATGCTCGTATTAACTTCTGAGAATTCCTTAATATACGGTAGAACGATCTCTCTCCTGGTATGCAGGTGGTGGTATGTCCATGTGCTAAACATCTGCAGATGAGGTACTTCAAATTTTTCGTGCAGTGACAGTGCTGCAATGAACTCTCTTCGCAGTGAGTAGCATTTACTCACAAATATTCCTAGACGTTGGTAGAGGATCGCCGTTGTAATTTGGCATTTGATCATTATGGGATGGGTTCTTGTATATTTGTGTTTTAATTGTTGCTGTCCTATTGACTAAGAAAACCTCGGATAAACTTTCCTTTTTTGAATCTTCTCTTGTAAATCAGATGTCGTTGAAGACGCGGAGTTCTTTGGACGAAATCGTGGGATTGTTCCTCACATAGTGAATGCACACCAAACCAAAATGTGAGGTATTTTACATTCGAAGTGCGACAATTATGTACTCTGTACGTTTCGAAGGTCATCTTAGGATAACATATAGTCGCTTGATATTTCAATCCATAGATGTTGAGTTTCAAAATTGATCCACATTATACGATATAACTGTATTACACATTTCAGTATGAATGAATAAATCTGGGAAACTATAGAGAAAAACTTACGCAACTCGAAATAAGACATTTACACAAGGTGTGATATGTGATGTTTTTGAACAAGGTTTATGAGTTTGATTTGTAATTTCAGGTACGGCAGAAAGGGAACTTAGAGATAATGATGAAGACGCGGATGACGAACCAAGTACCAAAGCATAGTACAGCATTCGTGGAGAGCATCGAAGGCATACAGAATTGAGAATATTGGATATCTTTTTTTCCCTAATATTCGAACATTCTGACAGAGCATGAATCAATCGAATTCCATTCAATGCAGCTGATAAATTATATTGCATCAAGAGATCTTTTGCTGAATTCAATAACCAAGTGGTCTCATTAGGTTGCTATAATGTTTTAAAGAAAAAGACCAATGGGAATGTATCTATCTATTGGAAATTAAGGATACGTTTAGATAAAGTAAACGATAGATAACTTAAGAATATTCTACAGTATGAAACAGTCGGAGTTGAATAACTATAAAATTAAAAAAGGTTGGTTTTATAGCAGCCTTCCACAAATTTTTATTTGCATGACCTACTTCGCTAGGTCATATAAGAGGCCAAGAAAGGCCTGTTATATTTTTATCATCTATTCACTGTGATCTAGATATTTGATCCACTACTATGTAGACGAATGTGTCATTTCGACTGAAAGCATGTTTACATCTTGATCATCATCTATTCCCCTTTTATTGATTGTAAACACAGACAATCAATGACTTTACTCACGTGTTGATTAGCACCAATGAAAAATACACACATTCTTCATTTTCACTCAATTACTCTCCAGTGTGTTTGTGAATTTAGTTGATTATTAACAATACGCACTTTCCCAAAACAACTGGTATTCTGCCTTTTGAATACTCCCAACTGAATTCATAACGATACTAAGAAAATTAGATTGCTAATATATGCATAGTTAAAAGGTTATCACAGTTTGCAGTCAAAAATGAGGAAGTAACCTCAACAATCTTGTCGCTAAAACAACGTTCAGTAAAATACGATAATAGATAGGATCAAGTCCATTATAACATAGAATTTACAAGAACGATATAAGAAGATGAGTGATGAATACAATGAGAATATAAATTGTGTTCACCATAAAAACACAACACACAAAGAGTGCATAAAAATGCACATAATTACAATTGATTTTGAATAGTCTTAAATATGTAGAATTTACAGAGAGTAATTTCATCATATATCAACTAAAAAATGTATCAGAGAATTTCCAGCTTCGGCAACCTTGAGGCTTCTGTACACGAAATCAAAAGTAAATTATTGATAATATTGTATTTGCAATGACACTATTAAACGATATCATCATACCGTGATCACGAAGTAGTACAATATTTCTCCTTGAAGAATCTGAAAATAAAGTTGGGTTAATGGTGGTCTTAATGAACTGAGAGCATAGCAACAAGGTCCAAAGGGCAACTGCTCGAGGCCGATCACACACGGTCTTTACATGAACAGATTTCAATGTGTTATTTCAACACTTTAAAAGGCTTTACCACCGGAGTAAGATGAGGTATGAAATTCTCAGAGCCGACATTTACTAAATCCTTCTTTCCTTCGTGAGAGGCCAGCATAGCTGTAGATGCTGGTTGTCCGACGGAAATACGGTACTAATATTACACCCCTCTACAGTTAGTAGTATGACTTCACCCCGGACCTTAAATTTTTTTTATTACTTTACCTTTCTTCAACCTACCTGCTTGGAATGATAAAACCTAGAGGTACAACTATTCCAGTAAATATAGCTCCATTGAATCATTATGATAGACAAGTCCGACCACCACGTTAAGGTAGCAGCTACAGTCAGGGAGGGCTATTTCAGTTAGCGAAATATCGAACAGTCTATGGAAGTTGGAAAGGAATTCTACTTATTAGTACTTTAGGTTAACGTGTTGCAAAATTTATTTTAGATACCACTTTTATGTTAAACAAGGAAAAAGGATATAGAGAAACGGTTTACACTCGTTCGTCAGCAAAAAAACCTATTTGATCAGCTTAATTTTAGGCACTAAAATAGAATGGGATATACTGAAACAATAAATATGATTGCGTGTCTAGAACATGGAAATTGAAGAAAATGAATCACAAAATTATTCACCTATTGCTAATACCATGTCTTTTATCACTTCAGAAATGAAGATCGAAATATACACTGACTGAATGTATCAAATCATATGAATATGGAAATAATACAGAATATATATCTAAACAAACTTGAAACAATTGAGGATTGATACATAGGTCTAGAGCAAAAAATATTTCTCAAGACATAGAAACTATCTGACAAAATGACTTCAGTATTAAATGAAATTTTTGTTATATAGGTAATTAATTTCAATTCCTAGTAAACAAGGAAAAGATTAGGATAGACATTATTACACTGACCTTTATGATTGCGTTAAAATTAACATGAGTTAACGTGCTGGGAGAAATATATTTCTCAGTTTTATCAGGCTTTTCATTCGTAAATTTGATAATTTCGTCGAGCAAATTAAGTAATCTATCTGATTTTAAATTGTTCTTGAGTGTTATTAAACGCGTGCGATAGTTCAACAGGACATGATATGGCACCATGCACTGTAGTTTCTGTAACCAATAAAATGAAGTGTAGAATATAAACTACTGATAAACTTAAAAGTAATATAAATATAAAGTAATGTTTTTACTAAACAAACAAAATGAGATCAGAGATGGCTAAGAACACGCTTTAGAAAATGATTGGAGAACTATCTGAATTATTTTATCGTAAAACATGAAATTTTAAAGTCTAGTAACGTGAAGTAATGCATATTTGTATTCAGATTTCCATGTGAAGATGAGTGCGTTTATACATTCACTTTCATTGGTGAAACATGATTTCTTATGGTGTTTTCGCGGAGTGGACAAGTAATCCCAACTTTGAAAGGGCATGAATAGTACACACATGAAAAAAAGAAAGATATAAAAAAATTTAAGTAAGACAAATTACCTCGACCTTATTATCACAGGTTTTAAGAATCCATTCTAATATATTACAGGCTTTAATAGATGCGATAATTCGTAAACTGATTGGCATAGTACTCCTTGTACAAGTTGAACAATGTTTTCCTTTTTCAAATGAAACCGGCTTACATTGAGGAGTAATAAATATATTGAACAATGTGTCAAGTTGATAAGTTGTTGATTCTGTATGAATTTTGTCAAACATATTACTGAGAATAAAGTGTATCTGTTCAAGAGACTGAAAGATTTAGAGCAAATGATAATAATAATAACAACAACAATACCGATATTTATGTGTGAAAATTCGACAAATCAAAATATTGGTCTAATACAATATCAAAAGTAACCTCTTATATAGATTAAAAATAACTGAGGTATAGACAACCTGATTGCAACTATGATTCGTTTAATGTGCCTTTAAACAATATAGGGTTTATTAACTTCAATTTTTAGATCCTTATAAAGAAGAAATTCGATAAACCGGTTGTTGATAAACTTGATTGAATTTTGTCTCATTTTTGTCAACATACATGCAACCTGGGAAGATTGTCTTGATAAAGCAATTTTCACATGTTTTACGGCAGAAATAGAATTTGCGGCTAATAGTGGAATCCTGGATAAGCGTTCCATCCTATTTCGGACTTATCATATAGATGTACATGCATCTGTGTTGGTATTCACACAAGGACCCAATCCCAGTGACCTTCGCTTTAAAAGCTCAACATGTTATTTACTGTGTGACTGAGTCCAGATAGCCACTAACTTTTACATCCAGTATGATATTCAGACCATTGTTGGAAGGGATCTGAATAACCACATTGTTGATAGTCTTGAACTAATTCTAATAAATCTTCATTGGACGAAACTGAGCGTTCTAGATCCTACTTTTATTCATAAACATATCTGTTCCATTAGATATTCAAAGTTTAATTTATTCACCGAGTCAATTGTAACAATTGTTCTCAACCTATCATTGTGAAAGAGACACCTTTCTCATTACATCGACTATTAAAAAAAACTGTTTCTTCACGTTGAAATATTACATGTGTGTTTATGATTCTCAGGATTGTATTGATAGTTAGTGAAGTAAATTTATTTATCAGTTGTTGGATTTAAACACAAAGCGTACGGGTCAACAGTGGATATGATGATTAACTTTCCAGATGAATTACACAACTACCAATCCATATCAACAAAAGCTAATAAATTTTGAACTAAGTGCTACGAATTTCTCTTACATTCGTGGTTTCGTTTAACAGGTAACTTCATACAGATCACAAAATTGTTGGCTTTTCAGTTAGCTAAATCGCTCGAAGATGTATAGCGTATCTTTTTGTTAAACTTGGAATGAGAAAGGTGTTTATCAAACTTAATCTTAAGCTATATTCTAAAATGAACGAATTAATAACTTTTGGAATTACGTAATACATACACAAAATTGTGTTTTTGAACTCTTTTTCCGCCGGTTGTCTTGCAACACGTCCAGATTATTGCTGTTCTCAATTCAATAGTTTCATTGGAAAATATGGACAAGGAAGATTACTCACTTAGTATTTACGGAGTACTTAGTGCGAGGTTTGTGATTATGTATCATCAGTATTCAGTTTGTAGACGTCGTGCGCAGTTATTAAATTATAATTTCGCCAATTAAGTGTCCATGAGGATTAGCTCATTTAAAGAATAACTTTTATTTTAAAGCAAGTAAATCATGAATGCCTAGCACTAATCAGCTGTTCTCAGTTAATGATGAATACCTCAAAATTCCGTCAACGGACCATGACTTATAGTATATTGAAAATGAAATTGTTATACTACACTGGTAAGATTATATTTTTGGCCTTATGTCTGACTCCAGTTAGGTCGTATGTTGATTGCTATCAAAATATACAACCCGGCTACCCTCGTATATAATCATCGACTTAAATCGCGTTAATGAATAACGGAATTAAATTAATCAAATATGGGAATAGATTTCGAATACGTATGTTTCACACAATTCGTTGATCCAGACAAATGATCAGAGAAATGAAGCGAAGAGAGCGAAGCAAAACGAAACAACCCACAGTGCAGAAGGCAAGTGCGTCAACTTAATTTAATCAAGCGTGACTGGATATTTATATTCACACAAAAATAAATTAAAGACACGGAATTAATGGGGTAAGCAATTAACACACACACGATCATATGAACAGTTAGGATTTATAAGCGATTAATTGACAAGGTCAAAATGTGGCTTGAGAAGAAGGAATAAATTCGTTTATCCAGAAGCTAGAATAGCTCATGTGGACTTGACATAGTAGCAGCCACTACAAGAAAGCGTAACATTGAATGGGGACAGGTTTGAGTTTAAATGAAATTTTAACTACTTTTTGTTACAAATTCACAATTTAAATGACTTGGAATGAAAATAAATTAACTTAATCTTACCATCAACGAAAGATTTTCCATAAACCCTTCATGAATTTGTTTAAATGCGCTTTTGGAATTCGATAACTGCGACATTAAGTCACAAACAATAGGTTCTCCTGAATGCCACATATTGAGTAATCGTATAATTTTCTTTCGGTATGAATAATTCACATGACCATCACTTACTGGTGATAAGAGATTTTGCAAGACAATATCGACCTTTAATAGAAAAAGTAGATATGTAGATATCAGTCATGTATTACATTTTATAAATAAATAGGACAGTTTTACATCGGTTACAGCCTAATCAAGTTGATAGTGTTTAAAAATAATCTAAACGTGACTTCAATTGAGAATGAAAAATGACTGTAATGGTGTATTAGATTAAGGTGCTTTCATTTTTTAATAAAACATAAACACAAAGCCAACAACAGGAAAAAGTATTAAACTGAATTGTAGGAATATGAGAAAAATGAAAACAATACAATGCAGGTTCAGAATCGAATAAACAATGGTTAAAATTGTTGTACAGATCTAATGAGACTTCAACTATATTGTAAACCGAAAGTGGAGTAATTGAATGTACCCGTATAGATCAAGATGACAGTAAGTTGATTTATGGATTGATCTTAAGTCTTCATTTGACTTTTTTCAATACTTTTTTTTCGTTGAACTTCAATTCGAACTGATATTAAAAATAAACAACAAAGGTTTTAGTCAGACTAATTAATTCAATTAATCAGTTTTACTAATTTAATTAAGCTCGTTTACACAGAACCTCACACCAAACTTAAATACTGCCCACTCACTACAAGCCAGTAGTGTTTTGAAAGTATTCATGATTCAATAGAAAAAATGTCGTTGTTAGAAAATTCAAATTTCTAGATAAACCATATCTTCTCATGAGAAGTGTTTGATTCTGCAGCAAATATATTTAGAAATTATTTCAATAAAACAGATACCCATAGTCAATTATAATACAGCATGGATACATCATTATTAGATGGATGAAGAGTGATGATACAAACTGATTAATCAAACTTTGATAGATCAAGTTGTAGAAACTTATGACTTAATACATGAAAGAGTTTAAGGAAATAAAGCAGAGATTTATATGTTTTCATTAATTACCAAATTGATACTGTTTTTTTTAAAAAAAGAACAATTTACAATAAAAGAAACCTATAATTTTAAACAGAAAAAGATCGCTAATTCACTGCAATAACTGATACAAACTTACATTGTTTGAATTCAATTGTGTTTGAATATACGATATCATAATGAACTGATGAACAAGTTCTAAATTTATACTTGTCCAATTGGAATCTATGTAAAAATTAGGTAAAAATATTTTAAATGAATTATCATCATTGTTGTTAGGAAAAGATTTTATATGATAATTGCTCAGTAGAATATTCATTATATTTAATTCTTTTGAATAGATTAATTGATACCACAAGAAACAGAGCAATGGTTCATATTTTCCAAGTGAGTAAATTGTTTTATGAATAACCTATAAATAAAATAAGAAACATTGGTAAGAATAAAATCTATTCGAATGCAAACTGACGATAATTTTGACTGTATATGATAATGAGAACATTATTTGGAATATATATATATATATATATATATATATATATAACGATTAAAACGTCATAGTATTACATAATTAATTAATGAAATCAGATAATTTTACTGATTTGAAAATATCAGTTGAAAACAGACATTTTTCATATTCTAGTTGGTAATTAATTGTATATTAGTCCGATAAACTCCATTAATATAACCTTCTATCATGAATGCTAAAATATTGTTGATTACTAAATTACGATCAAATATGACTCTGAAATTCTATTACCGATTATCATTCATGTTTAATCAAGAGTATAAAGGAGGGATTTGAATACAACTACCAAATGTTTATATGAATGGACAGATTCAGTTTAACTAAAGAGTTATTAGTTGATTGAGTGGTAATTGATTTTTCACACTAAGCATATAGCAACTTTATAAACTATTTATTTACTGAGAAATTTAACGCCATAACAATATTGGCTTTAGGTAAAAAAAAAAAAAGGAAAAGTGAGTATAATTTCATTTTTATAGGAAAAATAGAACCGTGTGAAATAATATATCAATGATATCGTAGTAAACATTTCATATTTTGCAGTAGCCTTGAAAATAGAAAGGATACGATGATGAAAATCGATAACTGGCTTGAATTGGTATAAGATCAAAAAATCGTGTAACGATCAAATGAGTCCTCTTATTTACTTATTTACATGAATAATTATGAATCGTTATCTATGTACAATTTTTAGATGTATGAATTTTGTGTTTGTTTCTCTTACTCATTAGAAAATAGTATGATATACACTGACAAAACAGTTCACACAGTGATTACTTTTTACACCAATCCACAAAACTCACGATTGTCACATTAATCTATACAGGACATAGCTTAACACACACATACACAAATACAATCCGTACACTTTTTGAGACGTATACATCTGGCCTGATGAATTAAGTGTGTCGGAAATATAACTATTTGCGATGTATTCCGTTTCGCACTTTTAATATTATCCTGTCAGGTGAAATTGATTATACTACGTAATTAGTCTAAGAAGTCAACGAGATTAACAGGGTTCTAGAACAACTGAAGTTAGATTGCTCCATTGAAAAACGTACATATACACATGCGAAAGTGGTAAACCTTTATTCATCCCACTAATCTCTAGTGCTTCAACAACCATAATAAATGGATGAAATAGCAAATAATTTACAGTAGTTTATTAAATAACTGTATTTTGAATATATTTAATTAAATTTTGTATTTAAGTCTATTTTTGTATAGTCAGCAAACGCGAAACCACATATAAGGTTAATAATGCCAGACATTTAATAAACAGAATATATAGAGTTGACTTAGTAAATAAACATAAAAACACTACAAAATTAACTTCAAGGAAATAGAGTCGACCAAAGAGGACGGAATAGAAATGAAAGCAGATACCGGAAAACATCAATTCAATTTTCAATGAGTGAATTAAATCTTCATACCTGGATTAATGAGGTTATCTGCTTAATGTTCCATTCAATATTCATGCAAAAGTCTAAAAACGAAAACAGAAAATCACCGTGATACAAAAATTATGTTTACTACTACTTACATAATGCTTTTAAATAAATTTATGTATTTCATATTTAGTTAAGAATGTCTTCATAGAAGTTGAATACAAAAGTCCTGAAAACTTTGTTATTAAAATGTACACAGACTCCGAGGTATACTAATGTCCCTTTATCTTTTCATAAAGTTTACTACCATGTTATGATAGAGTGACAAAAGTTTCAACTCAAATTTGACAAAAAATGGTGATGTTGGGATTATTGTCGACTTAAAAAATAAGATGTCATCCGGACAATTCATTAAGTAATTTATGACAATTCGCACATCTGCATTTGAATTTACGATTCATGCAAAACTCGATCATTCATAAAAGTCATGTTTTTATTTTCGAAGTTACATTTTACAGTATATTTTCGGATGCATTTTTAGTCGTTTTGATTGGATTTTGTGTGACCAGTTCGGAAATAAAGTGTAAATTAAACAAAAGAAGAATCTAAAAAATTACACAAACAACAACAGTTTTAAAATAATATATCACTCAGTAATCTACAATTGTTTACCTACCTGATTTCACCAGTTCTATAAGATTCAGAGAATGATTCAATGATAAATGAATCAAAAGAATCAGATTAGTAGATTTTAGTGAATAATCAAATTGTAAACTAGTTATTTGACCAATGATCATTGGTTCATAAAGTAGAAAAAATTTTATACCACCAATAATTTGTTGAAATGCAAGCAGTGAATGTCTGTAATAAAGAATATAAATTATGCATAGATCAGGTCAATCTGTGTTTTGTTTCTGAACGGTAAGTTATTTCCATATTAAACACATAAAATGTTTACCATAATAATAATAATAATAATAATAATAATAATAATAATAATAATAATAATAATAATAATAACAATAATAAATTTGGTCATTTCTCCATATTATTTTCTGAAAGTTCAGTTGTCATATGGAAATGATTTAATATCGCTCAAGAAGTCATCTTGCTGTGCTAATGCGGTATGGCAGCTTGGACCGATGCATATATGTGCCTGGTCCTAAGTTGTTTGACACTCACAAAAAAACAGAAGGTGAGGTATTTACTACAGATTAAAAGTAAGAATTTCCGGACGAATGTTAATGTTATTGCAGTGTATGTAAATAAATAAGATATAGTATCATATTATGCATGAGAGAATGTAAAATTCGATTATCAGTAGATTAATTTGAAGAATAATGATTATGCTGACTATAAAATATCTCCTAATAAGGAAAGAACAAGTTTAAAACGTGGTAGGTCTACAAATGAATCCGCAATTAATGGATAGTAATCTACCATATAATGGAAGTAAATCAAGGATATACACAATAAACTGCCAGTGGTGAGAGAGATATATAACTAGGTGATAGCAAAATTAAGACAAACAAATCTGTCAGACACTATTCATGAAATCAAGAATGTTAACGTTGTATGATATACACAGAGGAATCACTTAAAAGCAACTCGTATCGATCAGCTGTGTTGTATAGGCACACCAAAGTATTGGATAGTTAATCAGCACCTTTTTCAGAAGAAATTATCCCTACAAAAAGTGCTTATAATGTTGCTGTTAATCTTAAAATATTGTTACAAAATCACGATTTAAGCGAGTATTAAGTATTCGTTTTAAATAACTAGAGTATTGAGTAGTTTGTTTGCAATACACAAAAGAAATCGTAATGTTCAAATAATTAGAAAAACGAATGCAACTCTTATTAGGACATTTTATCAGACAGTAGTCTTTATTTGAAACTGACCATTGACTTTAAAGAATGAACCTATATTTCGTTGAATAATATTAACAAATAATTAATGTGTTTGATGTAACTGATATGGAGAAATAACTAAACGGTTTCATTTAGAATCAAAAAACGTGATTCTGTGTTATGATAAGTTAGTCAAGGAAATAGTCCTACTGATGAACAGATGATATTTTTTCTAGTAGCTACTCATACTTAAATTCTTTAGAAATTTATAATTCTGGATAATTTGTCCAAAAAGTCACTTGAATAATTTAATTTGTTGCTGAAAACGATTGATAATGAATTCTATCTACAACGAAACACCATTACCCAGCTTCCTGAATCTAAGCATATCATTTAAAATTATTGTTAGCAAGCAATAAAAATTAAATCCAAGTAGTGAACACAAAATTTCTCATTCCAAAACGATTGTAACACTCGTTGAACTATTATACCCTAAAAAAAAGTTAAAATATTTTTGAAGATAATTTTCATTATCGTTTACAAAACAACATACAAATCAACGGTATTTACTCAAAAAGTCTTGTTATTCGTTTAGAAATGTCAAAATCTATTGGCTGATGTAATTTTCTGGAACAATTGAATAGATGAAAGAGGAAACGACCACAAAAAACTTGTGTCACAGTCCAACGAATAAAATGCAAAATATTATAATTGTCTAAAAGGATCTATAATCAAAAGAGATAAAGAGTGAATAGAAATTTTATATTTAAACTTTCATTGTGGAATGTCAGTGAAGCAACTGAATAACGTAGAAAAATTATTCTCTTCATACTAGAATATCAATTTTTAAGTTATCTTAGTGAATAAATTAGCCTAATTGTCTCAGCAAATTTCTAGAAAATCCAGTCAACAATCTAGTCATCTCGGTTCATTGGTAATTTGTTGATCATATTCATGTATAAAAAAAAGGGCGAAATGCATCTACATGATTAATTTAACTTGATTTTTATGTTACAGAATTTATTGATTTCAAAATTAGTATAGAACATAATTTTCGCATAAATCGTGCTTATTCAAAATTATATCGTATAACCTCAGACTGCTTCTACATTTCAACTTGAACGGTGGAGAAAAAGAGCGAAATTAGTGTAAGGACTTTAATCCAAAGTTAGTTACACACATAAAATCTAGTGAATCGATAGAATTTCACGTGAGCTTGATCTTCTAGAACCTTTTAAAAAACACAAAATATAGTGATAACATAGGTGATTCTCTATACAAGATATGACGCGTTATCCTACATTACTCAAAATGTTTCTGAGGAGAATCTATTCAGTGCTGCAATGATAAAAAAATTCCCGCAGTTTTTTTGGGCTACTAAAGAATTTGACAACGAATATTTTCGGACTCCTTAGAAAAGCGAGGACGAAAACACTCAATCTATAATTTGTCATATAAAAATTAATAAGATGATGAAGGAAATTTGTAGCTTTTTAAACTATAGCCCATATTTCACTGCGAAAACTACAGAATGTAACTTCCTACAGTAACTAGAGGATAAGAAAAAACCAGTCAGCAAAGCGAATATTGTATTGTAATGAACATAAAACGGTGATTGTTGAATAAACAAGACATAGTCATACATGGTCAAAGAAAGTCAATGTGGTGATGGTGGATGTTTCACTTTATCATTGGCGGATTCGTTTATCAATCACACTTTACACTCCCCCCCAAACGCGCACCACGTCCAACGTCTTGGGACGTCGTCGCCGTCAGATAACCAGCTTCTTCTAGTGGGCATAGGCTTCGTACATCCCAAACAATTTTCTCGTTTGCCGTTCTCAATTTTGCTGTACGAACTCGTCTGTCAGGACCATAGCTTACTTGTTCGACAATGGCTTTAGACCATAGACTTCTACTCGTTTTAACATTACTAATAAGAACCAGATCGCGTACGTTCAACTATTTATCTCTTGTTTGGAGGGTCAGTAAATATTCTCTTATCCATCTATTGCAAAATGCGGTAGTTAACCCTTGAGTTTCTTTTCATCTTTTATTGTATAATAAAGTCATATCCACAGAAACATCGTCGAATGAAGTTCGACCGAGGCGTTTATATATTATGTTACATTATTTGGTTGGCATAGTTTTAGAATAACATTTTAATTTCGACGATAGAAATAATACCTTACCGTAGGTATTTTAATAGTACATTTATTGATGGGATAGATAACATCTAAAAGAAGTCCTCCTCTCCGTAATTATGACATATTTTGTTATGATAACGAAAGTATTGCATGCAATTTAAAAAAGGGATTACACTCACCTTAGAATGAAATTCATTGTAAAGAACTTCTTCAACTTTTAAAATGATGTTCCAAACAATTTGAGATGATTCATTTTCGTCCAAAGAATTAATGATAACAACTAGATGATTCAGAAGACGTTGAAGTGCATCGAAGGCAGCACAGTTATCGATCTGAGCTATACCAGTAGCCAGATGAGAAAGGATATGATTCGAAATCTATAAACGTGATTTAAATGGAAGTAAGATTAAATTTTCTTCTGTTTACCCATTTCATAGAAACTAAGTTATATATATATATATATATATATATATATATTATGGGAAAAGGAAATTATATTACTTGGCCTTGTTTTAAATTAGTTCTAACATTAGTGTTGTGTTCTCGTGCTTTGTTAACTATCACGTGACTAAATCACCAATCAGAACAACAACTTGTACGATCATGGCCTTGTGCTAAACCAATAATGCGTTAAACAGTACGACCAGTATAGAGTCCTTTCCTTACTAGTTCTACTCATCTAGCCCTACCCGTTGAGTACAGAACACAATCCCAGCTTCTGCTGTATGAATCATATATTTCAAACATACTCAGTTTACATACAAGCAAATCAAACCGCACCACACCATAAAATAAAAAATAGCAATTATACAAGGCCAAGCCAAAAGCGTGTGTGAGAAGTTATAACTAATATATTGGAAACAAATTAAAAAAAGCAAATCGTATCATAGTAGTCAAGGGGTCAAATAGATCCCGGAAGTTACCCATAGTTTAATCTTCTTCGGACATAACATAGAGACATTAATTCTGTTAAAACAGCTTTGGACAAACTAACTGATTTCGTGATTTATTATGACATAATCTTCTTAGCCTTTGGCTAATATTGATACAAACACCTTATCTTTTTGCTTGGTTCGTCAGAATTTTTCAAATGTTCTAAACACTATTTGGTTAAAAATTCGTAACTTTATTAGAATAAAACATAAGTTCCCCAAAAAACGTAATGTGAGATTTATTGTGTAAAGTAGTGTTCCAATATATAATCTGATGCATTTACATCAGGTTGCCGTGTGAAGAGGGTATTAGTGATTGTCGTAAAGCTTCACAGTTATGAGTCTTTTATTCACTATGATTATGATATATATAGCAACTAAGTCCTGTTATATTGTTTAATTTAAACAAATCGATCACAACAGATAGAAAATAATGTCTTTTTCCTTGGTACAATACCTGTGTTAAACAATCAATGATGCAGATGACATTTCCACTTTTGCGTATTTTTGTGGATATATTCACCTCTTCAAGTATCAATGATATTTGATCATAACTAGCTGGTAAATGACTAAGTCGACGTAAAAGTAAACTAAAAATGGTTTCACGTTGAGCATTTGCTTGCCTGTTAAAAATAAATAAAATAATATAGAAAAAAAAGATTAATTAAATATATACACGAAAATATGATTCCGAAGTTGAAGATGACTTACATGATCGAATAATGAATACCCTGAATAAATACAGCTAAGACTTAACGAACTATTTTTAACATTTCGTGCCCAACTCAAAAGAGGAATGAAGTAATATTCTATGTAAGTGAATTTAAAGTACAAAAGTTTGTTAAGAATAAAAACCTTCAGATAATATCACAATATTTCTTATCTAATCAGCGCTAGTCGATACCTGGAGAGGACTCTAGAATCTTGACATGTTAAAACTATAAATATACTAACGTTTCTCTTATTGTGCTTCTTACTTCCATCTACCTTCGTTATTTGGAATATAATTTCTTTTCTGTTCAATCCTTTTCTGGTTTAGGGACTTGTCGAGTGAATTGGTGTCCAATAATACTTGGCAATAGCAATAGTTGGGTTGTAATAAGAGAGAATCATAACAACGCTAAATTCATAAAAGCGGTTATTTCAACGGTAGCAATATATATATATATATATATATATATATATATATATATATATATATATATATATATATATATATATATATATATATAAAGGTTGTATATAGGGATATGATACAGAGAAAAAGAATCAATCCGTAGAAAGAAAGATATAAAGTAATTTTAATCTCACGGGAAGATAAAGAATGAATACACCTACGCCATCGTGATCAATTCTGAGACATGTCACCCAAAGTTTTCAACCATTGGTTACGATAGTCGCACAGGCCCCAACCAAGTAGCCTGCATCTAACAACATGGATCAGACCAGAAGTTAATGACGTCAAACACTGATGCCACGTTTTGGTTTGGACACTCTTTACTTTCTTCCATTAGTCTCCAACACTGGTCAGCACTGCGCGTCATGGTAATCTGTGACCAGGCATACGTGATACGTGACCCAACTATCTTAATGGATGGAGATGTACAACCTCATCAACTGATTTACAATCACTCCCTAATATCCTGAGCCTAACCTTACTATTACTCACTCGGTGATCCCAGCAGATCCTGGCAATACTCTAAGAAATATGTGATCAAATAGTAATCTCAATAATGAATGCATCTATGGAGAAATTAATTTAAAACTTGTTAAACATTAGGAAATGTTAGAATTAGTAAGTTCCATTGAACAGTAATATTTTCCATTAAGAAATATGTGCTGATTATGAGATCATATTTCAGAACTATCACATGTTATTCAAATGAAAAGATGTAAAATAACCAGCAGGTCAGGAAAGTGTATAGGACTGCGACATTTTGAAAAAAATTATTTCTAACCCGAACATGATCTGCAGTCAAGAATCTTTCCTAAAATCAGCATTAAATAATTAGGATTCCGAAGAACTGCAAGTAAAAATAGCACAAAACAGTACTATAATACACAACCTATATTATTTATTCTATGGTTCAGTGTTACAAATGATAACTAAAATCGGTACATCATTCCATAGAGAGTATAAGTTTATGGTTAATCAGGAGGATATAAGAGTTTAATTCAGCTAAGTAAGGGAAATCGAACATTTAATATTTAGGAAGAGAAAAGAAAGTAGGATAAGTACAAGGAAGTGAGCTGAAATAATAATTTATGACATAATATTTGTGAACATTCTATTCTTAACGGACCTATCATAGATGAACATTCAACTGGATTAAATATCTTAAAAAGCTGTTTCGATAATTTATATAATCTAGCAGATAATCAATATACTGCAAAACTTACTGAATTTGATTCATTATGGCTTGATCAACATTTTCCGCTTGTTTATTAATTCTTTGATTTAATGGTTGTTGAATTACAAATAAATCGACGATCACTGGAATCATTGCAGTTAGTACAATACTGCCAGGATCATAAGTTTCTGCTGCTAATGCTTCAGCTAAATGAACAACCTGGAACATATACACAAAGTGATATTAAAAGAAAAAATTATTACTTCATCAACTTAGTGGGACAATTACAGACCTGACACAATAGTAGATCATTATAAGTCATTACATAGTAAAGCCAGAAACAACTTCACATGGAGAATAAGAGTAATAAATAAGTTTTAGTTACTTATCAATTAAACTGATTAAATTTAGATGTATGTAGTGATTTACGAAGTTTATTTTATGTTTCATTAACATCTCTCCTTTCCGTTTAGAATTAATGTGCTTCTCAGTCATCACGAATTGTTGACACTACAATTTATTTTTGAATATATTATATTATAATTTAATTTTTAATTAGTTGCTCTAAGACATTACAAATGACCTAGAGAGCAAAAACGTTTACTGATTGTATTCGCTCCGGTTTTAGTGTGAAGCGCAACCACTCCACTTTGATTATTGATTAATCTTAATGGTTTGGTCATCAGATTTCATAGATTGTTAGGTTGAACTGACCTTAGTAAAAAAAACATTGGAAACTAGAAAGCATTGTGTAACTGCTCTGTGCTCGTGTGAGACAATTGGGCAGTGACAATACCAGAGATTGGACCGAGGACCTCCAGGTCTCACAGAGAGTGAGTAATATTCAGCATTCAATGAGTTACATTCCCAAAACTATTAAGACAAAATAGCTGTTCAGATCCTCTTATTTTTCAGTCATTATTTAACTGTCAGTCCTATGATGAAAACTATAGAATTCAACAATTTCCACAAACCTATTACGCTAATAATAATCGTGTGCTCACCTGTAACCGATTTCGAGAGGTGATTCCAGAGTTACTAGTGAGAAACCGTAACCAGTAGAATTCAATCATGTTGGATGTGAGGTAGTAGAAGACAGTTGTACAATATCGAGGACTGATTGTAAGTCAGTGAATTTAGTAGTTTAAAGGTTACGTACTCGCCATAAGACCTGAAGGTTCTGGGTGGATGGCCACAGCTGATGAGTACTATAAATGTAGCTTCTTCTGAATAATCTTGGAATACTGTTGTATCTCAGAAAAATTTCTCGACAGAAAGTTTCATAGCTGAAGACGGTTAACGTATTCTATTAGTAGCTAAGTGTTTGAAATTCAGTTTCGATGCATGATCGATGAATTTACAAATTAGTATTTCTGTCAAGCTAATTTAGTGAGAATGGCGAATTCAGTTAAATAAAAATAGCATAGAACATCGAGTTTGATCTCCGATCCAGTAATTATTTAAATTTAACTCCTAATTAGGGAGGCTAAGTCAATGACAATACGATAGAGAATAGTCCAGTCATTATGTTCGCTATAGTTCACAAGTGAACATTGCAAAACCCTACAGATTAGTGAGAGAACTATCAGATTTCTTTTTACAAGAACTGGTCAGTTGAATGAATTGGATTATTATTTGAACACCGATAAGGCTTATTCTGAATGGCTGGTACTTCTTATCCAAACCGTTATATCTATTTTGCTTCCCCTAGATTTTTATTATTTAATTTAAGCAAATATAGGTTGGAAACAAGTGAAAAGTAAAAATCCTAATGAATCGCTTTTAATGCGTATAAAGGATTTGAACTGAAAAATACTACGTAGTATACTGTATATCAAAAAGGATTTTAAGCAGGAGCAGAAAGTACAGTATTAATGTAGTGACGTGGGAAGAGGAGAAAAACTTATCGTCACTAAGACTCAAAAATAAAACAACATTAATTATTATACTAAGTTCTTTTCAAAAAGGATAAAATGCAATTTGTTCTGCAAAAGCAGCAGTCATCAAATTTCTAGTGAAAAATCGAAATGAATTAATTCTACAATGAAGTCCTGATGTAATACACTATGAACGATTTAGTGAATAGAACAGTGACCAAAATGAAATTGAGATCTGGTTAGAAATTATACTTGAAAGTCCGGCGAACGAAGCACCAACTTGATAAAAGACGCCAATGTACACTAAGTTGTAAGATAACTTTTATCATAACCCGAAATTTACTTCCTTACATAGGTTTACATACCAAACCCGTTGGGAAGAAACAAAATTGAGCCAAAATATAAGCCTACCTGACTTAACTCAACAAGACGTGAATCGATGGACTCGCCATTGCCGTTGATTGCACTACTGGTAGTAGAAGCAGGAGAAGTAGCTGAGTTTTCAGAATTACCAGAATCAAGATGCTTAGATTGTGCAAGCGTTGATGCTGGCGGTATTGATGTTAAAGATGATGATATAACACGGTATTGATAAGTCAAGGTGACCAAAAAACGGAATAAAGCGTTCACGAGACGCTGATGTTGTTGTAATATAGTCGGTTCTCTCGAATTCATCATGGGGAACAGAAATGAATCAGAATTGCAGAAATCACGATAAGTAAATGCTGATGTTGAGGATGATGATAACAATCGTTTATTCAGATTCAACAGTTGACCCCCTTTAATACACTGACGATTTGAAGAGCTAACATTCATCATTGATACTGTCTCAAGACGTTGAATTTCCGAGGACAGATTCTCGCAATGATTAATTACAGTATCTAGAAATTTCTTCAAAACATATTATTGAAAACACGTGATACACAAATTAGAGTAATACAAGAATAATGTCTATATAATATGATTATGATACAGATCAGAAGATAAGTTATTGAGTAATTGAATAATTTCAAATATGTTTGCAATAAACATTAGATAATTAAAAACAACATATCAAAATTCATACTTCTTAGTTTACTATAAATACGTAGTACTTCCAATTCCAAAAATCCATTGAAAAATTTCAAGTAAATAACTTTAAATGACTACAAATCACACCCGGGCGGCCTGCTTGAATATCTGGGCTACCTATTACTACCATCGAAATATTTCAACAAGTTATTTGTTTCCTTGTTTGTTTTAACAGATCATTATATCAATCAATTGCATAAACTATTCAGGTGCGTTTGTGAAATGTTAACAACCTTTCATTGTAAAAGTTTCAAAAATTTACAATCAGAGACATCGTGATGGCTGGCAATGTGCACTGAAAAGAATGAGTATTATTCAGATATTGACTTTTCAAATGCTAATATCTTACTGGAGATCACTCAATATTTATCGTCAATATCGATCAAGAAGAAATAGAAACTCGCTGAAATAATTTATGCTGAGAATTCTATGTTGTACAAAGCTAATAATAATAATAATAATAATAATAATAATAATAATAATAATAATAATAATAATAATAATAATAATAATAATAATAATAATAATAATAATAATAATAATAATAATAATAATAATAATAATAATAATAATAATAATAATAATAATAATAATAATAATAATAATAATAATAATAATAATAATAATAATAATAATAATAATAATAATATATAATAATAAAATAATATATAATAATAATAATAATAATAATAATAATAATAATAATAATAATAATAATAATAATAATAATAATAATAATAATAATAATATATATATATAATAATAATATAATAATAATAATAATAATAATAATAATAATAATAATAATAATAATAATAATAATAATAATAATAATAATAATAATAATAATAATAATAATAATAATAATAATAATAATAATAATAATATAATATAATAATAATAATTAATAATAATAATAATAATATATAATAATAATAATAATAATAATAATAATAATAATAATAATAATAATAATAATAATAATAATAATAATAATAATAATAATATAATAATAATAATAAAATAAATAAAATAATAATAATAATAATAATATAATAATAATAATAATAATAATAATAATAATAATAATAATAATAATAATAATAATAATAATAATAATAATAATAATAATAATAATAATAATAATAATAATAATAATAATAATAATAATAATAATAATAATAATAATAATAATAATAATAATAATAATAATAATAATAATAATAATAATAATAATAATAATAATAATAATAATAATAATAATAATAATGATAATAATAATAATAATAATAATAATAATAATAATAATAATAATAATAATAATAATAATAATAATAATAATAATAATAATAATAATAATAATAATAATGATAATAATAATAATAATATAATAATAATAATGATAATGATAATAATAATAATATAATAATAATAATAACAATAATAATAATAATAATAGTTTCATAAGTGTATACATCAACTAATTTAAACTTATCAATGTTTTTACAGATATCATTTGAAAAGGGTAAATATTTACTTTCAACATAATGAATTAAAAAGCATAGATTAAAAGATTATACTACTATTAAATTAAAACACTTAAATATAATTAACATTGAATTATATACATATTCGAGAATATAATTTAACATCATACCTGTTGTACATCAAGTTGACAATAATTCATTCGTAAATATATTAAATGAATTAGTAAATCTAATATATTCGTTTGAAGTGAATAACAATTTGTCCATTTATAATTTTCCATACCACAAAGCACAATATGTTCAAGGCGTTTAAAAAATAATTGAGCATCAGACTAGAGAATAATAAATAAATAAAAATCTATAATGAGAATTAATTAGAATTAATATATTTTTATATAGTTGAAATTTTTCACCACATTATCTTGTATTGACATGGAATATATTAAAAATACTTTTAGTAGGGCCCTTTATTTTGTCGTCATTTAGGTCAGACGATGTTTGTCGACGGGCTCTGCACTTTAGTGGCTCGGGATTCTGACTCCAATTAGATCGTATGAATGTTTGCTGTCGAAATATATATACTGACTATTCTCGTATGCCTTTATCGACTTAATTCGCGTTGAGTGAATAACGGAATTAAAAATAAGTCAAATAACGGGAATGGACTTTTGAATATGTATATTTCATGAACTCATTGATTTGAACGTGCGATCGGGGAATGAAGCGACGAGAAGAGAGTGGAGCGAAATGATACTCAGTGGAGATGGCGGGTAAGCCAACCCAATTTAGTCAACCGTTAATCAATATTTATAGTCACACAAAAATAGGCTACAGACATGTGATGAATAGGATAAAAAAGTGTACACACACTCTCAGATAAAAACAGTCAAGGTTGATAGCGAATAAATAAAAAGGTCAAAATATAACGCAAGAATGAATAGGTTGGGCTGTCCGAAAGCTAGAATAAGGTGTATAGGCTTGACATAACCGACACTACATACTCATTAAAATTCAGATGAACGTTAGGCGATGAGGTAATAAAATTAAAAAATAACTTATAAAATTATGAGAATTGTGATATACGGTATAAATGTCATACAATACACACCATTTAGTTTCGACATCGCCCATAAGAACGTCAAATATCGACAACCAAATAACTAATTAAATAGACGACAGGCATAATATACTAATATTTACAAGAGTACCTTTTCTCTTTCATAATGAATGATAAACGGAAAATGAGTGAGGAAAATTCCTATTTTCATGTTTAAATTTGATCACTAGTAAAATGAAGATTAAAATAGAAATCTCACTTTAATTTTTATTGCCGACATAGTTATCGTTTGATTTGGCGTCGTAGCCGACGCTTTATCTGTACTGCTTGTATATTTAAGACCGACTGGAATACGACGTTGACGAGCAAAACGGATCCATGCAGAAATTGGTGACTGAATAAGCTCTGGGCATGTAATCCAACAACAAACCTTGCTTTCTTTCAATATATTTTGATCCCATAGATAATTAGTAAATGTTTTATTCTGATGCAATAATTTACGTATATGGAAATCAACAGTATCTAGAATTTTAATCAAAAGTGGAAATTTGTACAGCTATGAGTGAATGAATATTATCACTAAACGGTTAAAATACTCATACTGTTCTTTGAGATCTGTTATTATAGACACGAGTATTGTTCATATAGTTTCACGTTAAAAAAACTTAAATTACTTGTACTGTGATAGAAGCCAAACATAGGCCGTGAAGGAATAAAATAACTTTCACAAACAAACTAAACGATGTAATTTTCACGATTTATTAATAACTTGAAAATTAGGTTATATAACACGGAGGGTCAATGAAAAGCTTGTACTTCCAATCTTGTATATCGCATATCTATTAAATAACTGCTATACTCTCATAAAACTTTGCTCTGAACATATTTTATTCTTTTCAGTAGCTACTACGTACACCCTAGCAAGGTAATTTTCAAACGATATCGGAAAGGGCTCTTTACACTGATAATAAATGGGATTCTGATTCAGTCAAAGTGAACAACACAGTCAAAAAACTTCAGAAAGAAATTGAATGGTAACCTACCTGAGCAGAATTCTGTAATCTTCAAACTTCTCCTATGTCTCTAACGCAATAAAGTTTATGAACATGTTAAAATTGACTTTTTATATATGAACTGTCTCGTTTGACAATTTCTTCCTTTACCACAACCTAAAGGCTTATTAATATAATGTTCAAACGTTTTGGACATAAGAACACAACAGCTTCAATGCATGGTACCTATTGAAGTGTTTAAACAATCATGGAACGTGCCATACTTTCCCAAAACCTTTATACCCACTATGAATTTTTTGGTTCGTAGCAGGTGATTCGGGACAAAATGGTTTTACCTATAAAATGGCAGATGACTCACGTAATTTTGAAAACAAAATCTAAAACCTATAAGAATCCAAGAAAGTTATTAAAACGATGCATTTCGAGAATCAGTGTTTGCAAGTGAAATTAAATGTAAAGTTTGACAGTCAACTATTATGATAAAAAAATATACAGTATTACTGAATAGAAAAACATATTGATGATTTTCTACTTTTATTCATTCGAAAATTTTGCCCATCTATTGAATTACATTGCAGTTTGAGCATAATTTTCTCGATATTTTGTGAGGAATTTTAATGTCGACCTTATAAACCTAGTTTAGGTTCAGTTTGTTACTAGTTGATGTTACACATATATACATTAAATATCCATCAATTGTCCTCTACATCTTTCATGCTTTTCCCAATTCTTAATTCCTTTCTGTTTCCGTCAGATCAGTCTTCTCAGCCTTCTTTTGACAGGCATTCCATTTTGATTGGTGTTACATACTACTTATGTCGACAGACATAAGTAGCATACACCACACACATAGAGAGAACAGTAAAGTGGGATTTGAAAACGATAAACTTAACAGGCAAAACAGATTAACGAAAGACAAAAAACAAAGTGCTGCAAAATTATTATTGTAGAGTAGGCAAAAAACATTAATAGTAATGATGATAAACAAAATAAACTTTAAAATTACACTAACTTTTTGAATTAATTTTAGAATGTTTCTCCTCAGAATCACTTTTTATGTCTTGATCGGAAACACTAGAGTTTAATGCATCTGAATATAATTGACAAAGTTGATCGTCCCATTGATTACAAAGGTTTGTACCAACAAAAGCTCGTAGTAACTATCAAATAAAGAGTCCCAAAAAATGCTTTTATTTAAAGAAAAAAACATCAAACAATAATTGTTTATTTACAGAAGTTCATCAAAACTTCTCAAGAAAAACGTCCAGTATTAGCAAACTATTCTATTAAGTAAGAACTTTCGTCTAAATTTGAACGAATAGTTTCACAATATTTGGGCGCCGAGTTAATGTGAGACATTAAGGAGGAAGAATGTATTTGTAAAATCTCAGCGAAAGAATTTGAAGTAAATCCAACGTTTTGCCTGGCAATCTGGTTCAAGCTTTTTCAAGGAAAATATAATCAAACAACAAAATTATCGAATATCGATAATTTTCCCTGAAAAAGCTTGGACCAGATTCCCGGGCGAAATGTTGGATTTACTTCAAATTCTTTCGATGAGATTTTACAAATACATTCTTCCTCTTTAATATTCTACTAATTATTTCTGTATGCTTCTACACAGTAAGCCATTTAAGAAAATGGGTAATACGACACGACAGAAAATAGTCTTGAATGGGTAACATAATAGCGGCTGATTAGTTCAACATACTTAAAGCTTTGTCAAGGACTTACAATAAGATTAAGATTTTCATCAGTTGATAAATGATGTTAAAATTGTCAAATAACATCTGTCAATTCTTTTTTCAACGAAAGCTATTATAATTTAGAAATGGTTACTCTCATGAGTCACTGTAATAAGTATCAAATAAGATAAATTAACACATAACAATGTCGCTTTTGTGGCATAATTTTTCAACTTTGACATTTTAATTGTTTAGCAAGACAGAATAACCATCACTAACTTAAAAAATAACAGTGATGCGTCAGTCACCTTGATGGATAATCAAAAAAGATTTATTCCAAAGGCTAGTTATTCAGTGTTATTGATCGGAAACAATAGTTTGATTTAAATAGGGTAGTATGGTTTTAATCGCTTAGAGCAAATATATACACTGAAGTATTTTTAGTTCAATTTATATCACAGTTAACTACTTATCCAGAGCATATGAAATGTAAAAATATCATATGTTATGTTGTGCGGTTGTTCGAGTTTGATAGTAATATTCAAACTTTAGATGTGAGTCCAAACCAACTACTTGACTGAGAAGACAGAAAGTGAGAAGTTTCAGTGATTGAAACCGAATATATGTACACTCATTCATAAACATACATCTTTTTCCCTTCGAAAATCAAGCTATACTTTCACCCAATGATGGGTGCTTTCTTGAAAAATAAGACCAAATCTTGACCAACAGAGTATGCTTATCTTATAACACGTCATTTGACTGTCTCAGATTATCACCATAGCTATCAATATTGCTTTCAATTATATTAAGAATAATGCTTTCTGACGCAATGCTAAATAATAAACTACTAAGACACGTACCCCAAGAACCATTTTAAAAATAATGATAGATAATCTTACATTTTAAGTTACTTATACTTTTCATATCAAGCGAAAAGTAGAGACATAAAATAAATAAAATTACCTGAGTTGATAACTCTAAGCATGGACCAGGCTGCCAATTGTAAAATGAAGTTAAATAAATTAATAATTCGTCTGCATACGGAGCAGTTTCATCAAAATGAAGATTTTCCAATAATCGACCGAAGGAATATAGACAGGTATGTAATAAGCCCATTAATCGATCATGAGAACCAGTTAAATCAGCCGATATCTAGTTATTGATGAGCAATAAAAATAAGAAATCTTAACATGAATGCTAAATAGAGGGATTTGATTTACAGTGAAGGACTATTGAGTAGTGATCAATATCATATTTGTCTAGTCCTCAGTGGTAATCAAGTCCTAATGTGGCTATCAGGCTAAGTAACTCTTACTTACTTACGCCTGTTACTTCCAATGGAGCATAGGCCGCCGACCAGCATTCTCCAACCCACTCTGTCCTGGGCCTTCTTTTCTGGTTCCATCCAATTCTTGTTCATTTTTTTCATGTCTATTTCCATTTCTCGGCGTAATGTGTTCTTTGGTCTTCCTCTTTTCCTTTGGCCTTGAGGATTCCATGTGAGGGCTTGTCTTGTGACGCAGTTGGGTGCTTTCCTCAACGTGTGTCCTATCCACTTCCACTCCGCCTGGAGTCTTTCCGGGGGCTACTGCCGGTCCCAAGAACGGATAAAGGAGGAGGGTTGGGCATGGGGTTAGCGTCCCCATCCCGTAGAAAACTAACTCGCTAAAAAAACGCTAACCAGAAAAAATTATTCAAACCTTCTAAGTAACTCTACATTTAAGTTAACTGTGTCATATGTTAGGTGATTAGAGGGAGTTGTCAGGATACCATATACCTTGGTTGATACTCGTCACCAAAAAGAAGGTGAAGACAATCTCTTTGGTTTCTACGTGATTTTATGATTATCGATTAAAGGCGTTAGGTGACATAATTCACAACAAATCAGAATGCTACAGATGTATTCGCTCTTTTTTGTAAAATACTCAAACTTTTTATGACGCAAATTACATAATTTACGACTAATCTTTTCTACTATCACTGATATTATTATTATTACTTCCATTACTCTGATATTTGTATTGATAGTTTTATCTTGTTGTGTTGAAGGGCTGTGTCAACTTGGAAAGATCCATATATATGCTAGGTTTTACGTTAGTTATGATATAAAGCCATGTCCCAATGCTTTAGGGACTCAATCTTCCATCACTATATCAAATGTTTAGACAGTTAACTGGAATCACTAGGCCTCTGGTACTCAACATAATACAAGAAGAATCACCTATTTGCTGGAATGAATTATTATTATTACGAATAATTAGAAATCCTTCACTCCTTAATAAGATTCACTATAAAAACTAAACAGATATATTTGAGTGATAAACAGTTGCGTAGATTAAATTAAACTGAATGATGATCCGATGTGTGATTTAATTAGGTTCAATTTATTGAAAAAAACCAGAACAATTCACTTTTGAATACTTCCACACAAAAACAATTTGAAATGAACAGATATACAAGTAAACAAATGCCCTAGTACGGTCGAAGGGAAGGGAGAGTCCACTCTCTATCTCGAAATGCATTCACGTGTCCACGAGTATACGGACACTGAGTTTTTGCGGTGGGATTGTTGTTTACGAGGTTGAGAGGACGAAAAGCGAATGTCCGGAGCTTTCATCGGAGTCAGAAAACCCTGATTTCAAACAAATAATGCATATGGACTCCAGGATACAATGCGAACAAAAGACGTATGAACCTATTGTTGGTCACCGACTACCATGAAACTGCACCTCTTAAAGTTGTTCCACTGCTTTGTGGATTAGACCTTTAGGTCAAAAGCTCGGGGTGTGACCCCCTAAGAAAACCACTTGCTTCGGTCTGGTCTGGGCGCCCGAGCAGTATCATAGCCCTTACACAAATCAGTGATAACTACTAGTGGTCTCATTGGTATTGTATGGCGCACATTTATTTGGTGCCCCTTTTAGCAATGTTTATGTGTTTAAATAAATAATAAATAAGACTTACTTTAAAAGATTTATATGCAGTTTTAAGGGTTTTATATAATAACATATATTGTGGCAAGTTTGCAAAATATCCAAGAGTTGAAGAAGTTAATGTTGGAGAATGTCGAGGTGCTTGATAAATAAAATAAATAACAGACAACTAAAAGTTATATTAACAATCCAAGTTATTTTTATTATTATTAAGTTCCTTTTATAAAAACTATCTCATATAAAGTAAGGGTATTAAAACAAAGCGTAAATGAAATCTGAATAGTAGGAAAGTAACAATTTTTTAAAAGAAAAAATCAGCTAGACTAAAAAATAAGTAGCATATTTGGCAGAATATAAAAAAACTTTTGAATTGCAGTCACATGAGACGACAAAGGTTACGGAAGTAAACAGTAACAGCAACCCAATCCATGAGGACGGTTGATATTCTAAGAAAGACCACAAATACAAACGGATCTATTCTCTCAATTAACTTCAAGAACCAGTGGAAAAGTATAGACAATATACAGATATATGGGAAGAATATAAAGTCAAAACAGATTTGAAAGCTTTATAACTAAAAGGAAAAAAAATTAATGCAGCTTCCTAAAGTAGTGATCTAATGATAATCTAACAATTTCATTTTTGTTGAACTACTTCATTAAATTTCTATCTGCAAAGGTGTTATCGTAGTGTTTAAATTGTGACAGAAGTTTCCATCGCTGTACTATGGGGAAAAAGATTAACATCATGTAATGTTTCCATTGATCAGTTATTTCTTACTATCAAACAATAACAGATTTCTAGGCATTTAATCACATAGTGAAACTACGTTGATCACTTCTTATGCCACTATTCCCTATTTATGTTAATATTAGCTTTCAAGATCGCAACAATATTCTTTTGGTTCAATTCATTTTACAAAAAATCTTGTGTCTACTGACATGAATGGCATCAGTAACTTGATATATACACAATACACGCTAATAAACTGTTAAAGGGACTGACTTATTATGAGGTGAGTGCTACGTTAATTTAAAAATTTAAAACATAAGATGTAATTAGTATTTTACAAAGTACACAAGCATTTATGCTGTGGTTATGTAAAAACAGAATACAATGAGTAAACAAAATGTTTTCTTTTTCTACAATAGAGAGATATCATCTATAAGACAGATTACATATGACTAAAAGTTAATACTTTGTTTTCTTATTTTTATCAAAATTAAAACGGTAAAAGCATAGTATAGGGACAGGATAAAAAGAACCGTGACAAATTTACGAATGATTTATAGCTAGTTGGAAAAATCTCCTATCAACGGTAATGAAAATAAATAGCATTGATGAGTATAAAAAGATTTTACATGATTAATGAACACATTAACGTCTTTTACAAGTTACTTTCTTTTTGGATTGAAAAAAGACAAATTCATCCCTATAGATACAGATTGTTTGTCTTCCCGAACCCTTTGAAAAACTCAAATAACTTATTAAGAGTTCTCACATTGTTCTTAGTTAAGATTAAATATTTGAGGTTGGAATCAGGGGTTTAATGTTAGAATTTTCAACCCAAACTGTTTTACCTATGATGAGAAACTGCACTGTAATTATGTAAATAAAAAAATTTCGCATAAATATTTAAGTCTTATCTGATTAGTTCGTTTGTAAAAAAAGGTTGTTAGTAGGTTAAAATTAGTTTCAGGACTAAGAATTTGCATCTAAGATTTAGGAACAGTGTCAACACAACATTTACATCTAATTTATAGAGACACAAGTGAGCATTTGATACACTTAACACCATTAATTTTACTCTATGGTAGTATGAAATTATTTTTTGTTATCAGTTTAAGCGTCTTGAGAAGCATACAAAGTTATTTCTACTTTTCGTTACATGTGATACATAAATTTCACAAAGAAAATTTTAATTCTGGCTGGCTCATCTCTAAACCATACTTTTACTACGGAAACTACATATTTCTAATGATATAAATTTGCCACAAATAATATGTATATGAATATCTTACCTGGCAAATGTTTTCTCAGAGAACCACCTAATTTTGTTCCATAATTACGTTTCTTACTAGATGATGTATCCACACTACCAATAGTACCACTGTCGCTCATAGGAGTATTATTGACGGCACCAGCAGGAGAATTGATGATTTCGTGATCAAATTTGGTCATAGGAAAATGGGTTTTTGTCTGAGCTAAATTCGCTACAGAATGCATAAATGATTCGGATATACCAGAGTAAATTGAACTGATTGGAATTTTGGAGGTTACTGAATCATGTTGATGATGTTGAGGTAAGCGAATCCCTTCGAAAATATGCCATAGTATGCAACAAACCCTATTGATAAAGTAAACATACGCACAAAAAGTCGGTAGCACTGCTGACTATATGTCACTGTAAATAAAATTTGACTATAAAGAAAGTAAGATTTCCATCGTCCTGACCATTGTTTTTGGAAATAAATAACAGCAAGGCCTCGTAAGTAAGAAAGATGAACGTAAATAATACTACACAGTCGACTGTAAAATCTAGACAACAATACTTCGCCACTTTAAACGTAGATTATTGAAGTTTATTTTTTTAGTGAAATTTGAACGATAAAGTAACGACTGCAATAACTTAGAGATTAAATAGAAATGTTCTAATTGTAGATATAAGAATCAGATGGTACAATCTAGAAAAAATTATGCATTTGCACATTAACTGTAGCAGTGCAAAGATGTTACAGATTTTAAAAGTAGGGGTGTGAAAACTTGTTATTTATTCTATATTGAAACGTATTTCTCTCTTATTTTTCTCTTCGAATAGTACGGTAGTCGGACCAATGAGCTTTGATAAAATTACTTTGTTTTCTCAATGACAGCTTTGTTTAGTTCAGGGTATATCTGTATTGAAAAATTGACAGTCATCACTTAATCTATCATCAAGGATATCATCCAAGAACAATAAGCAGTGGCTCGTGGTTGAGATCCTTAGATTATCGAGTTAATGAGCAAAAAACTTTAAATAACCAAAACTCAACGATTCATACCTATAACTTATAGGTTGCTTACACTATTATATACCTTTGTGTAACAAAGTTATCAGTCGTTGTGGAAGACCGTTTATTCTGTAAATATATATAATATGTAATTCACTTACAAATCAATACCTATCTTAGATAATGAAACAGCAGGTTTCATCCCCATAGGCCTTAAGATCCCTTGAAATATATATATATATATATCGAAAATCCGATGGCAAAACGAAAAATATATATTAAGCCACATTATTTAAATCAGACATGAAGATGGGATCGCATGACTACGATAAAAAGCACTGTAAACAGGTACAGAAACCGGTAAAAGGCAATTTTTATTTTTCCGAAAATACTAACATACCATTGACGATTGGTTGAAAGAAAGTTTAAAGTTTATTGGCAAAAGCAAATAGACGGGGAATAGGTTACAAAAGAGAAGTTAGCACCCTTGCAAAACTTTATTTTGTATAAAAGATGATGTTCTCTGTCTTAAACACATTCTCTTCCCCTTGCATTGAATTGGGGCGCTTTGAATGTTTGAGAAAAATAATAAGTAATTGCAGATCGCCCCCGAGTGCCCTAGTACGGCTGGGAGTGGGGTGGGTCGGCACTCCCTCTTGAAACGCTCTCATACGGCCACGCGTATACAGCCTCTGCCAAGGAAGTCCTACTCACTGCCTTCTCGTGGCGGTGTGCTGTTTACGAAAATGAGAGGACGAAAAGCGAATGTCCGGCGCTTTAACCGGATCAAAAGACAATGGTGCACATGAACTCCAGTATCCTGAGGGAACAAATGGCGTATGAACCAATCGTTGGTCACCGGATACCATGGGACTGCATCTCCTCACGATGCTCCACTGCCTTGTGGGTCAGACCTTTAAGTCAAAAGTCTTGAGGTGTGGGCCCCTAAGAAAACCACCTGGTTCGGTCTGGGTACACGATCAGTATCACAGCCCACACACAAATAAAATGAAAATATCGATATTTATGGAAAATACTTGTCTTGCTTCGATCAACAATCAAACAATTCACATTATTATTATTGTTACTATTATCATTTTTTACGTCATTTATTCACTCTCTTTTATTCCCACTTTATGTATCCTTATTTTTCGACTTATACAGTAGCTCGTCTATGGTGGAAACTTGGTTCTATCTAAACGTTCTCGAGTCACTAACTTTGTAAATTGTATACTACCATCAAATACGAATACTTAAGCAGTTTTCCTGAAACCACGTGCACCATTCAAACTGGCTGCCTTCAACGTTCGCACACTTATGCAGGTCAGACAACAGATAGGGCTGGTTATGTCTTTGGAAATTCTTAATATCGGCGTTTGTTGTCTATCCGAGACCCGTATTCAAGACTCTGGTGAAGTACCACAAATTCACTCTCCATCTGTCGCTTCAAAAAGCTTCTTTTACATGCGTTTATCCGGGTACCATATGGCATCTTCATCTGGTTTCGCTGGCGTTGGTGTCGCACTAAGCGCTAGAGCTCAGGCAGAACTAATCGATTGGATCCCCATTAACAGTCGGTTATGTGCTGTTAGATTAGAAAGTTCCATCAAAGTGAGAAGAAATCGGGTTGAGAAACAATGTCTTTTCGTCATCTCCACCTATGCCCCGACAGATTGCAGCCCGAATGCAATCAAGCATGAATTCTACCACCACTTAACTGTTCTTCTCCAGAAAATGCGTTCGACAGATATTGTAGTATTAGCCGAGGACTTGAATGCTTAGGTCGGGCGTCTAGGCACAGAAAAGAATCGTTTAGGTGGCCCATGGGGATTTGTTGGTCGCAGGACAGATAACGGGGACCGTCTACTGCAACGGTGCACAGACCACAACCTATTTCTGGCTAGCACTAACTTTCGGCACAGACATCGCCGATGTGCCACCTGGCGTCCTCCCTCTGCAACTCGAGCCTGGACTCAGAGTGATCACGTCGCGATCAGCTACCGCTGGTGTGGTTGTGTACAAAACTGCCAATCCTTTTGAAATACCTATCTGGACTCTGATTATGCCCTGATCTGCGCCAATCTTACTTGCCATCGACGACATTCTGGGAACAGCTCTGGTGGATGCAAGTAATGACGGTGTGGATCTGTTGCCTGAGGAAAGATTTATCGACCTTGAGTATGCGGACGATATTGTCTTACTGAGCGAAAATGCACAAGCCATGCAATCCACACTTAATCAGTTGGCAATCAGTGTTCGTAGGTACAGTATCTGCTCTGCACCTTCGAAGTGCAAAGTAATTCTACAAGACTGGTAGGATTCTAATCCTGTACTCACCCTGGAGGGTGAGCAGATAGAAGTAGTTGAGAAGTCCGTGTATCTAGGTAGCTGCATAAGTGCTGGTGGTGGCGTGAGTGATAAGATCAATTCACGTGTAGTGAAAGCCTGGGCGACTTATGCAAATCAGGCTGTAAATGGTCGGATCTACAACGCGTCGGTAAGAGCAGTTTTGCTCCATGCTTGTGAAACCTGGACTCTCCGAGTCGAGGATGTTAGACGACTCTCTGTGTTTGATCATCGTTGTCTCCGAAGGATTGCTGACATCCAGTGGCAACACCATGTTAGCAATGCAGAGGTTCGGCATCGTGCATTCGGGCACAGAGACGATAATCCAATTGGTGTCACCATCTTGAAACATCGACTTCGGTGGCTTGGACATGTACTATGAATGTCGTCCCAGAGAATTCCACGTCGTGCATTATTTTTGCAGATGCTGGGACTGGTTGGAAAAAGCGGAGGAGTGGTCAGTGTATGACATGATGTCGTGGTATGAAAGAAAGCTGCAAAGGGCTGGCTTCTGTTGGTCCTTCACGACTCCCTGGCTGTGGTCCGAGCGATGGTGCTACACAGTGGCTAGAGACGTTATTAGATATGGCTCAGAGTAGAAACCAGTGGCGATCCTGCTGTAACCTTCTTTTAATTTGTTCATAAAAAATGGTTGTTTCTTCCTTAACTGAAAAATTTCTTCCGACTGTACCTTTCCGTTTCCCCCATCATTACTCTTATTGTTAAACTACCTTACACTAATCTGTTCGTTTTCGTTTTTTCCCTCTTCGAATTCTCATTGTTTTGTGTGGCGCATATATATTTGGTTCTTTTTTGTACCAATATTTATGTGTTCAAATAAATAAATAAAAATAAGATCATTTATATTTACGCAAAGCTTAGACCAAATAATATATACTTTTAATATAAGCATTACTAACCTCATTAAATGTTGCATAAAAGCCAAAGCATATCGAGTAAATGGTTGTTGTTTATTTGAAGTAGGTAATTCATTACCATTTTTATCTTTCGAAGATCTATCCAAGAGTGTATAGACAGACCAACCTGTAAAATAAAAGTGACTACGATGAATCATCGTACATAAGGTTTACTTGATGGTGTAATTCATATTTCTGTTAAATAATTCATTACGTCCTGATAATTAGAATCCAATCAGTCAAAATATTGAAATGTTTGAAATCGCATGGGTACACTTGAATTAAATGCTTTGGAACGAATGATTCTTAATGACACCCTAAAAATTCCACAAATACGCACTCAGATCGCCGTAAATCAAAGTCAGTTGCATAGAGAATAGAATTTGTACTTTCTTTTAACTTCATGACAACTAGGGCGTCAGTCATTAAAGATGAAGTGTAGTTTCAGTTGAAGATTATGTTGCGTTGCGTTTACATATATGTTGATGTTATAAATTAAATGAATTTTTGATACCTATGTTTCCCAGTGGAATAATAAGTTATTAGTCGGGGTTACGTTGCTACGACTCAAATTATATTTGGTACGATTATCTCTTAGTCATAAATCAATCGGGAAAACCCGATGGATAAATGAAAAACAAGACAGAATTAGAGGTTCAATTGTACACCTTAATAAGTTCATAACCGGAGTGGTTACAAGTGGTAGTAATTTGAATTAAACCGCAATTTGGTTTTTCTTGTAGCATCAACCATACATAGAAAAAAAAGCATTTCATTATAAATTCCTATTCGTTTATATTAATCAAAAATTTTGCACTTAATATTATAAATAAGTACTGTATTATAATAAACATATATATTTTCCTCTAGTAATGATAGTATGTTGCATAGAATACGCAAAAATGAGCAACAGGAAAGTTGAAAGAGCCAACTAGAGAATGAGAATAGTTACTGTCGTTCCACATTAATCTTCTCAGGTTCATCGTTACTCCTGCTCCGAACTACTAGAGGTTGCACAAGTTGGCAGTTCGTTGTTTTCTGAAATATCCTCTGTCGAGTTTCAAGATCATGTGTTTTCACTTAATATGCAGAGTTGTTCGAACCCAATTCGTCTTCTTGAATGTCAAGTTTCCTTGATCCTCTGACTTTTCATTTTTACGCGTCACGTTGGGGATTATTGTCACATTGTTTATCAGTTACCCTTCTACTGAGTTAGCATTAGATTCTGTTCGTATGAAAATAATCCCAATAGAACGTAATTAGGAATTAATGTAGACCGACCGAAAACATGACACGAATATAATGTCAGCTTACAACTTCAGTATTCAGTTATTTTCTAATGTAGTGTCGAATAATACAAGAATATAACTTACGTGTTACACAACCAGTACACAAATTCAATAAAGAAGACTGGAGTTCTAAGTCAAGTGATGTTACTGGGGCTGAAGACAACAGAGTGAGACAATGCCAAGATAAGAGAGATAGACGTGATCTGCGGTGAGTAGGTTTTAAGGAATTTTCATTTGATAAAGTGCTCTCAGAGGTAGTTGATGATGATGGAGAAGGATCAAACCATAAATGAGAATAACTGAGTAAATGAGATGATCCAATCAACTGGTTCAAGCAACCAACAACACCAAGCTGGAAAAAGTTTTTAAAAATGATAAAAATACACTAAATATTCAGAGACATTTAATGAGAGTAAAATTGGAAATTTATCGGAATTATTTCTACTTTATTTAAAATTTAAAAGTGATAACTTAACATTACATTGGTGAACTTAACAAATAAGTAAATGCAGACTTATTATTTCAACAGACCTTACAGGCTTACAAGCTAGTGAACAATCACAGTTGAGTATATTGTAACTGCAACATTACTTTCCATTTTGATTGACATGATGGATTTCAATGCTTTTTCTAAACAGATGCTCAAAACACTTGACAGCAGAGCCAGGATTTAGTAATTAATGACAGTATGTTATAATACCATGAAAAAGATCAACGTATTATCTGTGAACAAATACGAGACGTGAAACCAACTAAGTGAGGGAGTTGGGGAACCCATCTAAACTTATCTAGGAAAATGATATCATAAACACAAAGACAGATTTTAAATGTGCTCAATTCCGCCGCTTATAACGTAGACAAGATGCTTGCACTTCTGTAAGAGAGCGATACTGTTCAGGAGCCCATCATATACTACCTTAGTGATATCAATCATGGTCACTGAATGTTGAAGTTGTTTGTATGTAATGAGCATTAGACTGAAGATAACGCAGAAATATTGCTTGCTTATGGAAAGGGGTGTTGGTGTTAGAGTGCTACAGTAAAGTGGTAGATTGCCTGAGAAACTAGTAGACCTCCGAAATTTTTTGAAGCCCAGGTAAATGTGTCATAAAGTTTAAATAAAAAGCCAATAATGAAACTGCTGCTTGAGATACGAAAGGACGATTTAAGACCGTCCACTGATCTACGATACATCAAGACTAAAGATTTTACGTTTAAGAGTTTAAGAATTATTGTAATTTAATGGAGTAAGACCTGCAGGAAAGAGGACGTATGTTGAGAAACCCAGAGTAGCTCCACATAAACCTGTGTACAACTCATTCTTACCTTGTCGCATATCATAATGAAGAGACCACAAATCACATATACCAAACGTTATCACAGAGTTAGTCTTATTAAAAAGGCTTGATAAAGGCAATGAACATTAAGGTAACCTATTGTGTCACTAAATAAAATGTAAAGCGAACACAACACAGGAAATTTTCTTTCCAACAAAATCGATTACTTAAGCTGTACATTGGTATTTATAGCTGTTTGACAAATGTACGAGTCTATGGAAGAGTAGAAATAGATTATATCATAAAATTATCCAAGATTTCAGATATCAGAAGGTTGCGTAGTGATCAGGAAGTTAGAGAAGGATGGAAGGGGGTAAAAATAATTCACGGATCAGAAAATATGAGGAGCAATCGACAAAAACAAAGAAAAAATTAAAAAACGTGGAGGTCGTAATAACGTTTGAATAAAAATCACGAAAAATTGTTAAAGGATAATAACTGAACATGGTTTTTGAAAAGTACAAAATAGTAGTAATAAAAATGAAAACAAGACCAAAACATAATGAAAAGGGCATTAAGGCTATGAAAGGACGAGAGGTTGAATGTTATGATTTGGCACGCAGAGTTCAAGCATGAAATAGCGGATTGTCAACGCCTCAGTAGTGCATAAGTTTTTTTATTCGACCTCCCTTTGATCCCACTTTTGTAAATGTGTACACTTGAAAGGAAGATTCCTTTGTACTGAACAACCGATTGTTTCACATTCCTCTCTTAAAAGCTATCCCGGGTAGTGTTCTGAGATGCGTTTAGAAAGTGTTCACTTTGTACGGCGAAAGAAAGCTGCCCTCTTAAAAGCAAGTAAACATGTAGATGTACATCGATGTAACTCAAAGTGGAGATTTTCAGATCACATCATGATGTAATCTCTTTTTATAACCTTACAAACTCACATTTATCAAACAACTATAAATACGAATGCGTGGCACAAGTAATATGTATATTATAACAACCAGAAAATTACTGTTTCAAGCTGTTGACTACTTGCCTTGTGAATAAAAAACCGGCTGAAATGAGAGTAATAACTATGGAAGGTATTCTATTTTGCTGGTGATAAATCATGTTATTCCACGCAGATAATAAGAGTTTCAATCCAGTGGTCAGTCTTAAAAAATTTTCCATACTCTGCATATATTCAGAATTGTATTCAGGTAAATAAAACCCAGAAGTTGTTTTAGTAGAAATAAGCACCCATTACCCAAAATGTTTACGTTAGAAAATAAAAATTTACCAGCATGTAGCGATCTTCAGGTAAAATACTAGAACATGGCAATTCCATTAGAGCAGTCAAACATTTACGGAAGAGACGTGTAGTTCCTGCACTACATAAACGAAAATCGGTAACTTGGTTACTTATTTTATTGTCTTCTGCCTCTGAATACAATAACTGTGACATTTGTGATTGATAAAACTGTCGTCCAATAGGTCCAACATCCATTTCCATTGGTAGAGTAGATAAACAAGGTGGTAAACCATGAACACCCAAAGCACCAACCAAACCATAACATGAAACTTTTGATTCTATGGAATAAAAAACCAATCAAAATAAGTAGCTGGAAAGAATGGTTAATATTGTTCATGCATGTGAAGAAACTTTGAACATCACAAACCAAAGATCCTGAAACAATTATTACATAAAATCACGTACTGATGGAACAGTGTGTACTATATTTAGTCAGAATTTCAATGGTGATTTTAATTCACAGGACGATATTAGGGCTACTCTGAGACCTATAGATAGTATGTAATTTTAGCTCCTACCAAACATAATTTAATACTACAAAGCAATTGCGATCAGGATATATACTGAAAGGGGCAATCTCTTTGTAGTATTCACTTACCTTAAGAAGTAACCTCTTATTATATATGACAGTGCCATGTTCTTATAATCAAGTCTCCCTAAGATAACTAATTTGATGATTCACTAAAATCATACAATTGAAAATCACAACTCATGCTACACTGTATGGAAAAAATTGGAATTTTTAAATTTAAATAACTGCCGAAAGATATGCCGGTAACACCTATAGAAGTATAGTGAGCTGAATCAATCACCTAAAGATATTAAGTCCTTGTGCTTTGGGTGTTAACCATTTCTAGTGGTTATTTTATGCTCCTGACCGATGGAACCAGATTAACCGATCACGATTGAGGCATGAACAATTAATATATAGTTGCTCATGAAATAATTAATTATATTTAAAGAAGAGCGGGAAATGGAAACAAAGCGAAAGCGACAATATTTGCAAAATACGATGAAGTGATTGCATTTCGTTGCTTTTTCTTCAGCCACATATAAGCTAATAAGTTTACTTATTTCTAATTATTCATAATGCTCGGTACGTCTTGAGACACTAACCAATACTACATGCTAAGAATTCTAGCTATAATTTTGTTTACTCCGCGTCTACTAGTTCTTCCATAGCCTGGTGTCCCACACTCCGCCAGTTATACAGATAACCAGCACTGTTTACCTTGAGCCGAAACAGCTAAACTTCTACTAATTCGCTATTTATAACTCTTACTCTATCTTCTACCATGAGTTCAAGAAAGAAGTCAGCAACTAACCTCCAGTATTATTATAATTCAAACATATGTGGGTTTATAGTTATCATTACCAAGGTTTAACTTGATAATCTCTAATGAATTGAGCATTGGGTAGATTGTCATAAATGAACTAATATATTTGTAATGTCCCAATGAGTAGGAAAATTAGATTTTCTGACGTTTCGTGACTCTGTAAGCCACTTCTTCAGAGAATAAATAACCAAATGTATTATTTTATTTATATGTGGGTTTAGATAGACATATTTGACCGCAACGTACCATAAAATGAAAAGTCACAATTATATATAAACGAGTCAAGAGAGGCCTTTTAATTATATACCAAAATTATAAATAATAACAACAATAATAATAATTCGAAAACGAGTTACAAAAGTTCTGACTTTTATAATAATGAAGTGTCAACGAATAGGGAATAAGTTGTTTGAAGTGCGAAAGAAAGTACCACACCACTTACTAGACGCGGAACACAAAGTAGATGCAATAAATGCGATCAAAGTTATCAATAAACACCCGATTCTAGTTCATTAATACTCGCTGAAGAAGTCATAGCAACTGAAAGACTTAAACCTGAAACTCGTATTCAAAAAGTCAGTAGCTTTTCCTCAACTGTTCTGATAACAAAGTCACTTAAGTATTTTGATTCTTTTTTCATCAATTAATTGAAGTTACAATCTAGTGAATTTAACTCGCAGGTATTTTTTTTACGTTTTACAACTTTTCAGACTTTTCATTGTATTCTAGATCTATCGCTCTAAGTAATTATATAACCCTGTTGAAACTAATATTTAATTCCTCTTACACTCCAAATAACTTATCCTTTATTGATTGACAGTTTATTCAATCAAGTTCAATATTATGCTAATAAATGGCAATAAGGAGACTTATTAGCCTATATGTAGTTGAAGATAATGCAACGAAATACAATCACTTGACGTTGTTTTGCAAATATGTTCGTTCATGCTTTGTCTAAATTCGTGAAAGGGACCAATTGCATGAAAAATGAGAACGGTTTAAAACTTTCCAACTAACCACTCTACACTAAATTCAGTGTCATGGTTAATAAGTCAAAACAATATCAAACCCTAATACAGCCTAAAAAATGGTGTAGGTTATTTAGGGATAAATGGAACGCTGAAAAATAGCCAAGAAATATATATGTTTAAGTTGTTTTACATGACATCTTATCACTTACTAATTATTGAATACGGTTGTGGCAGCCAAAAGTGCAAACTTCGCTTGATACGGTTTGGTAGTAAACCTCCAGTAAAAATACCTAAATTATCACCAATGCCACTAGTCAGATTGGAGGCTAATGCAACTAATGCTGTAGAAGCTAATTCACGTAAATCTGGATCAGTATCACATAAAATTCGCCAACACTCAGTCCATGTCAAATCAATCAGTCTAGCAGGCATTACAGAAAACAGCGCTGACTAAAACAAATAAGCGAAGAAAGAATTATTAACAATGTATTTTAAAAAATTGTGATTAGACGTCACAAATCTCTATTTACAACGCCTAAAGTGTGTCGATGATGTTTGATAATGGAGACCTTCGTTAATTTGGGATTTTCTGTCTTTAAAATTCCGACACACTCCATATGGAATACTTTTAATGGTGTAAAAAACAGAATTTAGAATAGTATAGAAAAACATATTCTTTTCTGCAGTGTTGTACTACCTTTTAACTAATTTTGAATGTTCTGAAACAAATATTGCTGTAGAGCCAATGATTGATAAAATGTTTACAAAATACGATAAATATGTAATGCAACTAAACATTCAGATCAAACCTTTCTTGCATCTTATGGGACGAAAGCTAACAAAATTAATAATAACGCTTGCAACACTTAGACTTATTATAATTTATTTTCCGTAAAATAATTAATTCAGTGTAGATATTAGCTTATTAGATATTAGCGAATTAGTTTTTTCTAAAAAGGGTATTTAAATCACAAACATGAAACATCTATTAATAAAAAAACAGAACTATATTTTAAATAACAAACCTTTGCTAATTCATGTGTCTTCAGTGTTCCTTCTAAATATCCAACAGATGCCCAGTCAAGTTCAGTGACTAAGGTTAGCAACTCACGTCGAACTAATCGATAAGGATGACGTGATGCATGAATAACAATTGAACTCAGTGTTTTTAGAAAACGATACACCAAAAGTTCATCCGGTAATATGTTAGATCCCTTTGGACAAAATGAGGATTTCCGATCAGCACAAGACAATAAAGCGTTAGAACATGCTCGTAAACCAGATAAAGCCCATCGTAAAGTTATCCCAGACACCTTGAATAAGTAATAAACACAGAAGTAAGAATATGTTTTTCAATATTACCACAACTTACGAGTAGCTCTTTTAGTTTTTATCAAACTGCCTTGATTGCGTAAGAGAATATTTAGGAAAATATGAATGACCGGTAAGTTGTCATTTACGAAGTGACACATTAAACGAATTTGTTATTTATCACAAACTTAAGTAATGACAACTATTTGACCCAACAGATATGAAAGAGCAAGTTAGGAATATGAGGAATATATTCATTTCTTCAGCTATCACAGAAATTATGTAAACAAAGGTCACAAAAAAACAATTTATACTCTTGAAAAGGATTACTCAACAAACTTCACTCTCCAAATCATCTTAAGAACACAACTAGAAAAAGAGACAAAATTGGAATGACATATGATCGATAACAGCCATAAAAAATGTGTTACGAAAAACCTTAGACAACTATTTCCAGTTATTTCTTTGTCATAAAAATAATTAACTGAAAAGTTAGATTATGATCAGATATAAATAATCTGTATCCCTAATGGGTGAACTAAAAAAGCATCAACAGAGAGTTAAGTAAACCAACTATAAGTTATAGCCGATTTTTCACTTAAAAAATTGAATACTTTCATTGTGATATATGACTAATATTAGGAAAGTAGTATAAATCTTGAAAATTAGACATTGATTTCAACTAATAAGAGTTAAATTTTATTAAGGAAATTAATTATATAAAAAGATAAAGTGTTGGTATGATATCAAGTACATAGATGTTCGATGGTTAAGTTTTTCTGTTCATTAAGAAAACATTTTCACATTTTACATATACAATTATACTTATACTTACGGATGACCTATGGTAAATGTAAGTTATTAATTATTCTGAGTTAAAAGAAAAACAAATAAGATTTCACTTTCTACATTAGAACAACACAATACTTGTCCACTTATGTTTTATATCTTCATAAAGAATTATCAACAATTAGTCACAAATTAATAAACTGAACATTAAATGGTTACAATTACTGATGAAAACATCAAGTTAAATACATAGAGAAATTATTTTATGAAGTTTACTTTTAGAGAACAAGAATTCAAGAATTAATATTACCAACTTTCTCCCTGTTTAAACTTCACTAGTTGTAAAAACAATAACTGAAAAGTAGAACAGCTAGAATTTATTTCACATCAATTGACTGTTTAAAATTTTTTTTAAATTAAAAACATCTATGAATTACACTGAAATGTATCTGTATAATAGAGCATAATCAAAAGTGATATACATTACTGAAGTTGTTTGTAAAAAGAAATTGAAAGAGCAAGTTACTTAGAATTGGAAAACTGAGCAATGTAATCATTTCAACAGGAAGCTAAGGGGTTTAAACAAGTATAGAGGAAAGGCTACATGCAAAACCGAATAATTATGGTGGATGAAATAAGGAAAAAACCATCTTAATTGAGGAAAATGGTTTGGAAAAATTTACTTCATATTGATGATGCTAAATTCACGATAGTTTTGATTATTTTTAATGGCAAATAATTTATTCGCGCTTTCATTTCCTTATCGAGTTAATTTAATTTCGAAAATTCATCTTACTACTAATTCTGCTTAGGTATTTTACTTTCATTTCTTCATGTTTAATAACCTTTATGAGTTAATCATACTACTTAACAGTATTAAGTAATTAATTTCACTTTTCATTGTTTTGAGTATATAGTATATCATACAAGCCAATACAAATGAATTACACTTCTTGATTGTTGTTTGTCACTTCTAAATATTTATATTAACTTAAGATCTAATTATTACTGTAATTGTAGCAGTTACTTATAATTCTCTTGGACTCACTGAATCTTTGTTTAGATGTATCAGTTCTCAAATTATTTTTTTGTTTATAGTATCGGTTTCGACTACGGACAGTCGTCAACTTTAGACAGCTACTAGTTGTTACTCATACTTTATGCAATTATTTCAGGAAGTGCTTTTCATATTTAAATAAATTGACACATTAAACGCCACAGAAACTTTACGAATTGATGTCTGTAACTATTATGCATGTCATTTTGTAATAATAACACCGCATTCTTGATAAAAACTTTGTCTTGGATTCCGATTTTTCGCGTGTAACTGTTGCGTGGTCAGAAGACTCGATAGATACTAAAACCATTATAATGTGCAAATTAATTACATAATTGTTGTTCTTTATCTATCTTCTACAACATTCTTAATTTAGTTCTGATCTAACATGTAAATACGAATAACAAATTTACATGTTCATTGATTTTTCCTACTATGTTTGATTATTCTTAGTGTTCACTGTGAAAACATCATTTATGTTGGGTTGTACAAGTCACAGATCTCTTCTCTATACTAGTTAATTGAAATATCTGTTCAAACAGATAATTCATTTTCTCTGTGAATCAAATATCATGACCACATTACTCAAGCATTGTAACAATATTAAGTGGTTATCTCTTTAGCAAGTACTAAAAATGAGTTATCGTAGCACATGTTTTCCTGTTACTACACTATAAAATAAACCTCTCGACACTTTGATTACTGAATAATTCAAATCCAGAAATTATTGAGAGGGGGTAGTTAATGCTTATGAATGTGAAGTATTCACTTCTTAAAATATGAAAGCATTTATAAACTTTGACACTGTATGTATTTTGGACGGTTTCAGCTAAAAATCAATTATTACTGAGTGCGGAGTATGGTTCAACAAATAGATATTAATGTCTGAGTAAGGAAGGCAATGGGAATACATCAAAATATATTACATGGCTAGAAGACTATTAAAAAAAGGATACAGAAGGAAAAGATTATTTTAGAAAGTTAACTCTATAAGTCAGCTAGTTAAGGAAAAATTAAAAACATAAACATAGATAAACGTCCGGGACACTCAAGTATCCTCTTTATTTTTTGCTCTTTGCTTTCTCTATTTTCTTTCACGTTTTAGCTGCTAATGTGGACTTTGTAACCGGACTGAAACCGCATGACGTTACGTAACAGATTTGACCTTTTCATTACGTTTATATTTCAACCTTGATCGTAACAAAATAAGGGATCTTAGCAGCTAGCCTGTTCTAAGGTCCCATTTAAATATATGACAGCTTCCTATTTATAGGAAGATTCCATTAAAGCATTTAATTTCTGAATATGGTGCAACAGTACGGCTGGATCTCACAACCAATATTAGTGGTACTTCACTAAACTCAGTTCTCTTCAGGAATTTAAACGCGTTATACAACTTCTGAACATACTGAAGCCCCGAAAAGTAACAACGGTCATTATTTAATGCCAAACAAAAAAGTCTTAGTCTTTTTATTTGGACAATTCAAGTCGTATTGCCTTCTATTTGCAAATATTCAGTAGTATTAGCGGTTACAGCCCAACTAAATTGAAAGAAAAACTGAAATTCATATGCTATAAATAAGACCTACATCTGTATTTAAATATGAGTCCAGTTTGGTGAAAAGATGATCTAGGCTTGTATATACAGCGAGTTTATGATCATTTAGTAGTAAATAACCAGGATCTTGATCTGTTAGATTTTGCCAAACCAAATAAGAGGCTATCAAATTCCCAATGAGAATGCAAAGTTGACCTTGAGCTTGTGGGTCACTGTTGTTACTGAGAAATTCCAGAATCACCTCAACTGTAAAAGCATAGAATTAGGCATGAATGTGTTTGCAGATAATAAGGATCAATAAGATTTATTAATAATTAAAAAAAAGGGGACAATTTATTTTGTAAATGGTTCTCATTATCAATCAATAGGAACTAGAGAATCACTGATAACCAAAGATCGAATAGCTACTCCATTCTACGTCAAGTTTCCTCAACATTGGGAATTTTCATGTTCGAACAGCATGGGGCGTAAGGAATTCAGCTTTTACAAACAGCAAGCTTCCATTTGGATACCAGAGACAGAGTCAACGAATGATATTTTCAAACGTGCCGATCAGGTTAGTGAAGCCGACGACGCCTAGGACAAACTCCCCCCTTTTATCCTCACCACCGAGTTGATAATGCAACGTAATGACAATACTTTAACTGCAATATTCCTGAAGCGTTGCAGTGAGAGAAGGCAGTTCTTGATAAGAGAAATTCTATTTCCAGAAGACAAAATTGCGGTACAATAACTGTCTTTATAGTCACGAAAATGACCTTGGGAACACAATCAAAACTGGCAAACTAAAAGTGAAAGTAACCAACTATATATTAACAAAGGTCAGTGGGGTATTATGTCTTTAAAAAACTACTCAGAACTTGTTCATTCTGTAGTTCGTCAGCAAAATTAAAAAAACTAGATAATTTGAGACCATCTTAGCAGTCAAATAGTGTCATTCTTTATGTGTCGATACAACTGAAATATTGTTTGTTTCCAATAGGATTGTAGACAGTAAACAGAAAACCTAGTTGGCATGAATATTTATAAAACATGAAATTGATAAGTAAGAAAGATTACCTGCCGTGGGCCACTGAATTTGTTTTACACTCAGTTGATCATTAGGACAACACTGATCACCATTTAGCTGAACAAAAAACATAAATGGATTAAGCTGAGCTAATTGGGTTAAACAATTGATAACAAGCAACTGTAAACTAATTCGAGGTGAAGTTGAAGGCCTTGGCCACTGATGATGAGTTTTAGAAGTTTCTTGGGCTTGCGGCATCATATCAAACGATAAGAGAAGAAAAGGTAATAACCAATCAGCCTGAACTAGATTGATTGGTTCACCTTGATTATTAAGGCAGTTGATGAGATCTAATAAGCTGAAAGGACGATATTTCGAAAAATGAGTGGACGATGGTTGCTGATCGTATATATGGTTTTCTGGATCTGTAAAAGAGGAATGAATACGCAAACTACTGAGCTAAATAATACAAGTCATCAATTTATAAAATCAAGGTGCAACATTTTAAATTTAAACCACAAATTATATTTGCACGAAACAATATCCAAAGGTTTTTATGATAAATAAAAGAACATTAATAACTCTAGATGTAAGTATTCTATCAACTAGATTTTATGGTTAATTTAGATCATAATACTTCATTTTAATTATAATCACTGGGAAACGTTAATATATGACTTACTAATTGAGTCATGACTATAATCAGTTTGAGCAAACTCTATATTTCTGTATGAATCACCTACAACATTATAACCTAAATAGCTGAATACATCATCATTGTCATTATTCACTGATTTCTCTCCATCTCTAGCCAACTGAGCACGAACAGCAGATAACTGATTTTGAATCTCTTGTCCAATGATTGCTGTGTCATTTGAATCTATCTTTATAGAAGAAGATAAACTGGAAGAGGATGCCGATCGAATGAAATATGTATCACAACTATCGACTGACTGAAAATCTGAGCTTGGACTCTTATCATCAACTGACTCTGAAGAAAGCGTCCTAAGGAAACGATTGCTTGCAACAAAATCAGGTGTTTCCTTGGAGTTAGTAATATTGGTACTGAGCTCACCTGCAATAATCAGATTGTAAAAATAAATAAAATTATATGATATTTGTGAAGATCAAAGTTATTAAAGATAACTTCAGTACTTTACTAATAAATAATAAACTACTTACCTGCCATTAATATGCTGTGTTAATTGAATACATTACAAAGGAATAAAGTTTGATCAGGTAAAACTATTTACTTGGTTGGTAAAACGCAAAGTAAGAGACCCGAAGGTTTTGAATTCTGCCCCAGTGGGGTCATGTATGTACAGTGTTGAGGAATCTGGGACTAAAGAGAAACAGTCCATCTAAGGTCATTAGCTAATGAAAGCCAAGAATATCAATTATATTTACAATGTGTTGACATAAACTGTCAACAAATTGAATAGTGTCATGAATTAAAAGAAGTCTATTGATTAGAGCTAGACAGTGTAAATAATCATGAAAATTAGGATATTTAAATCAGAAATCACATACACATTTGTGTAATTACTTCATGATTTATATTTAGGCGAGCCTTGATCCTGAGAGATATCGATTACAGGTGAATCGTTTACAGGTCTGGAGTTAAATGGTACAAGTTAACAAACAAAAATTGTAATAAACGTAATAATAGTCAAAACCTATTAAATAAACACGGAAATGTTGAATGTAAAATTGAAAGTAAGTAAGGTAAAGCAAGATTGTGAGACTTCACACTTCATAAATGTTTGTATGGTTTGATGGACTGTTACATTACAAACAGCAGATATCTAGTGCTTTTTTACTATGCGAATTATCTGGAAAGAGTCTTATATCATTGTGTTTATGTGAATCGACCATGAACTGAGTGGAAAAAGAGAAAGTAACAAAACTGAAAAGTATGCCTTTTATGACAGGAAAAGAATAACAGAAATTATTCCAAAGTAACTTTCTCAACATAATACAACCAATTTAAAATGAGTGATTAGAATGAGAACAATATGTATAAAAAAGTAAATAGAAGATAAAAATTATCTGTTTTGCATAAATACAAAGTCAAATGTGTATAATAGGAAACAGTTAAATTCTCCACTGGACACCTGAAAGAGATCTCTAAATAATCAAAAGTTTTCAGAATTACTGTACCTACAGTACTTACGTGATCTCACTGCACTGGATAACCGTAATATCAACTTATTGATGATCTACAATAAACTGAACTTTTTTACCCATAAAAATAGTTTTCAATTCGCTTTGGCACATCATCTGATGTGTCTATATGAGGTTAATCAGCATTCCAAATAGGAAGCAATAACACCCAAATATTTGTAGACAGAACTGTTTCTTTTTTATATTTCACTAATAAAGTATGAAGTATCGTTGTTAGGACAGTTGATTTTCACGTTTCAGATGAGTTTACTGATCTCTTGTGACTGATATTTGATTTCAAATGTTTCATACTATTTTCGAGTTGTTATGCGTCGATAATTTTCCGATGATAACAAACCTGGCGGAAAAATGTTGGATTCAGACTAAAAAATTAAAAACTCTTCTAAAAAGAGACATCAACAGAACAGTCGGGGATGAGTTGTGGATGAATCAGAATTTATCTGATGTACATAATAAACTTCAGTTTTGATGCATAGATCATCTGTTGAATATATCACATCGTTTAAGAAAACCCCTTTCTTCAAAAGCAAACTTCAATTTCAAAACATCTATAACAGACATCAGATTCCTTGATAAACTCATGAATCGTGAGAACACAAACCTCTGTTACAATGAGATTTGATGGTTAGAGTTTATTTATATATCATTTTACAACTTTTCAAAAAAGTATGCTTAATATTACCTACCGGTAGTGCAAGTACAAAAATTAGATACATTACAGTGAACAAATGCCCTGGTACGACTGAGAGTGGAGAGGAGCCGCCCTTCCTCACGAAATACTCTCGCACGGCCACGCGTATATAACCTCTGCCAGGGAAGTCTTACTCACAGTCTTCTCGAGGCATTACTGTTATTTACGAAATTAAGGGGACGAAAAGCAAATTTCCGGTTCTTTAACCGGGCCGGTGGACACGATGAGTCCATCTAGGGAAGTTGGGAAACCCTCATTCCAAACCAATGATGCACATAGACTCCAGTATCCTGAGGGAACAAATGGTGTATGAACCAATCGTTAGTCACCGGTTACCATGGGACTGCATCTCCTCACGATGCTTCACTGCCTTAAGGGTCAGATATTTAGGCCAAAGGCTCGAGGTGTGGCCCCCCTAAAAAACCACCTGCTTTGGTCTGGGTACCCGGGCAGTATCACAGTCCACACACAAATGAAATGAAGTGACGATAATTACTGAAAATACTATTCTGGCCTCGATTAAAAGTCACACAATTAACTCATTTTTACTCATTTTATATGACGCCATTTATACACTCTCTTTCACTCCTACATTGTGTATCCTTATTTTTCGAATTGTACAGCAGCCCGCCTATGGTGGAAACTCTGTTTTATTTAAACAAACTCGAGTCACTGACTGGTCGAATATTGAATGCTACCACTTCAGAAAGTTTTTCTAAAGCCACGTCAACATCGATCAGAGGAGGTAGTTGCATAAGTGCTGGTGGTGGCGTGAGTGATAAGATCAATTCACGTGTAGTGAAAGCCTGAGCGACTTATGCAAATCAGGCTGTAAATGGTCGGATCTACAACGCGTCGGTAAGAGCAGTTTTGCTCCATGCTTGTGAAACCTGGACTCTCCGAGTCGGGGATGTTAGACGACTCTCTGTGTTTGATCATCGTTGTCTCCGAAGGATTGCTGACATCCAGTGGCAACACCATGTTAACAATGCAGAGGTTCGGGATCGTGCGTTCGGGCACAGAGACGATAATCCAATTGGTGTCACCATCTTGAAACATCGACTTCGGTGGCTTGGACATGTACTATGAATGTCGTCCCAGAGAATTCCACGTCGTGCATTATTTTTGCAGATGCTGGGACTGGTTGGAAAAAGCGGAGAGGTGGTCAGTGTATGACATGGTGTCGTGGTATGAAAGAAAGCTGCAAAGGGCTGGCTTCTGTTGGTCCTTCACGACTCCCTGGCTGGGGTCCGAGCGATGGTGCAACATAGTGGCTAGAGACGTTATTAGATATGGCTCAGAGTAGAAACCAGTGGCGATCCTGCTGTAACCTTCTTTTAATTTCTTCATAAAAAGTGGTTGTAACTTCTTTAACTGAAAGAATTTCTTCCGACTGTACCTTTTTTCCCCCATTATTACTCTTATTATTACACTACCATACACTAATCTGTGGTCGTTATTGTTCTTTTTTTATACGCACCTTACGTTCTTTTTCTCTTCCCATTCTCATTCTGTTTGTAGCGCATATATATCTGGTGCCCCCTTGAAGCAATATTTATTTGTTCAAATAAATAAATAAATATCATTTTTCATTGGTAAACACTTACAAATCAATCGCTAAGTTAAACAAACTTGGTGATATTTATTGTTTTGGTTATCGATATAAATAAAGTGATTCGAGCGTTTAAAAACAAAATACAGTTAGCGATGATTGTAATGTATACAGACGAAAATCTGTGCAACACCGAAACTGAATATGTTATTATTTGAAATACCTCATAAAAATGTTGTAGCATTATGAAAATAGGAAGAAGATAAGAAAAGAATATAAGTTAGAGAGATATAAAATAAATCAATTAGTCCCTAAATCCATTAGATCTTAACATTTCAAAAACTAAATAGCGCTATTTTTTCCATACAAAAATAAACAATTGACAGTAATCTATTTAGTCAATTACACACACTCTAGAAAGAGAGTGCGAGAAAGTACAAAATGTTTCGTTAGTGCAAACCAACACATATTCGAAAACCGTCTATAATGTCAGTCAGTCAGCTACAACGTAGGACCAGGCACATATGTGCATCGGTCCAGGTTGCCGTACCGCATCAGCACAACAAGATGAACACCGGATTCATAGGACTGGTTAGGTCAAAGGTAGTAATATGTAAGAGAAAGATTGCATATAGAGATATAGTACAAGAAGAAAGAATTGGTTCGTAGAAAGAAAGATATGAAGCGATTTTAATCTCTTAGTTTAAGGGAAGACAGGGAGTGTATACACCGACGCCACTGTGATCGATTCTGAGCCATGTCACCAAGAGTCTCCAACCATTGGTTACGATAGTCACGCGGACCCCAACCAAGTAGTCTGCATCTACCAACATGGCTCAGACTAGAAGTTAGTGACTTCAAGCACTGATGCCACGTTTTGGTTTGGCCGCCCCTAACTTTCTTCCAACCATTTCCAATACCGGATAGCATTGCACGTCGTGGTAATCGGTGTTCAGGCATACGTAGCACGTGGCCCAACCATCTCAGTCGATGAAGATTCATAACCTCATCAACTGATTTATCATCATTCCCTAATACCCTGCGTCTAACCTCACTATTACTTACCCGGTGATCCCAGCAGACGCCAGCAATATTTCTAAGGCATCTGTGGTCAAATACTAATAGCTTACGAGTGTCTTCTACTCTTAATGGCCATGTTTCGCTGCCGTAAAGTAAAACAGAACGGACTGCCGCGGAGTATACTCGTCCTTTTATTGATAGACGGATATCTCGCCTTCGCCAAAGGTGACGCGAGTTGGCAAAAGCCAATCGAGCTTTTCGAATCCGTGCTGAGATTTCGTCAGACACCAACCCATTAGGGCTGATCAGACTTCCAAGATAAGTGAAGTTGTCAACGCGTTCGGCTACTTCACTCCCTATTCTTAGTTCAGGTGTTGACGCAAACCAGTCCTGAAGCAGCAGCTTGCATTTAGAGGGAGAGAAGTGCATTCCAAACATTCTGGCATTATTGCTTAGTGCTACCAAAAGACTCGGCATTTTATCAGCGTCTTCACCAAACAGGATTATATCATTTGCGTATTCTAAGTCGATAAGTGGACCTCCTGGAAGGAGATCAATACCCGAGAATTCAGTAGACGAAAATGTTATTTCCATCAATAGGTCTATGATGAAGTTAAAAAAAATGGAGAAAGTGAACAGCCTTGACGGACACCACTTGAGGTTGCAAAAGCAGATGACATTTCGCCATAAGCTCTGACTAGAGTGGTAATGTCCACGTAAAGAGCCTTCACAAGGTTTATGTACTTCTGAGGTACGCCTTTCAGTGACAGACACTGCCACAGAATCTCGCGGTCTGCGGAGTCAAATGCTGCTTTTAAGTCGAGAAAGACCACCATTGTCGGACGCCGATAAGTATGCCTGTGTTCTAGAATCTGACGAATGGTGAATATGTGGTCGATGCAGCCACGACCAGGTCTAAAGCCAGCTTGATTCTCTCGTGTTTGCAGTTCACGAGTCTTAGTTAGGCGTCTGATAATTATCGAGGCTAGTATTTTAGATATTATATTAGTTAAACTAATCCCTCTGTGGTTGTCACAGGATGATTTTAACCCTTTCTTATATATTGGGACGATAAGTGATTGTGACCAGTTAGATGGAATAACGTCTAACTCCCAGATCTTAGCTAAAATATTAGTCAACCTAATCGCTAAAATTGGACCACCATCCTTAAAGACCTCTGGAGCCAATCCATCTGGACCAGCTGCCCTTCCTCGTTTCAGACTAACTATAGCTTTTTGAACTTCAGCAAGAGTTGGGGGACCTACTTCAATGTTCCATTCACACTGTATGGGAATGGAGGGTAGTTGTAGAGTAGCTGAAGGCCAGCTGAACTGTTCCGCCCATCGTTCTAAACATCTGGACTGAGATCAGATGAGGGTGTCATCTTTTTCCGAAATAGTCTGACTTATACTTGACTTATTAATTCCAGTTTCTTTTATTAGTCTGTAGAGCTGTCTTGTGTTCCCTACAACCACCGCCTTTTCCATCTCTTTTGCTTTCGTTGCCCACCACTGCTCACGGTCGTTTCTTAGACTTTTTCTTAACCTAGATCTGATTTGTTGTCGCTCTTTATTACGTTCGGAACTTGATGGGACGAGTTTGCGAGAATCAATCAGTGTGATAGACTTTGAAGAAATCCACTGGTTCTTTGAAACTCTGTGGTTTAAGTCGCTAATAGATGTCACTGCTGTTTCCACAGCTGCCTGTATTTCATTCCAAGCAACATCTGGGTCACCCTCGTCTTCGGAACTACCTAATCGTGACCTCAGTTGTTCCTGGAACCTACTTTTGGTTTCCTCGCTACTCAGTTCGTTTCTAATGGGTCTTTTTACTGTGGCTTTTTTGCGTCCAGTGAGGCGCAAGCAGATGCGTGCCCGTATTAGGGCGTGGTCGGAGTCCAAGCAGGTACTCCAGAATGAGCGACAATCTTGTACCGACCCTCTCCAACGATGACTGATGGCAATATGGTCTATTTGAGTCCATCGTTGGTTTGGTGCAGGCGGTCGCCACGTTAGACGATGTCTCTCCTTATGCTTAAAATTTGTGTTTGCTAAAAATAAACGATTGTCTGAGCACAGTTGCAGCAGACGGTCACCATTATCTGTTCGCTGTGCCGGAATGCTAAAATACCCACCTAAATGCCTTTCTGTTTGGTTTAAGCTACCTATCTGAGCATTAAAGTCACCCCCTACGAGTATTATGTCTGAGCGTTTAGCTTTCTGAAGAAGTTCGGACAGCTTTCTGTAAAATTCATCTTTCACTTCATCTGAGCTGCAGTCAGTGGGAGCGTAGGCAGAAACGACAAAAAGGCAACGACGTGTGTCCCTATCCTTCCGAGTTTTTACGGAGCCGTTTAGCCGAACGGCACATAGACGACTGTTGAAGGGGATCCATTCTAGCAGTGCTTGTTCTGCCCTCATGCTTAGTGCTATGCCTACACCTGCCAGTCCACGAGAACTGGCCATCGGGTCACCAGATACACGTAGGGTGTATCTCGTTGGCTCTCCGTTTTGCCGAGGTGAGGTCAAGTGAATGACCACACTGGAATCCTGTATGCGTGTTTCGGAGACACAGCATACATCAATGGAAAGAGACTCTAGGGTTTTAGCCAAGGAAGCCTGCTGACCGATTTGACATAGAGTGCGTACGTTGAAAGCTCCAATGTGTAGTATGGAGCGAGGTTTCAGTAGACCTGGGACAGAGTTTTGAGCACTAGAATCGTTGGCTATGGTGACACTTGAGGAGGAAGCCGAAGGAGGAAGTTTAGGGTTGAAAGTCGATTTAGGAGGAATAATAGGAATTGAAGAGGAAGGTTGATTATGAATACAGTGGTATTGGGTGCTGTTAGGGGTATGAGGGCGGTTATCACTTCCCGGTTGCCCACACCGTGGAAGGGTTCTTCTGGAGGTACCTGAAAAGGAAATTGGATTAGAGGCGGTCTCAGTGACCTGAGAGCGTGACCGCAGTGCCCAAGGGACAACTGCTTGAGGCCGGTCGCGCACGGCCTTTTCGTGGGAGGTTTTTGACGTGTTAGCTCCGTTCTTCAAAGGGCCTTACAGCCGGAGACGGAAATCCGTGAGGTAAGGTGAGGTGTGCATTTTTAGGGTCGACCTTTTCTAACCCCACCCCTCCTTGTGGGAAGGCAGCATCGCTGTCATGCTGGTTGTCTGAAGGAAACACCTTACTGCTGTCACACCTCTGTACAGTCAGCAGTACGACTTCGCCTTCGGGCCTTGGGTTTGTTGCTTTTAGTCTTACCGCTCTTCAACCGACCTGTCTGACATGGTAGGACCTTGAGGAACGGTTGTTCCAGCCAGTATAGCTCGGTTGCTTCATCACGATAGGCAAGCCCGACCACCACGTCAAGGTAGCAACAACGGTCGGGAAAATGACGGGATAGCGAAGGTGGTCCTTTAGGCACACCGCCTAGATGGACCATGAGACAGAATTTGATTTTTGGCGAAGTAACCACCTCCATTGCCCGACCAATAATGTACTATATTGTACTATAATGTACTATATTGTTTGAGTAGATTCCACAACAATTATCTGTAAACACAAAATAGCAGTTCCTGCAAATTACTTACTCCACATTAGTGTTTGAGAGGGCAGAAGTAGTAAGATATATATATATATATATATATATATATATATATATATATATCGTCTGACCAACTGGAATATTGATCAGATACACTAAACAAAACAAGTCAAACACCGTTGAAAAAGCAGAAGTTAAAAGTGAACTTTGCAAGGATACTTTGGAAGTTACGTGAAAATGGATGAAAACGACTACATTTATTAAATCAACTAAAATAATAATGCTTGTAAATAACAATATATATACAACCCAAAAGACATATTTGGTCCACATTAGTCTGTGGTAACACTTTGATACTTCATAATATATTCTTAAAGTTCAGAGAAACTATTTCTACTTTTTTGACAACTTATTAGGGTTTTTAATTGCAATCATACCTAAGGAGAGAGAGGGAGAAAGAGGATCATTCTCTTCGCGTAACTAGTGCATTTTGAGTCAAAGCTTTTGAAAAGTCTTTTCCCTCAAATCTAAGCTCACTTTGCTGGAGAAAAGCCAATTAAAACATTTGCATATATCAACTGAACCCTTAAGTGTTCCATATACAGATATATTAGATGGATCTACTTTAATAGCATGACTCAAATCATCCTCCTTTCTAGCATAAGCTTAGCATTCAGCTTTGAGATTCAACTCCTACGTCAATGCTTTAAATTCTATTTGGTCAAGTCAACGGATTACATTTTCACCTAGACACTATCACGATACATTGTTCTAACTGGTTTGAATCCTGTTCCACATTCTTTAGTCGAATCAATAGTGCCTTAATAAAGAAACTCACGAGTACTTAAAGTAATTATTTCTATTGCTAAATTAAAAGCCATAAGTAGTAAAACTTACTTTCATACAGTTTGTACTGTTGAGATGATGATTCAATAATTGTTTTATCATTCAAAATATCATTATTAGAAGTATTATCATTTAAATGCTGATTGGAAGATAATGGTACTGGTGACGAACATGATGTAATACTTGTAAGCCAACTTATTGGAAATAAAAAGAGTGGACGTCTAACTACTAACAGTTGAACAAATGCCTCTAATGATGCAGTTTGTACCATCAAAGAATTTGAGGTGGACAAATCGCAAGCATAATGTAAACACATGAAAAATGCTTTTGACCACATCCTATTATCGAAATATGTATAATCAGTTTTAAGTAATTTTTTTGGAGAATCAATTTTATCTTCTGACGAGAAAGGAATTGAGTCATCTGTAAAAAAGATGAAAGAAAATAGACTGAAGACATTCTCTGTATAATGTGCAAATAATAAGGCTGTGTTAAAAGACGGTGAAATTTTTAAAACCTTCAGATGTATGACCAATATATTAAGAAGGGAACTACTATAATTTCTGGGCCGAAATAAACATTTCACTTTGACAGGACATCCAGTAAACTTAGTATTTTGTTTTGTCCCTTCAACTAGGTTGGAAAGCCGATTGGCTCACCAGGGAGAGTAGAGCTCCAGTGAAGATCTGTAAGACTACTATACTTACAGAAGCTAGTTATACAGGACTTAGGCTGAATAATTTATATTGAGCACAATAGTTTCGCAGTTAAATTTTATAAGCCGATCTCACGGGAGAAAACAAACCACACGTTACTAGTTTAGTCCATAGTACAAACAAGCATAAATGTCCAACGACGCAAATATACGCTACATGTATAGATAGAATATACAAGCTGGGGCCTGTGCATTCCATAGTAAACTCATAATTATGGATGAGATTTGATTTTCGCGCGCGCACCAGTCCGCAGCCCAGTAGCAAGGGAAACAGATGAAGTACTTGTCTTCGAATCACTGAATTAAGGTCGTCTACTGAATATTAGCTCCTTCCTGTTTATACCACGAACAAGTTTGGTATCAAACCCTGTGCACTGGTAAGGGTGCAGTTTATGGTCATCGCTCTGGTCTGCAACAGAACGGATGGAACATCCTAGAGATAATCCAGTCAGCCACCAGATCATTCCTGAGTTACCCATAAATCTTTGTTTCGAGCTTTTCAGATAGTCCATAATCATGACATAGTGGTGGACTGGACCGATTTACATAAGTTTCAGCAGAGTAAGGGTTAGCCCGGTCCCCACCTAGCCGCTGACGTTAGTTCATGAGACTAACGTCTGCTATCTCCGAGACACCTCAGTCAGGTGTGAACCAGACTTTGCCTCAGAAAATTGACATTCCAAAATTAATACAACTATCTCCGAATGTATATTGTTTGATGTTGTAGAATACCTTAAAGAATCGTGAAGTAACTAATCTCTAATATTAATAACCATTTTATACATTTTGCGCAAATCCATAAAAGTTAGTGTACTAGATTATGAGTTACATCTAATGCATAGCGGATACTATTTGGTTGTCTGCACCCTGATAGGTAGAAAAATATATATTCTAATAACCAAAGTGCTAAATGTAATGTAACCAAAACTAGTCAGCCGATGCACGATCACAATCTACTTAGGAGGGAGACGCCTTATCCATCGCCCCCAAATGCCCTGGTAACGCCGAGTGGAGTGTGCCCACCATCCCTCTCGAAATTCTCTCGCGTGGCCACGCGTATACAACCTCTGCCAAGGAAGTCCTACTCACTGCCTTCTCGCACCACGGGTGTTGTTTACAAAAATGAGAGGACGAAAAGCGAATGTCCGGTTCTTTAACCGGATCCCAAACCAAATCGATGTTGCGCATGGGCTCCAGTATCCTGAGGGAACAAATGGTGTATGAACCAATCGTTGGTCACCGGTTACCATGGGACTGCATCTCCTCACGATGCTTCACTGCCTTAAGGCTCACATATTTAGGCCAAAGGCTCGAGGTGTGGCCCCCCTAAAAAACCACCTGCTTTGGTCTGGGTACCCGGGCAGTATCACAGTCAACATAAATAAAATGAAAATGACGATATTTACTGAAACTTCCATTCATGCTCTCACACGGCCACGCGTATACAGCCTCTGCCAGGGAAGTCTTACTCACTGCCTTCTAGTGGCGTGGGTTAAGTGCTGTTAGATTAGAGAGTTCCATCAAAGTGAGAAGAAATCGGGTTGAGAAACAATGTCTTTTCGTCATCTCCACCTATGCCCCGACAGATTGCAGCCCGAATGCAATCAAGCATGAATTCTACCACCACTTAACTGTTCTTCTCCAGAAAATGCGTTCGACAGATATTGTAGTATTAGCCGGGGACTTGAATGCTTAGGTCGGGCGTCTAGGCACAGAAAAGAATCGTTTAGGTGGCCCATGGGGATTTGTTGGTCGCAGGACAGATAACGGGGATCGTCTACTGCAACGGTGCACAGACCACAACCTATTTCTGGCTAGCACTAACTTTCGGCACAGACATCACCGATGTGCCACCTGGCGTCCTCCCTCTGCAACTCGAGCCTGGACTCAGAGTGATCACGTCGCGATCAGCTACCACCGGCGTGGTTGTGTACAAAACTGCCAATCCTTTTGAAATACCTATCTGGACTCTGATTATGCCCTGATCTGCGCCAATCTTACCTTACTTTTCAGTGGCCAACGAAGTGACCGCCACCAAAGGATTGATGTCAGTAAGTTGGTTGCAACTTCTGTTGCTAGTAAGTATCGAACCTAACTAGCTTCTAGGCTAGCTACCATTCCACCGAAAAGCATAGATGAGCATTGGTTGCAACTTAATGACGTCATCAAAATGGAGAGTAAAGCCGCTTACGGCTTCGCGAAAAGTCCTACTTATGAGCACTGGGTTTCTTCAGGCTCCTTACAACTCATCGAAGCCCGTGGGTCTAGTCCGGGTAACCGTGAGTTTGACCACAAACGACGACTCTTATGTAATGAAACCGGGCAAAACTTGCGTAAGGACCGAGAAGCCTGGTGGTCGGAGCGTGCTAATGAGCTGAAAGCAGCAGCTGCATCTGGTAACTGCCAGAAGCTCTTCCAACTCATCCAAGCCACTGGCAGCAAGACGTCTGGTGTGAGCGGAACAGTCTGTGAGGATGACGGGATGCCAATCACTAACATTCATCGACATCTTGGACGATGGGCAGAATTCTCCGAAGGGCAGTTCAACTGGCCTGCTGCTCCGGCAACATCTGTCACACTATTTTGACCTCCATGGCCGGTGACGACTGATCCACCAAATGAAGTGGAAGTCCTCAAGGAACTCCAACCCTTAAAGCGCTACAAATCACCGGGCCTAGATGACTTATCCCCGGCTTTTCTAAAGATAAGGGTGACTTCCTAATTAAGGAACCGACAGCATTGTTTACAAAGGTCTGGGAACTAGAGAGTGTACCAACGTCATGGAATCAGTCGATAGTTGTCCCTATCTTTAAAAAGGGTTCACGTCGTTCCTGTAACAACTATCGGGGGATAAGTCTACTTCCGGTTGCGTCCAAGCTATTGGCTTCCGTCATACTTCTTAGGTTGTTCAAAACCCAAGAAAGATTGACTCGCAAGCAGCAGGCTGGTTTTCGTTCTGGTCGAGGATGTATTGATCATATCTTCACCTTCCACCAAATGTTAGAACACCGTCATACTTATCAAAGGCCAACAATCGTAGTGTTTCTTGACATCAGAGCTGTCTTCGATTCGTTGAACAGGACTGTCCTCTGGGATTGTCTATTGAAAAAGGGTGTGCCTGAGAAGTTTACTAACATCCTAAAAGCCCTACATACAAACACGTCAGGTAAAGTGAGAGCATACAACCACCTTTCTATATTGTTCTATTCAAACAGTGGGGTTAGGTAAAGTTGCCCGATCTCACCATTCCTCTTCAACTTTGCCATCGACGCCATTCTGAAAACAGCTCTGATGGATGCAAGTAATGACGGTGTGGATCTGTTGCCTGAGGAAAGATTTATCGACCTTGAGTATGCGGACGGTATTGTCTTACTGAGCGAAAATGCACAAGCCATGCAATCCACACTTAATCAGTTGGCAATCAGTGTTCGTAGGTACGGTATCTGCTCTGCACCTTCGAAGTGCAAAGTACTTCTACAAGACTGGTAGGATTCTAATCCTGTACTCACCCTGGAGGGTGAGCAGATAGAAGTAGTTGAGAAGTCCGTGTATCTAGGTAGTTGCATAAGTGCTGGTGGTGGCGTGAGTGATAAGATCAATTCACGTGTAGTGAAAGCCTGAGCGACTTATGCAAATCAGGCTGTAAATGGTCGGATCTACAACGCGTCGGTAAGAGCAGTTTTGCTCCATGCTTGTGAAACCTGGACTCTCCGAGTCGGGGATGTTAGACGACTCTCTGTGTTTGATCATCGTTGTCTCCGAAGGATTGCTGACATCCAGTGGCAACACCATGTTAGCAATGCAGAGGTTCGGCATCGTGCGTTCGGGCACAGAGACGATAATCCAATTGGTGTCACCATCTTGAAACATCGACTTCGGTGGCTTGGACATGTACTATGAATGTCGTCCCAGAGAATTCCACGTCGTGCATTATTTTTGCAGATGCTGGGACTGGTTGGAAAAAGCGGAGGAGTGGTCAGTGTATGACATGGTGTCGTGGTATGAAAGAAAGCTGCAAAGGGCTGGCTTCTGTTGGTCCTTCACGACTCCCTGGCTGGGGTCCGAGCGATGGTGCAACATAGTGGCTAGAGACGTTATTAGATATGTTTCAAAATAGAAGCCAGTGGCGATCCTGCTATTATTATCATTATTACTATTATTTTATGCGAATACTCGTCGAGATTAGAACGAATAGTATGACAGAAATTGAGCGCCGATTATAGAGAAGTCATTAGATGTGAAATTGAACTTTTATTTTTTTATTCATTTATTCCTTCATGCATAATATACTAACACCGGAGATGAATGATTAATTCTCACATATACATACATATTCTCACACAAATACAATTTGTTATTCAGTTAAATATTTCCATGTACTTGAATTTTTCACATGATTTGTAGTTAACTGACTCATTTTATCCTATTTTACAAAAATCAATATCCAGATTTGATTGGTTTAACACAGTATAGTTTCGATTGTTCAAAAGCTATATATTTCTTTGATGATTTTGATTATTACCCCGAAGAAGTCCAGACAAGTTAGCTGGACGAAACGTTGGGATTATTTAAATTTTAATCGCTGAGATTATTTCAAATATAATTTTCACATATTATTATTACACTACCTTACACTAGTCTGGTCGTTATTGTTCTCTTTTTTTTGTTTTACGCTCCTTACCTTCTTTTTTCTCTTCCCATTCCCATTGTTTTGTGTGGCGCATATATATTTGGTGCCCTCTTGTACTAATATTTATGTGTTCAAATAAATAAATAAATACGATCACAATCAAATAAATGTATTTATGCAAACCAAAAACTAAACCATCACTGACTATGTCTATTTCCTTAGATTCATGGACCTTTGTTAATTGTTGGCATTTGTCATCAATAAATCTGTTGTTCATTAATAAGTAGTGAAACTATCATTATCATACCCATAGACTATTGGAGTATAATACACAACAGTGTGAAGTAGATTAAGATAATGTTGCCGAGAAGTCTACTTCGTTCACTGTGACCTAAGCTACTGCTTTTACATCAAAAAATAAAAACCTAGATGGTATTATGATTTTAATTTCCATGCAGTTACAGTGTCGTAGTGCAGAACAGCCCAGCGACACAAATAAGATCAAATTCACAAATTCATACTAACCTGGATTAAGCATTCCAACTAATCTAGAATGCAGAGTATTGTAAGAATCTAAATGTACTGATGAAGTTTGAGGTATATTTAAGTTTAAAAAAGATATATTTTTCATAAATTTATTTGAGAATTGATCCCATCCAATAGATAAATAACGAATTGTGTTGAATAAACCTGTCCAATAAGCAGTAGAATTAAAAGGTATTGATGATTTATCACACACAACTTTTGTTGGTTCTAACTGGGAATCACTAGTGAGCGAATCCATTTCAGCTAAAATATAAAAACACATAAATTCATTTTTTAAAACAAATGCGTATCAATTTGTATAAAATCAAAGTGAAAATAAATTCACTTACAATATATATATATATATATATATATATATATATATATATATATATATATATATATATATATATATATATATATACAGATAGATAGATAGTTTTTCCCCACACTAACTCTTACTCTCAATCTCAACCCTAAGATTCTTAAAATTTAAGAACAGAAGGGTTGAGAAACATTGAACTAGAGCTAATGTCAGTTCATGATGAAAACCCTAACCCTAATTTGAAAATCTAACTCAAAACTCCAGCTTAACGCTTATTAACTATCCATAACCCTTTAAAATTATAACCGATGTTATGTGGTGATGACAACTCTATGGGGTGATAACCCTAACTCAGAATACGGTCCCGACTCCTAACACGTAAACTTGACCTTTTCCTTTACTGTAAAGAATAATTCGACATGTAAGGGTAGATTATTCAGATCAAACCTATTATTTTATTGCTTCCGGTAGTGAATTATTTTATAATTAGGCAGCGTTTTATTAGCTAATAAATCGCTCCAGATTGTCAGTGTAGTATACTTTTACCAGTAATATAGTTATAATATCCAAATCTTATAGATACCTGAAGACCCATAACCTCATCAATAAATTTACGATATTTACGTACACCTCTAAGCTTAGCCGCGGTACTATCTACTTGGTAATTTTACATTGTAAAAGGATACAAAATTGATTAATATAATGACAAAAGACAAATGATAACTACTACTGTTACCACTATTAGACTTACTTAATATTAGGTGAAGTAGGTAGCGTAGTAGAGTGAGTGGTACGCGAGATGACTGACATGTGATTACAAGTGATTGGGCTACTGAACGGCGTACTACTGCCTTGCTCGATGACAACCGTGTAATTTGTGTACGTAAAAACTATTGGGTAGAATATGAAAGGAGAGTGACAAGGGGTAGTTAAAATTAAGTAATCCATAAACCATGATAACAAACTAAAGAGCATACAAAAAAAACGGAAGTGGCCAAATTTATCCGTTAAAATCGTGATTAAATTTGGCGCTAACGAAAACCGTAAACTTCATAGAAATTCTACTATATAGTTAAAATTAATGTCAGATTACTTATCCAGACTATTCAAGAGCTAACTGAGTGATATCCATGTAGGTATGATGCAGATTTACTGTCATTCCTTGTCAATATAATCGTAATACTTTGCACTATCGTGGATTGAGTTTACATTCCGTTTTTCTGAACTACGAGCCATCGTAAGGTTCTCATACAAAGGAATATATATGAACTGCATAGATGGGACAGTTAATACACAACACTTTGATGACAAACCTCCACACGATCGGTAAAGAATTGTAGAGAAGATGTATTGATGAGGACGGCAGAACGAGTAAACTACATTCAAGTTAGTATAAATCTACATCAACAATATGATTATTATTGAGTATTTTAATACGAGTAAAAATTCATTGAAAACCAATGAACAAAAATCAGCCTGAATTAATTAATACTGAAAATTAATGAACGAAATCCGTCGTCAATCAAAAAATAAATCTTAAAATTGATTTCTTCCGAATGTTGTATTTAGGAAACCAGTATCCTCTCACATCAATTAGTAACAATGTACTCATGGATCTATCTGCGATTGTACTGTCTTCTTTTGGCGTCGGCTGAATTAGTTCCTTGCCCGAAAAACTAATATTAGGCTTAGGAGTTGCTTAGCTCTCTCCATGCGTTCGGTAACTGATTATCAGGTAATATGTCCAAAGGTAGTGGCTGGATCAGAAGTATTTCTCTTATGTAGTTGGTTAAAATATCTATTTCATTTGTCTCTTCCTACTGTCGCTTCATAACATACCTCTTCTTGTTTTCTTGTTATGCCGTTCCAGCTGCCTATCATGATTAGACCGGTAATCACGGGCAGACTCTGTTGTCCTAACTTGGAATCCAGGGGTTTTTGCTTTACCTTCGGGGAATCTATGTCATGGTATGGCATGGCAAGTCATTTTAAGCTTTTGCAACGTCAGTGTTCTCTTTAGACATAACTTTTCGGGGGTTGCTATAATGGGTGTGATGATACAATACAAATAGGAAATTTTGTAGACTTTCGGGAGTTCTTTTCCGCTGTGACTTTGGAAATGGTAGCTTGACGGTATCGATAGAACATTCAGTTTATCTATTTGATTATCGTTTGGTGGTGAACATACATGGCCTATTGTAAGATAGTAGTAGAACTCTTGGAATTATCGCAATGTGAACTGATACTGTAGTGAAAAAGAACACGAGTGGGGACAATCGGATGTATTCGACACGAAATTACAGAGCATCTCAATAAAATCTGAGAACCATATAGTAAGTAGTTAATTTTCAAAATATCAATCCATCGTCTAAAAACTTCACGGTTCCTTTTGCAAATATCAGTCCATTGTCTCAGATTTCATTGTTCATGTATTTTCATAACAATTGCGTTCTGTTTCTGTTCTTTCCTTATCGATCTTCTGCTGAAATACATTCTATGCTTGGCCACAGTTATATACTACTTATATGGATATAAGTAACCCACACCACAATACTAGTGTCTAGCAACACATCGGGTATTTGCAGAAATTAATCAAGTAGTTTTTCATGATTTCGGCAAGAATCCGTAGATAACCCTTAAGAATCTTTTTGTTTGTAAATATTATCAGTCGAACACATGGTCTTCTTGGATTTTGTATTGATATTTGTATTAACCTATTTACCTGTTAAGACACGTATATTATAGTTATCACATGGTATCTATTTGTTTATTAATGGTCATGTGATTAGAATGCAGTTCGACTGACTGACTAATCAAGAATGCAATATGCGAACGGTTCAGCTTTACTTGACAATGAGTAAACTAAAGTAAATTAGGTCTAATAGTTTACAAGATCATTCATCATATAAACTTCATATGGATTTGTTTATTCAACAATCTGTTCACTGTCATCAACATTACATTTGGCTGACAAAATAAAATATCACCTCAATCAACAAAGAGGTTCTACTTAACACACTATACGACAGATATGAAATCTGGATGCACACTTCAGTACTCGCCTTTATTATGAACGTAAATACTTTATCTGTTGAAGCCTGATGATCTGTACAAGAAACTTTTTCGATAGGACTGTGGTTGGAGGTAGTCGACATGAAACCCTGGACCTAGGTTTCGCGCTACTTGGCACTCATCAGCAAGGTGTACCTGTAATCTTGAGGGGACTAGTGCTCCATAGTGGATTCGACCTTGTGTCATCCGGCTTTACAGCCGGAGACGTTACCACTGAGTTACCTGCGCCGCGACTGACCTCCTGTAGAACTGAGATGTATTTACAACCAACTGACCACTGGGTGGTGATCGAATCCGTCAGGGAGCACAGTCCCCTCAAGAGTACAGGTACACCTTGCTGACGAGTGCCAAGTAGTACGAAACCTAGGTTCAGGGTTTCCTGTTGACTACCTTCAACCACCATCTTATTTCAACATAGTGCACGCAATGTCGAGTCACCTAGACTAGTGGCCACATTGCAACTTGATCGATAGGATTTGATCTGCACTAAGAAGGACCTGACATATATGACATTGATCACTACCCAGTGACCAATCAATTGTAAGAAACTTGTTTATACGATTGCTGAGTTACACTGAGCAATAAACAAACAGCCCAAGAAGAATGAGAGAATAATCACAAAGGATATGTTAGGTAATACTTACGCTGCGTAATTCTTTTTCAGTTGCGTAATAAAATAATTCGTTTGCGATTTGTCGAAAAGAATCAGTTAGGTTTTCAAATAATAAATCATCTTCTTGTTCAAAGATTGATATGAGAACAGGTAGTAAATTGGTTGCATAAAACCTGTAAGTGATTATTAGTGCAAATACAGTGAAATGTACAGCTCACAAGTAATGTTCATCGAGTTTTAGACTGTTATATAAGAAAGATACCTTAATTACAATCAGAAGTACCTAGCATTAAAATCTAGGATATACTTTCCACTTTGTCACCTGGATGTACTTACATCTCATTGTTTTGGTATTTCTGCTAAGAAATGAATGTAGAATTATTCACCAGGCCAATGAATTGTGACAGAAATCTCTTGTTCTAAGAGTAACAATTAGAATTAGAATTAGATATCGTCTGTTAGTGTTCTATAAAACTTTATTGATGGATTCCAGTGAAGCGACAAATAACGGTCTAATATTGGAAATGATGGGTACAGAATCTACATCTTAATGTGAACATCCATACTTGGATGTAGGGATATTCGATTGACAATTCATAATATTTGCCAATGTCAAATATAATCAAGATATAGTTACAGACAGAATTCGTAGCATTCACAAGCTAAGAGAAACTGATTAATTAATACACGTAGAGTTTTACTAAGGATAAGGATATAAAAACAATTAAAAGTGTTAATTATCCCTAACACAGAAGACGTAGAACCTGGTTCAACAGTGTATTTAGCTGGATCATTAACAAACATATAAAGCCTCCGAATACCCTGGTACGGCTGAAAGTGAGGAGGGTCAGCTCTCCCTCTCGAGATGCTCTCACATGGCCACGTGCATACAACCACTGCCAGGGAAGTCTTACTCACTGCCTTCTCAAGGCATTTCTCTTATTTACGAAATTGAGAGGACGAAAAGCGAATATCCGGTGCTTTAACCGGGTCGGTGGACACGATGAGTCAACCTAGGGGAGTTGGGAAACCCACATTCCAAACTAATGATGCACATGGACTCCTGTAACCTGAGGGAACAAATGGTGTATGAACCAATCGTTGGTCACCGGCTGCCATGGGACTGCATCTCCTCACGATGCTCCACTGCCTTGTGGGTCAAACCTTTAGGTCAAAGGCTCGAGGTGTGGCGCACCTAAAAAAACCACCTGCTTTGGTCTGGATACCCGGGAAGTATCCCAGCCCTCACACAAATCGAATGGTTTGTGTGGGGCATGTCTATTTGGTGCCTCCTTGTGCCAATGTTTATGTGTTTAAATAAATAAATAAATAAATATAAAAATGATAAAACGGACAACGATGGGGTATAAAAAGGTGTAATGTAATTTGACTCTTGAATTTGATAAAAATAAATGCACTCATGCCATTGTAAAAACAACTCTAGCAATATTTTGCCGTAGCTAGTGACTTTATGGGTTGGCACCATATCACTATCTATCCTCAATTCTTTCATAGCTTAATACTATTACAGCCCGCACTATAGGCCAAAATGGGGGCTTGGTTCGGCATATGAACCCAATGTACAAAATACCTTGGTCGATGGAGATTCATTTCATCAAATCAATTCGTTCCTTCGTCTAGAATTGTGTATGTAGCTCCAACACTTCTAAATAGCTTTAACTATGCCCAACGTGCCTCAAAGACATCTGAAGTCAAGTGTTTAGAGCTTCTCAGTGATGTCTTCTATTTGTAGAGGAGAAAAGCATATTTCAGGGAAGTATAGTGGATTTTCGATAGTCATTCTTGCATTCTTTAGGCGCCTTAGATGATGTTGATTGGGAAATATTAAAAGCATCAATATCCGCACCAAAATTTCGCTGTCCGTTAGCTGACTACCGTTGATGAGATTTTGTCCATAAAAATCAGCTTCATGTTCATCATGTTGTAGTATTAGTGCAGACGGATAGTCGTACAATAAATGTGTTTAGAACAAGCAATTGATGAGGCACAATTTCTTAAGGAAATTAAACTTGAGAAAGTTGTTTCGTACTTCTAAGTCATATGTAATCGAAAGGACTAACCTGCGTTTAGATGTTCTAATTTGTGTAGACAATGAAGCAAATTTCGACAGTGCAACCGATACGGATCTTGAGTTTTGATTACGCTTTAGCTCCATGAGCAGTTCGAACAAAATTAAACGTGTCATACTTGAACGGAGGAACTGAAATTACACAAAGCATTTAGTCTCAAGAAATTAAATTATACGACGCTCGTAATCTCAAAAACAACTCGTTAGAAAATGAAATGAGCACACAAATAAAATTGTGGTTTCTATACTTTAGATACCTATTTCGACAAATAAATTGACTTTAATGAAGGCTACTGCTGAGTATGCTAAAGAGGATTGTGTATGAAAAATAAGTTTAGAAGCAATGAATCAAGCTATGAAAATAGGTGGTCAGTGTATTAACATATAATAGGTTACCCCAAATGAACTGAGTTACATATAAAAATCAGTACCCAAGGAGTAACTGATGAAACACTAACCGAATAGCCCTGAGTGCTGTCCGGAATTTTTCAGTTGAGAATACTACTTGGTGATGAATAGCAATAAACAAACCAAGATATTTATACCAACCGCTCCCAACAATCCAACAGTGGATAAATTAAATCGTAATACTAAATTACTTAACCTGGGAATCACATTGCATTTCTTCATCGATAAAATTAATTTAACACTGGGAGTTGTGAACCACGTCACTGATTGTTATTTAGAAACCAATCCATAATTTTATTGAAGTGTACGGCTACCTTCTTCATTTTCAAACCAAAGCTTAGGCCAAGACATATGCTCTTATCATTACGAAAACTGGGGGGAACGTGTTTTTGATGCATGAATCTGAAGATTTTATTCGAAACCATAAGTAGGAATGGTATTCGGATGGTGAACAATCAGCGAAAGGAAGTATTCTCGTGAGTAGTTTGCAAAATCCAAATATGAACTTGCAGCTTAATTTGAAAATGGTAAAACTTCTATAAGTTGTATTGTCCAGAACGATAATAGCATAACAAATAGACACTGAGCAATTCAAGCATAAATAAAGGGTGGGAAACTTCGATCTCACAAAGTAAACAATACTGTTGAAAGAGAGATAGTTCATTATTCATAAAATTTAATTCACCTAAGCAGAAATATCAAAATCCTAAGCAAAAATTGCTCGATCAGTAACCTGATTTCGTTGTAACTCTATGGTGGTGGATTTCCAAAGCCTGCCAGAAGTAATTTAGCTAAAATTTCAGTTGACGTCTTACAAATTATAATGAGAGACAAGATGAAAAACACCCTAATAAGAAAAAGTTATAAGCACTGTCAATATTTAACTTATGAACTGTTTAAAGTAATAGCAATTACAATTATCGGTCTGCTACGTTTGTTCATAACTAATTGTAGGTTTTAATCACTTATACCATGAATGACATGCACTTTGAATGGATGTGGTATATATGGATTCAACTTCTTAAAGCAATCTCTCTTCAATCATGATTTTTTGTTTAAGGTGTTGAAAGACTAATTCTCGTGGAACGAAAAACCTAGGGAATAATTCTGATTACTTTTGTACTCCCCCAATAAACACAAACTAGTTGGAAAAACCTTTCCCATCACACTTTGAAGTATATCAACAGAAAGGATGGACTGATGTTATTTCACTTTCTCAGTCACTCCAGTAAAAGATGTCGTTAAGCGGTGGCATGCTGGTTACAGTACTTTGGACCAACAGGTCTCAGGTTCGAACCCTCTTTCATCGGCTTCAGTTTGGGAAGTCAGACAACATTACTTTCTCACAGCTTAGTATATGAATGAGTACTTGTTGTGTAGATTTTACTGGTTTCGAACAAACAAAATTTATGTTTGCAAATGAAAGTTTTACCATTAACCCGCTGCGACGATGTTCGTCGAGATTTATTCAATTTCCCAAAACCGCGACATCCTTCACTGATACTATCAGTTGCTTGCCGTAGCTTAGCTTTCCCAAAAGTTACAGGACGAGTAATTACGACATACGTCAAAGAGATAAATTTTGAAACAGTGAAGTGTCGTAAGATATGGAATCAAATAACAGAAGTACATACGTATGTAGGTTAAAACTACCATAAAATTGCGTTTTCAAAAATTCTGTTAGTTTGGTACACGATAATGTAGAACTGCGAAGTTCTTTATCTAACAACTTGACACAGGTTCCAAGTGTGCAAAATGCTTGCGGGGACAAGAAGCAGAAATGTCAGCGGTGGTTGGTCACTTTGGTTGAACAAATCAACAACGGAGAGGTCCCTTATTTATTTCGTTTCATAACAAACTTGGTACAACATAGCTATCAATATAAATCTGTACAATGAGTTGTTGTGACTCAGTAACACTCAGTAACCCTAATCCCTGGAAAGATGGATTCTAGGTTAGTTTATCGATGGAGGTACTAATACCTGGGTTTTGGAAAACTTAGCTGACAATTCTTGAATATAATGTAAGTGGTATTGGCGAGTAGCCCTAACAGAAACTATGCATCTGAGGTCTGAAGTAACTTTACTTCGTCACTTTTAAGTTGGAAAAATCTGAAAAGTCCTCGGTTTGACATCGATTACCTGAGATATCTGGTACGTACAAAACTCTTATTATCAAGTAGTAGCATGTACACAGACATATTCCAGTCATACATCATAACTGTAATCGATGAACAATGAAAAAAGACTATCTTTGTTCAAACTATAGTCGATAGGAGTTGAATAGACATTTCCACTTAAAAATTTACCATATAGTGTGTTAAAAAACAGAACTTCACGAGTGATGACAATGTATAAAGAGAGGATAATAAAACCCTGGCACAGTGAAATATTATGACATTGTCAAGAAATGACCCACTCTCTTGAAGTTCAAAAAAGTATGAAGACAAAAGTAGACTCCAAAGATGTCAGAAAATCTTTTCTATTAATGGTACATTGCTAATAAATGCAAGTTAGAATAATCTTAATTTATGATTAAATTGGATCATAGAACCGAATCTTCATAGTAGTACAATGAACAGGAAAAAACTTCACTACTATGATTAGACGGTTGAGAGACACGTAAAATGAATCAAGCTAGCAAACGGATATGGGTAGAAATCAGACAACATTAGAACTTTTGTATTAAGTCATGTTGATCAAGCAATTTCAAGTATAACTAACAGACCTTGAGTGTTGCACCATACTAGTGATAAAAGATTTTTAAAAAATCCAAGTCCCGGATTACGGATGAAGCATCATATTATTTAGAAGAGCCCGCTGTTACCGAGGCATATATTTTATTACGGTTAAACCACCACTATACCCAAAGAGCTTATTTTTTCACCCCATTATAACCCCTACACTGAGTATAATTCTACAAGTTTAATACGCCGAATTAGTTCATTTCTGCTCTTACATTTTTACTAGCTATCGGCTGGTGTTGGTATTATAAATCTCTATTTCCGGTCGTCGTGTTGATGAGAAGTGTAGGGACATCAATACGTATCAATTTTCTTAAAAAACTAATCTATGAATTCTTGTCAATAACCTACTGATTTCGAATGAACTTAGATTGAGGTGGATTTCCGCTGAGTAGTTAATATGGTAAAGTACAAATACATGTACTCCACTTATACTGCGGTAATGTCACGACTTAACTGGGGTAGCACCAGTTGTTGTGAAAGTTTTCTAATGAATCCAAATATTACTCTTTGGAAGTTTAATTTTTTCACCTATGTGGGACTGAAATTTTTGATCACCATTTAAAAAAAAATCACCTTGATAAGTTTGTTCAGGCCTTCATCAGCAGCTATACGGACGTCAGAATTTGAATCATTGAGAAATCTAAAGAGAGATGACAGTACAACATTCAAATGGCGAAGTGCAATAGATGAATCCCGTGTCTGTACTCGTAAAAGACCTTCTACAAGATCGTGTATAATACGAAGAGAATCGGGTCGTTCAAACACAGGAAATGAGTTCGATGACAAACTTAATGCAGTTCCTATTGATGCATTGTTTAAAATAGATCTTGCATCAGATCTATTTATTTCATCCAACTTATGCGATACTCCAACAGCTTGAAGCGCTGATATTAAATCTGATTCTGTTACGGACCCGGAACTCATTCTATGTAGAATCCTGAAAAAAAACAGAGATGGTTTTAAAAAGACGTACATGAAATTAACGAGATCTAAACTGTATGAGTCTACATTATAATTGAATTTAAACAAGTACCCTTAAAATTGCTAAACGCATATAGATCGTAATTCGACAGGAGAATTATGTAAGGTAGCGGATTGTAAGTTTCAGTCCATTTAGTGTCTGAATCAGAGGTTGATTTCATGTTGATATCAAAGACGTTATCGTATCATGCCACTATAATACAGAAATCTGTTCCAAATTCATTGATGATGCAAATATAGATATTGAAATATAAACACATAGGCCATCATTCATAGTTTGCTACAAAAAATTTATTGGTGGGACTGTAATTTATGGACGAACCAATCAGATACAAGATAGCAGGTTTTAGATTTCAGTGCAAACTTCACTGACCTCTCTGGTTAAATAGCATCTTGGCATTTTAGCTTATGTCCATTCGTGATGAAAGCTCTAAATCTAGTTCGCAATCCTAACCACCAGCTGTAAACCATAATTCCAATTCCTCATTGTTCTATAACCTTCATTTAGTCCTAGTTAACAGGTGGACATTCTCAAGGTCACTTTGGCGTCGCTCAAATTAGTCTTACTCATTTGTTAACAATATCAAGATGACACCACTGACAATAACTTCTTATTTAATTGCATCTGTTATGCCATTAGTGATTAATACTAATTTTGCATGTTTTTATTAACTTGGGGATTGGCTACGTCTTCATTTTATAAATGACTCAAACGGCCATCGACGTTGCCCACTACCAATATGACTGTGCTTGGACTTGAAATATTTTCGCTCGGATTCGTACTGCTGCTTTCTTCGGTTGTTTATCAGCTCTTTCTGTAGATTATATTGAACCTCTTGGGATCGAATATATATATATATATATATATATATATATATATATATCAAGTGTCATGCAACTACAATTGATGAATCGCAGGCTCTGCATATAAACCTGCTTTAGAACATGTTTTAGAACTACTTAATTCTGTACTGATTTCCTTTTGTTGGTTAATAGCCAACTGATTTTAACAAGCTCCTTTGGAAAAAACTGCGTTTACGGAAAGATACATTATCAATACACCAGGTGGAAATTATGACGACTTCAATAAAGCATATGACAAAGCACTATGAACAAACCCTGAAGCAAGAACCTAGCAGCACGTCTTCCATTGAGCGCAAGTAACTTGATTATTTATAAGCAAATACGTATATATACGTATTTGTATACGCTTACAGCGTTAAACTTATTAAAAAGTAACTCCTTATCAAGGGATAGTGACCAACTAAAAGTAATGAAGGGATACGTCGAAGAAAACAGCTAAATTACAGTTTAACTCGAAAACACACCGACCTCAGAAGAAGGGATATTGGACAGAGCGCCACCACAAATCCCTGAGTTTTAATGCAAAACAATGTGTTCCAGTGTACAATATACCAGACTTCCGAAACAACGATATATATAAGTAAGTAAACTCATAAGATAAATATTCACATGAAAATTCAATATTTGACGCTTTTTTGTTTTACTATTTTTGGATTTCTACGATTCTAGTTCTGTAATGGTGTCTGAAAAAACGCGTTATTCGGAACGAAGCTTTGATAAAGACCTACTAATTCACTGAGAGTTCATAGTTGTCTGATGATGATTGACCCTTGAAATTCCGTAACGGCAAACATCTCGTTTCTTAGCTTGCGAGCTAGTTCCAATTTTTCATCTGTTTATGATTACAGTGACACGGTTTAAATGCTAGGTCTAGATGTTCACTCTGGATGTGCAGGTCGATACCAGAATACATCTCCAATAAAGTGCTAAAGGTTCATTTTCTGGCCTATGTTCCCTTCGGCTAATAAATAAACTGTTATGTAGGAATAGATTCAAGCCCTACGATGGAAATTGAGATGTCTGTGATAGCAAAGCTTGCACTAGCCGACTTCATGACAAACATGCTGTTTTTGGTATGCGATGATTTGTTTTCCGTTAGCCATCTGTGTACTAAACACTAATTTTAAAACGGATATGTAATGCAGTTTGGTCATCAACCGTATGTTTGGCCGTTTTCTTTTCTTACGGTCTGAATAGACATCCGACTGGTAAAATTTTAGTTTATCTTTGTCTTCGGTTTGGTATTTGGTAGTTTTTGCTCCGGGGACCTGCAAAACTGAAGAACGACATTTAGGTCGACTATTTGTAAATTGCGAATAAACTTTGGTACCTAAATCGGAGCTTGGTTCTATTTTTAATTTGGGTTCGTATGCCGTACTTTAATAACGAAAGCGAGCGAAACCTTGAACGTAACATAAATTTCTTTAGTTATTGGTTCTATATTCTTCATACTTTGGGTTTGTTTGCACTTTCACTTTGGGTCGATTGTTCTAGCTCTATTTGCTGACGTGATGATATTAGTGGTAATCGTATGTGTTCTGATCAGTACTAAAATTAGGTACGGCATTACTAAGCAAAAAGAACTTAGAGGAGTGACTTGAGTAAGAAAGGCAGCTTAAGATGTTAGATCTTCAGGAAGAGGTAGATATAACTGGATTACAATATAAGTTTATGGAGGAGGATAACCAGCTACCTGGATACAAGGGTGAGATAAATGCTAAGGTTGTAAGATATTTTGATTGTGATAATTTTAGCATTTCAAAAGGCGATGGGGTTTATGAGTTCAAGGATGCGTTACATACTATGGTTAATAATATGGTTTTAACTAAGATTGGCATAATGTATTTTGATGGACGACCACCATTTCGTTGGTCAGTTTACTAGCGTTGTCGAAAGTAAACTGTCTGATAAGGGCCAAATGTCGTATCTGTTATATTACTGTAAAGGAAAGGCCAGGACGGCTATTAAAGCTTGTATTTCTTTGCCCGATCATCTGGGTTATGACAGAACTAGACAAATTTTACGGTCTATTTGGTTAAGAACACTTTGTTGCTCGAGAACTAATTATTGAGTTACTCAAACATATGTCTGTTGAAGAATCAGTTGATAGCTTAACTGGCTTCTCGATTATGCTACGTAACGTATGCATAACATTAAAGAAAATGGAGTATATTTCTTGTGTGAATTCTAACGCTAATTTGGAGATAATGTCATGTTTACCACTAGAATTAAAGAATAAGTGGGTGAAAGTTGCTGATAATATCATGATGGTCGGGAAGGAGCCGAGCTTTGATGAAACTGTAATCTTTGTAGAGGAAAGGACTAGGATTGCTCAGATGCATTATGATAGATTGGTACAGTGTAACTCAAAGTTCGGTAAAAGGAATTATGAAGGCCAGGTTGACAACTGACAACGCTTTAACGTAATTAAGCGTGACCCAAGCAACTCAGTCAAGGTTTTAAGTTACGAAGTTTGCTTAGGTAATCACAGAGAGACAGATTATACAAAGTTATCGAAAGTGAATGTTACAGAAAGGAGACCGGAGATAAGATGTGGTCTGTGTTACCTGTGTTTGAGGATGGGTTACATAGCCAAGTCGAGCAGATCGGGCTTCAAGTGTGACGTTGAGAATCATAAGATTCATTGCTACATATTGATTATGTTGAAGACGCCACAAGTATTTGGAGTTTGAAACCGCTTTAATTAGTAACACTATACTATGAACTGTGCCCGCCTAGTGAAATCAAAGGTCAGAAGTGAGGAAGTTCGAAGATGTATTTAATAGGCTATCAATATATCGGGAACCGACTAATCTAAACTGACTAGCGATTAAAAGGGAAGTTGAGCAAGGTGTTCCCTTCGTGATCAGGTAGGGATGCATGACCGAGAGCCTTCAGCTGGGTGAATCCATTAACACTAATGTGGTCGGCATATGTCGAAAACTTACAGAGCCATTGATTTTGAGGATTTATTTACCGCCACAGTATTAATAACCATGTAGTGAACTTGTAGAGGGATTGAGCCCTAATCACACAATCCTCAAATGTGAACACGAGGCAATTAGAAAAATAGATCTTCAACATTTACCGCGGAGAAAAAACCAACGATTGAGAAGGCGGGAGGAATGAATCCAATTTATGGACAGATCGGATGGCACGGCTCAGCCTTTCAGGTGTGATCACTCTTGAGGGTTACCTCATATCTTCTATTCATCTCCAAGAGGGACTACTGAGCGCACGAGAGTTCGTACAAGGTCACAAACAACAGAAGAGAGTGTTTTTCGATACATTTAAACAATTGGGTACTGTAAACAAATCACTGGGACAGTTGGTTATAATAATAATTGTCTCCATTACAGTGATTGCGTTCTCGCTATGAATGTAGGTCACTACGAGAGCCCCCTTCCACTAGAAATGGTTTACACGTTCGACACGTAGCGAGGAATGGTGGCGTTCGTGACCAGCAAACATGATGGTGGGGAGTGTTACGTCCAAGTTTTGCTCGTTCCAGTTATTGAAGTACGGACTATCGATCTACTTGCAAATTACGAACCCAAATTAACAACAGAACCAAGTTCCAATTTAGGTACCAAATTTATTCGTAATTCACAAGTAATCGACCAAATGTCGTTCTTCAATTTTGTAGGTTCCCGGAGCAAAACTCCCAAATACCAAACCAAAGACAAAGACAGCACCAAAATACCAAACCAAAGACAAACCAAAATGTCCGAAATAATGATATAAACAAACAAGTTCAAAAGTTAAGTAAAACAATTACATCCAAAAGCACAGTAAATTATTAATGTACAATAAAAGGTTTTAATCCGCCAAATGTCTTCAGTTCTCCCGTAACACTCCCGACCAAAAGAACCTTGGTTCTTTTCACAGACAAATAAATAGACAACAAGAATCCAAATATATGCATCACAAACAATCAACAACAGACACTCAATATACCAACAATCTCGTGATCCCTAGGACTTACACCAGTACGCCTAGGGAGCCGAGTAGCTACCTAATATCTACAACTTCTAGACGCAGTTTTCTAATATCTCTTACCAAGATCCCTACGCTTGTCA